ATGATTTTGCGTGGAAAGGGTCCAAAAATCAAGGATTTTCTGAGGAGTTCGAGCGCGCCAACCTCAACCTATCTCTCGTTGAAGCGCAAGTGGTATGTTACAGACGCTCCAAAGTAACTAATTGAAATGCTAACAGCTCCCCATCTGTAGAATCTCCTCCACAGTTGGAAGTTCTTCGCAGTTGAACACTGTGCAGACTTCATCTCAGAACGCGAAGTCCAGAAGTCAATGGCTACTGTCGTCAAGAGTTGCCTGGAAGCCAACACCAACGGGGTCCCACAAGAGGCCATTTTTGAAAGGATACAACAAACTAGAGTTGATTTTGCCCAAAATCTACTACAGCGCCTCGTGGAAAAACAGGCGAAGGGTGCTGAATTCTTTAGCCTCCTTCAGGTGGTCTGGGAATCATTAAGAAGTCGCCGACCCACATACGAAGATGCATTGATCAATGATGATTCTGAATACTACCGGTCACTTCTAAACGCGCTTTTCCTGGCCCTACAGTTTCACCTTGACAGCAAAGCGAGAGCAGCACCGGAAACCCTAAGCAAGAAAGCAGAATTATCCTCGGATCTGGGAATCGTCGTTGAGATAGTGAAGGTCGTGGTGGCACAAGGGTTCAGGTCGCTGACTTCTTACCTTCATGATCAACCGGAAAAGTGCCTTCCGAAGGACTTTGCCATTATAACTGCAATCCTGCAAAGCTCGCTACAGGTCAAGAACGTCGATCGTCTATACGAGCACATGGTATACCACATCGCCGACAACGACACAGTACGGCACGCCACATCATTATTCTCATGGGCAGACCAGCTAGCCATTGCAGGCGACCCTGTCTATGGAGAGCTCAGTATCTCCTTCCTCGCCAAATTATCCACCATACCCATGTTGGCAGAGCACCTCGCCGTAGAGGTTGTGCTGGCTCAACTCTCCACTTGCCGGCTAACAAATGTCCTTCGGCAGCCCAAAGGATTCGGTCCATTTGACCCCATTCCGAGAATATACTCTATCTGGACCGGTGGCATCCTCCCCTTGTGTCTGAACCTTCTTTACCACGTTATCCGCATGGCACCCGAAGTCGCCGCCTTCCTGAACCAGTTTGAAGGACAGCTCACACGGGCGGCGGGATCATTTGCCTCTGCACGCACTACCATCTCATCGTCGGCGGTAGCTGCGCACCGGATTAGCTTGAGTATGGCCTCGGAAGCCTGCTCTCTCGCGCTCATTTCGTATATCCTGGGCCGTCTCCGCGAGGCAGGGTCCAGCATTGGCGTCGATGCGCAAGCAATCCAGGAACTGAAGTGGGATAAAGCACAAGTCAAAGAAGATATTGAGGAATTGATCGAACGGCGGCCCAATCTCCGGACGCGGATTGTTGCGACGAACGATAAGGAGGTTGAATTGGCACGCCAGAAGCCGGCGAATGCAACATCTGGAGCGGAGAATCAGCTGGAGGAAAGGATTGTCAGTGAACTCAAAGCGACTCTTGGTTGCATCGGAGGGGGCGAGTCGTGATTTAAGTCAGAATAATGGATATTTTCAAGGCATTGGTGGCGTATGTATGCAATGTTTAGGTATACCTCACACCACTGTAGTTTAGTTGAATCTATGTGCATCTAAACGTTACATACAAAGTTATCTTCGCTCTCTAGTTAAATGCATAGTTGATATTCACCAAGAGGCTAGGGACAGCCAAGTCACCATTTACGCAGCCAATCCGAGGGCAGCTTCATTATTATTAACAAAGAGACCCTCAAGACCCTCAGCATTCCCTCCCATCTCCGAACCGAAGATTACAGCTCAGCTCCCCCTCGATTATGCTTCCTCGGCCAGCGATCAGTTGGCCCTCGGGATCGCCACCAACCACGCCCGCTGATTGGCTGCCGGCGTCCAATAACCGATACGAAAGGCGGGGAGCAGCCGGTTCATCATGGTCTCCTGAACCTTGACAGCGCAGTTTGCGCCAGCTCCCAGCCAAGCGAGGTGGATTCCTCCCCCCTCAGTGACCATTCTGACGCCATCATGCGCTGAAAAGAACGGCTGTCTCTGGGCGATGGCCACAGATGCGGGGTCTGCGGGTGTTGGTGAAGTGAATTCGGGGGACTTGCGAGCCGAGCTGGAGGACTTGCTCGTCTGACTAGTCTACGTAGTTATTTATTGCGATTTCCTCATTTTGGAGAGCTTGAATGCTATTACTTTTTTCCCCCTTTGGTTCCCTTCTTGGTTGTCTGTGGTGCTTGATATAATTGCTTTCGTTGGAGCTGAGTCTTTTAACTATACCTATACGAGCGGCAACACAGTCTTTACACTCTCTCAAAATAGTCTCCGCGTCGGGATACGCTTAGAAGAAGAAGAATAAGAAGGAGATAAAAAAAAAAAAAAAAAAAATGCCTTTCAAATCGCGCTGGCAGATCAATGTTCCGGATACGCATCTGGCGTCGCTGCTACTCACCTCCCCAACACACCCTCTGTCCAAGGAACACCGATCATTCTCCGAAGCTGCCCGTCCAGACACGCACTATTTCACAACCCACGATTATCGGCTATGGTGTCAGCGATTTGCTGCGGGACTGCGCAAGTCCGGTCTTCAAAAGGGAGACAGGGTGCTGCTCTTCTCCGGCAATGACATCTTCTTCCCTGTAGTATTTATGGGGATCATCATGGCGGGTGGAATCTTCACGGGTGCCAACCCGACCTATGTGTCAAGGGAGCTTGCGTATCAGCTGCAAGACAGCGGTGCGGTATATCTATTATGCGCGGAGGATAGCCTAGATACAGGGATCGAAGCCGCGGAATTGGCAGGGTTGAGCAGGGACAAGGTGTTTGTGTTCAACAACGCCATTTATGATGGGAAGGGTCAGGGCGTGAAGGGCTGTCGGTACTGGGGCGAGCTGGTTGCGTCTGTTGAAGAGGGAACCGGATTCGCTTGGGATGAACTGAACACGCCAGAGAAATCCAACACCACTCTTGCGCTCAACTATTCCAGCGGCACAACGGGGAGGCCCAAGGGCGTGGAGATTTCACACAAGAACTACTGCGCAAACATGCTGCAGTATAACCACCTGTTCTATCTGAATCCGGACTGGAAGGAGAAATCGGAACGGGCACGCTGGCTATGCTTTCTTCCAATGTACCATGCAATGGCTCAGAATATCTTCATTGCCGGCGCTTTGAACCGCGGTGTTCCCGTTTATATCATGCCCAAGTTCGACTTTATCAAAATGCTCGAGTATACGGAGAAGTACCGCATCACGGACTATATCATCGTCCCGCCCGTAGTGGTGGCGCTGGCAAAGCATCCCGCTGTGAAGAGCGGGAAGTATGATCTGAGCAGCGTGGAAGCAATTGGTAGCGGAGCTGCACCTTTAGGTCGAGAAGTTTGCGAGGAAGTCGAAGCCCTGTGGCCGCCCGGTCAGATCAATATCAAACAAGGCTGGGGAATGACAGAGTATGTGGTCACTACCTCAATCAGTTGGGTTGCGCTTTGGCTAACATAATCTAACTCCTACAGAACCACCTGCTCAATTCTAGGATGGCATCCCTCCGATAAGAGTTTCTCTGCTTCAGTCGGAGAGCTGAATGCCAACTGCGAGGCGAAGATCATGGCTGAAGATGGGGTGACAGAATTAGATCGGAATCAGCGCGGTGAGCTCTGGGTTCGAGGCCAGAATATCATGAAGGGGTACTGGCGAAACCCAGAAGCAACCAAGGAAACCAAGACGGAGGACGGGTGGCTGAAGACTGGAGACATCGCGTTTGTCGACAGTGAAGGGAGATTCCATGTAGTGGACCGAAAAAAGGTATATATCTGCCTCTACAGCCCATTCCACCACTCTAGAGAAACATGCCCATGCTAATGCTTTATACAGGAGCTCATCAAAGTGAAAGGCAACCAGGTAGCTCCGGCAGAGTTAGAAGCCATTCTACTCGAACACCCAGCAGTTGCCGATGCGGCCGTTATCGGCGTTCCAATGTATGTCATTAAACCCGATAGTCACTGAAAGTATGAGTCAAAGGCTAACAAGATGACAGGAACAACGATGAGGCTCCCCGAGCATATATCGTCGTGACACCGGGTAAGAGTGCAACCGCCGAGGATATCACCACTTTCATGGAAGGCAAAGTGTCTCGAATCAAGCGAATCACCGGCGGCGTAGTTTTCCTAGATTCAATTCCAAAAAATCCATCGGGGAAGATCTTGAGAAAGGCACTTCGAGAACAGGCCAAACAGGAGATGCAAGGCACTCTTGCGAAGCTGTAAACTTGAACATACTGAGCCTGTTGACAGGGCAATTGATATATTAGAAGTATATATACTGTTAAGATATAGCATACACAATGCACAATTTCACTGTTTTTCTAGAAGAATCGAATTTTCCCTGTCCAGCTACTGCTACTTCTTCTAAACACTCTGTAGTAGTATCAATCTCCAGGCATGGTGCCATCTGGAAACTGAAAGACAGTTGTTGCAAGCTCCTTGCATGAGGATTGTGGCGCTGAAGGTGGTTACAACAACATTCCTGCGTTGGATATATGAAAAGAAAGACGTTGCACGGGAGACCAGGTGATGTTGCAAGAGAGTAAATACCTTGTGACTTGTATTTTTGCCTAGTCCAGTGCTTCTATGTTGTTTGCTGCCTCGGTGTGACGGCTTTTTTTCACAATGATGGGAAATTCCATGTGGGCATTAAATTGTGTTGCCTGCGATGGCCGCCACCCGCAAGTTCAGATCGCCGCCTGGTGTTCCCAAAGACCAGGACCAGGCCCTATATTGTAGCCAAAACTTTTCCTAACCCATCGATTGCTTGGGCTGTTCGAGGGTCTGGCCGCAATGTGGCGGTGATCATATTACTTGTGTCATCGTGGGCGCGACATATTGCCCACTCTTTGAGCCACCCCCAGGTGGGACGACCTCCTGCTTTGCAGCTTTACTACGTACTAGCCCCAGTAGAGCCTGTCTCTGTTTGGTTTACAGAAAAGCTCGCACTTCGCTAGAAATCATGCCATCGTCTCGCACTCTACGAGACCCACCCAGGATCCGCTCAGCAGCCACAGCACTTGGGGCGGCACTCGCCCGATTTGAAAAATACGCACTTGTCGGTGGCGGTGCACGCGTCATGCTGGGGGGAACTTGATCTACGGATGATATAGATCTTGTCGTCGTCCAAGGACACGTCTCGGCAGCAAGACGGTTACTACGAGCCTCCCCTAATTTTGAGGTTGAGCCCAGGACCAACTGTACAAAATATACAGCCGATGGTAACAATGTGGAAATCCAAATCCTTGCAGCCCCCACTCTCTTCAAAGAGAGGTTCGATGAGACAACTGAAGTTGTTACTCTTGGGAATGTGAAGGTTTTGAAACTAGCATTAATCCTCAGCTCTAAATGTTGATCGATGGTATGTTACAGACAAGAGGGCCACGGATCAAGAAGACATACTGTTTCTTCTCGGGTACTGTGATCAGCATCCAGAGTTTCTCCCTCTGTCTGGGGAGGTGCCCAACGCAACTGCGGCATTCGTTCATCTGTGTATCCAACAATAATACGGGAGTCAGGATGCTTGGGTTCGTGCGGGATATGATCTCAACTTGGGCCGCTTTACGAGGGCCTAAGCTACCGCAGGGTTCTGGGTTGGAGGAGATCCACATAGGCCCTATGGCTGTTGTGCTAACCATACCACACGAACCAGGTGGCGGGGCTTCGTATTTAATCTTAGCTGTTTGAGTTGATCGGTATCTGTCAGTCATCAATCGACTGGCTGGATTCGTCAGTTCATGAGAACATGAGTTAAATCTCCGAAACGATCATCGGGGCCTTGGGAAGCACTCGGCCAAACACTCCATTATACGAAGCACAAAAACAGGGAACTGCACTGTTCAGGGCTCCAGCTGCCAAATCGTGGCAGCCTGTTCATTGGCTGGGAGGAGGAGCCATTGCTTTGATTATGTGGGAGTGGGACACAAGAGGAATTTGTAATTTTGAGATCTACCTATAGAGTTCGCCCATGATCGACGTCGTGCATTTGGGGAAACCAGGTCGTTGGGTTCCCCGAGACTGAGAGGCGAAGATCCTGGATCGTGACATGCACCTAGTGGAATGACCAGGCAGCTCTATTGCAGGACGACAGGGCCAGTTTTGACATTGGGGGGCCTGACGGCCGCCGAACGCCCTGGGGCCTGAGAAGTCGTATGCATGCAGTGGATGGCGAGCTGATGTGACGGTTTTAAGGTTCTGTGATCTGTTCTAAACATGATCGCCATTGCGGGCGTAGCTGATGGACAGATCCAACAGAGAAAGGGAAGGCAGAGGGCAAACCTGCATCGAGTTCGAGCACGAGCACGATCTCGGATAATGTGGAGGGGGGGGAAGAACTCAACATTGAGGCCTCGCTCAGCACTCGGCAGAATCACGGGGCGGGATTGTGTGTTAACCAAATCGGGTAAAGGCAGCCGGCCACCTGCACTGAGCACTACAGCGATGGCCGTCAATGTTTTCTTCGCGTCTGCCGTCTGCGTCTCGCCTCTCCTTCTCCGTCAAGATCCCGCGTCATTTTTCCCGCGTCACGATGGAGCTCTGCCGTTGCTTTGACTAACCCTGTTAATTCGCCCCAGGCGAGATCAACTTCCTTGCTTGCGATCGAGCCGCAAGGCAGCCTTAAACCCATCCTGGTCGAATGAGGTGCCTCCAATTCGCCCTAGTGAACTAGTGGGACTTTGCCATTACGGAGAAGTCTCACCAACGGCTGACTTGGAGGTGTGGCGTATCGTCTGAACAGCTGAACCCATCTGCACCTGAATCTTCCATTTGCATTCTTGGGAAGTTGGGTCCCAGTAGCCCCTCCCATGGCGTTCTCGTGGGCTTGACTCGCTGCATAAGCTCTCGTGGCTGACCATATTACAGCTGGACTAGGAGGGTCCCCTCCCCTATGGGCCCCAAATCATCACACATGGGTGTTACAGGTAAGCTATGGTTGGGGTCTGTAAGCGTGGCCCTCCATTGGGAGTTCCTTATATGTATCAGCTACAAAATGCCAGTCAAGCTATTTATTATATCATGCCTTCTTCCTCCCCCGGTTTACTCTTCTTCATCACCATCTGGTCTGTGCATATCTAGGTCTCGGTTGATCCCAAGTTCGTGGATGCCACTACCGTATATCGCCTTATACTTTCCATCCACCATCAAAGTCATTTTACGACCCTTCATTTCTTCCCTTCGCTTTTTCCCAAATTCCACTTTCAGATCGAAGTCTCGACCTTCCTGTCCAAACCCGGATTCTCATCTATAACGACTGCCCCAAGTCTGTTTACCGTCAGACTGGAGTTTATACAACTGTTACCAACAGACACTTCGCAATTTGTTCAGTATTGCACGAGCTGCGTCAATTGACCGACTGAGGGGTACGGGTGACCACCCTTTGGGCAGAGTTGACCTATTGAACCGGCAATGCGTTGTGGGAATGACCATTTAACCATTGCCGAGGACTCGAGGGGTCTGCTATTTGGAATAATTTACCCGGCCATTGGCATAACTTGTGTCTTCGTGCTTGTTCGACGTATCAGACGTCAACAACGAAGAAAATACGTCCATCTTGGGGGGCAAATGGACACGCCATCTGGGAAAAGTGGTGGCGAAGAGCCATCTAGTGCAACCAGCGTGGGGACTTCTTGCCCTAATCATACTTCCCACGATCCTGCACCCCTCCCATCGGCTTGTGATATCCTGCAACCTCTATCTCTCTTGTCACCGCTGCCTCCGAGTGGCTACTTGGCTGCTGTCCTGAACGAAGAGCGAAGAACGAGGGTGGAGAAACCCTATCAAGTTGAGAACGAACGCGTCCAACCGATGAGTCCGCCATGCACTAATTCAGAGGACTCTGCATCAATGGTGGTACGGACGGATTGCGATCCTCCATCCAGATTCGACGACTCTCCCACACAGACTGATGATTCGTCTCTGGCTACTTTTGTCCCGGCTAGGCGAAGTGCAGAGGACGATGATCAGGGTTCTCCCAGTTCTCCGGACTCCTGCGAATTTCAATCGGTCCAAAAGCGCAGTCAACATGTCGAGTTTTTACGTGATGTGGATGAAGAGGGTGTTCGAACCTGGAGGCGGTGGGTTATTGAGTACAACTAATCCATTTTCTTTTTTCTTGATGATTTAACGGGTTACATTCGACTTTCGAGGGGGGTTTCAAGTTTGACCCCATTACAATCCTTGCTTTATCCAGCCATTCCTTTACGAAGATTTATTTGCCATCAGTCAGACCGTTTTTTTTCGTTCTGCAAATACTTCATTTTGGGTTTTCAGCTTTGCCGTTTTGCCTTCGCCACATACCAACACAATGCGGGTCTACAAAGGCAGCAGTTTGTCTAGACCAGCCACGATTGATGACCCTAGATAATGACGATCCCTAGGCAATAAGCCACAGAATATGAGCTCTGTAGTTAATTCACTGGTCCACCAAGTTGATCGTCTAGCAACTGGTTTTAAAAAAATACCTTGCATACAGAAAACAACCCTGGAAACCCAATCGATGTATAACTTGGCCCCAGGAACACCCCGCTTAGTCATTACCCGGAGAGACAGCGGAACATTTCGATAGGCTGCAGCGGGCGGACAGACAGCGCGTGCAGCGGACTGCAGATGCGAAAACCACATGAAGTGAATGCCCAACTTCTCTCGCGACCCCTCTTTCTCCCTCTCGTCATCTCAAGGGATTAAGTTCCAGGAAGGCGAAACCAAGATCCACCAGGAAGCCAGCTCGGTCTTTTCCGTCCTTTCAACAGCTCAGCTACTCTCACGATGACCCTCACCACCTACCCAGCTACCACTGATCCCTCCGATCTCGCTGCCCTCAGCCTATCGCGTCTCGTCACTCGCCTCGAACACAATCTCCTCTCTCCAAATGCCGATCTAAAATCTTTACGCCGATCAGAGTACCAGCGGATGCGAGTGAGCGCGGTATGTCTGTCCAATGTCTAGCCGAGAATGGCAGATTCCCCGAGTCCAGCTTGCGAAAGGCTTTCGATACATCTACAATCTATATTTAGTACTTAAGGCCTGGTTATTAACGTAATTCAAGAACATAGAATACGCACGCGCAAACCTCCAAGCCCTAGAACGCAGCCTCCCGCAAATCAAACCTGTTGACCGCCGCCATGAGCTCCAATCCTCACTTTCCCGCAGCCGCGAAACGCTGAAGCAAGTCCAGAATACGCTCGATGAAATACAATCCGAAGAAGAGGCTCGCTCTTCAGCTCGGGCCAATGAATGGGACAACGGGGACGACTTCGAAGAGGATGAAGACGATGCGGACTCCTCCGAGGATCTCTTAGGGACACCTGAGGAGGGGGCCAGTACAGCTGATGAAGCTACACCGGAGGATGACGCCTCAAATCAGACGCATGCTAGGGGCTTGCCTACTACAGAAACAACAACTACGACGACCCCATCAACCATCCCACCATCCACCAGCACAGTAGCAGCAAGTTCCGCGCCGACGCCAACCACGCCCGCACCGGCCCTCCGAAACAGACACCACAACACTGCAAACCCGACAACAACAGCAACAGCAACAGGATCATCTCTCCACAAACCCACGCCCACTTCACCACCCCCTGAAGCAGAAACAGAAGAGGCCCTATCGACTGACCGCCTCGAACAAGAAAACCTCACCTCCTCCCTCCTCGACCTCGCCACGCAGCTCAAGTCCTCGTCCCACGCATTCCAGGCGTCCCTCGAAGCCGAGAAATCAGTCCTCGCCCGCGCCGCGGAGGGCCTAGATCGCACGACAGGGAACCTCGCTTCTGCTGAGCGCAGGATGGGTATGTTGCGAAGGATGACGGAGGGGAAGGGCTGGTGGGGAAGGATGCTGCTGTATGCGTGGATCTTTGCGCTCTGGGTTGTCGCTATATTGATTGTTTTTGTTGGGCCGAAGCTGAGATTTTGAGCTGTTCCTTTTTTTTTTTTTCCTAACCTCAATATTTTCTGCCATTTTCGGTTCGGCCACGTATTATTAGATTGATTTAGCAGAGCGATAGTATCTGGTGTCTTGGGCGTTGCTTGTTTACTTGGGCAACTATCTTTCCTATCTACCAAGATGGATTATAACTATAGACGTTGTTATTACGACTTAACAAACCAAGGGGGGAATGGTAATGGAAACTGAAAACGTTGACATATAATAAGCTACTATACGACCAATGACCGACCATGGACATGACACATAAGAAAACCTTAAGAAAAGACATGATAATCAGTATACCCTGCCTGGTATTTCCGCTGTGCGCAGCTGCCCTGCGGCTCACTATCCCATTCCATTGCCAAAAGACAACTGAAGAAAATCACCGAGAAAGTAATGTTCAGAGAGAAGTTGGTCCAGAAAATGCGTGATGTAGGGGTTACACATGGCATCCTTTGGTTTTTTTTGCCGAGTGCACCGAAATGAATAGCTGTGGGATATCCGATTCGCAAAAAGCAGACGACGAAAAAAGAGGGGGAAAAAGATCCAGAACGAGGGAAAGAGGACAGCAGCCATCCCAGGCGAAAGGCGCAGCATATCAGGCAGGCCGACCAAGGCTACCTGATGCTGTATCAATGGTGAAAATGAAATAGAAGAATCCCTGCTCTGAGTCATGTGGATATCGGTTAATGCTGAAACAAAGAGCTGGCTAGATATCATCTCAAGACAATTGGAAGACAAAGGAAATATGAATAGATGAAAAGAAAATAAGAAAAGAAGAGGAAAAGAAAATAATTATAAGTAGACAATGAAAGTCTCAACGCCAATTGAAACATCTTTCGAAGGAAACGTGCGACATGGTATGACAACAGAAAACAAAATAAAATTCACATAGCATCCGGTCTAAACGTCGAGGCAGTCCTCACTCGATCAATCTATACCGATCATTAAATCAGACCACAGAGTCTCAAGTTCTCTTGAATGATGATATCTAAAAACAAGTATTAGCGAATGAAAACAGAGGCGTGCAATGAATCGTAACTTACCATTTACAGCTGCCATGACGAAACGGATCTGTGTTGTGTCTGTGGCACATGTGAAATGTGTGTAAATCTGCTTCTGTTCCGCCTGGTTCAGAGACACGAAGCGGTTGAGGATGTAGTCGCAAGCAGCGGCGTAATCAGCACCTCCCTCGTAGTCGGGGAAGTAGTTCTTCATGGGGCTGACAGGCAGCTTCTCCTTGAAGCGATCGATCTTGTTGAGGAAGAGAATGATCGAAGTCTTGACGAACCAGCGGGAGTTGCAGATAGAGTCGAACAGGGTGAGGGCTTCCTGCATACGGTTGACGGTCTCATCTTCGAATAGCAGCTGGTCGTACTCAGAGATGGCGACCAAGAACAGGATCGTAGTCACGTTCTCGAAGCAGTGAATCCACTTCTTTCGCTCAGAACGCTGACCACCGACGTCGAACATACGGTAGGTGAGATCGCCGATAATGAACGTCGTTTCGGTGATACCCGTGGTCTTGACACGAGAACGAAGGACATCTTGGTCGGTCGGGAGGTAGTCACCCTGCGCGATGCGCTCGATGGAATCGAAGTAGCTGGTTGGTTAGCAGTTGAACTGGGCAGGAAGGTCACCGCAGTACTCACTATTTAGCCGAGTCGTTGAGCTGGTATTCACGAGATCGCTTGAAGCACTCCTGCACACCAGCATCCAGCCAGAGGGCACCAATAGCGTTGCCAACTTCTGAGGGCAAGCTGTCGCCTTCGATCTGAGCGGGTTGCATGAATACGGTCTGGACGTGGTATTCGTTACGAGCGTCTTCCAGGGGTAGCTCAAGCGATTCCATTGCTTCCAGAATAACACGCATCGACTGGACAGTGTTGCTGTAGATGATCTCCTTGAACGATTCTCTCTCATCGCGCGAGTAACCGCCCTCGTGGATCAATTTCATCTGTTTAAGAATTGTAGACTTGCCCGACTCTCCGGCTCCTATGAAGGTGAATAAGCCAAACGCTCACTTTGTGCAACCACGAAAGCGAAAACACATACCGAGCAAGAGCATCTTGATCTCATTCCTTTGCATCATCTTGTCTCGCTTGAGCTGGTTCTCAATCTCTTCGTTGCGGGCCTTGCCCTCCTTATCCTCGGTACTCATTCCACAACCCATTTTGGCGGTTATTAACGAGTAAAAACGGATAAAATATTTGGATGAAAAGTCGCGTTAAAGTGGTATCAGGGAAGGACGTGGGGTTGGATAGTCTGTCAGACCTGAATGTCAGCGAATTCTCCGTAGACCGAGATTCTGAAACGAGGCTATTCTGAACGTGGTAGGGAGACGGGAGGTATCCGCGAGGAGTTACTGTTGAAAGTGAAAGAACACACAATGCAACGATGTACCCTAGGGGACGGTGTTTTTCGATTCAAATTGGTCGCATTGAAGCAAGGAGGTTATGACAGACCAATTCAAGCCGGTAGAACCACGGGACAAGGGCAGCGGGCGGCGCGGGTGGGCAAGTGAAGAGAGAACCGATCAAGAACCAGCAGGGACAAACTCACCGAAGGTATCCTGTCTTCAATAGACCGGACAAACACAAATTGCAGATAGGGTCGAACAGCGACGAATTTGCGCAAGATCAAGTTGAAGTAAGGGGAATCTTCGGCAGAGTCGCGAACGTATGATTAAGCCGAAAGGAGGCAAAAATTAGATGAATAGCGGGTAGACCAGCCAAGAACAAAGCAACACTGAAGGGAGCAGACGCAGACAATCAACGAGAGATTGTGTCCAAAGAAGAAAAAGAAAAGAAGAATCAAGTAATTATTCTTGCCCTCGGTCGTGGAGACGGGTCAGGAGAAGGAAGGGAAGGGGAAAATGAAGAGTCGGATGAAGAGCAGGAGCGACTAGGAGAAGACGACGGGCAGATGGGGGAAGATGAAGCTTGGGAGGGCCACGGCCGCACTCCAGTTGCTGCCAGTCAGAGGACGCTGTGCAGCCGGAGGGGCCCAGTTGCAAGTCCGCGTCGGTTTTTCTGGAAGAGCCTGAAAGTGTGAAGGCTGCAATAAGGGGCAGTGGGGCGATTGTCTGAAAAGGACCAGGATGGCCCGGTTGCACAATTGCGGTTGGTCCAATCACACAGGGGTATTTGTGGGGAATAATACCCCTCTCGCCAATCAGCTCATGGTAATCGCCCTCCCCTTTTTGATGAATCGACCGCTAGACCTCATTTGACCTAGCCCCGCCCGTAATGGGGCATGGGATTTGTCCGTTTCATGGTTTGTTCTGATTTATAACAACGGCAGAGCTGAAATAATCATGAAGTTGGAGGCGCGGGCGAGGGCACGGAGGGGGTTCTGGCGCTGTCGGAGGATAAAACAGAGGCTGAATCATGTTTACGGTTCCAATAAGCTGCCTACTGGGCTGCCGTGGCTTAATCTCCGCCTAGTGCAGATCCGCTTCTTCATCAACATCATGGTTCCGAAATCAAAATACGGAGTCTTGACCGGGAGACAGAGGAACTATAGGGAACGCTTTATTATATCTGGGAGAGGAACCTGCCTTATCCTTGGATTACGGCAGCGAGACTGTCGGACATGCCAGAGCCCGTTTCATTATCCAACCACACAGCGGGAATTAAGAGAGTCCTGTGCGTCTGATGAGCGTCTGAGGTGAGCCGTCGGTTTCAAATCAAAGACTGTCGCCGTCACTGTCGATATAGGTACAACATAGGCATTCTCCATCCGGGGTCCTGGGGACTCAACTTCTTTGTGGCGTGCCAGGCTTCGGCCGGTGTAGATACGGTGCTGTGGCCTAGTACGGAGTATTCCTTCGGAATATGGCTAAGTGGACTCCTGGAGAAAACAGAAACGGTTGTCTCCTTGATTCACGTCAGAAAATACCATATCTGACGGGGCAATGGCAATCTCCATACTCCACCGCTGCTCCGCACATGGTTATCGTCAACGGTCTTTTATGCAGGGAAAAGGGGCTGTCTTCGAGTTTTGCTCGATTTTAAGGAAACTCGGCTTCTCGTTCTGCAGCAGAACCCGGCCATCCGACAGGGTGCTGGAGGATAGAGTTCAACAGGCGCCTGGTTTTTTGGTCAGACTCGTCACTCAGCACATCATAAACTTTCCAGACCCAAACACTATTCTCTTTCCTCGTATAATGGGCCACTTGGTCAGCCACATGGATACTCCTTCCCACTGCCACGAGGTCCTAGGCTGGGAAAGCCGCTAGCGCGATGCGTCGAACGCGACTAGAAGGACGAAGTGGTGGAGCAGGGATTTTAGCCAGGAACACTTAGACGAGGCCACGCGGGAGAAACCAAGATGAGTAAAAGGGCGAACGCGAGTCAGACGTGAACCTGGTGGGATCCTGGAGGAAGAGTAATGAATAATATGTGTCGTTTCCAGCGAGAGGTTCCTTTATGTTCCTCTTGGGCGGCGGATGACCCTCCCGTACCATTACCGCACCGCTTGGCCGTGTCACTCCGGTTGGGAAGTCTGCTAGTTCAATGCTATTGACTCCAGGCAATCTCTTGCGTTTGCTCCAGTGCCCCATTTCGTCGATAGCGTGATTGTCTTTCATCATCGAAACTTTACTGTGTCTTCCAAGTTCCAACGAAGCAACGACTCCACTTCCTTGACTGCCATACTAAATCCCTGCGGGTGTTGACGGCAGGATATTTTCGCATACAAAAAGCCTTTGGATATGATGACAGCTCGGGCTTTTTTTTTTTATTGAACTTTTTCATTGGATCCTTACCATATACTTCTCTATCAAGTGCTCAAAGTGACCCCAGTGAGTAATCGTTAAATTTCATACGTACATACAAAATATCCAGCAAATCCTCCAAAGTATATACAAGATAGTGTGCCTAGCATTGCCTTGACATGGCTCTGGTTAGAATATACTTGACACTTGACAGTCTCACACATGGTGGCATTTTCGCAATCTGTAAGGGTCGTTTTAAACTATAAGTACACTGTATATAATACTCCATATTATATATATCTGCCGAGGTCGCGACTTGAGTTAAATTCAGGGTCTCAGCTATATACCGTCAGACTACATACTTGTTTATTCACATTGACTATGATACAGAACAACCTCGGTTATAACCCTACCAAGTACCAGCCATGGACAAACTACCAGTAGTATCCACGGTTCGTTGCACTCCTTTGCCTCCGGAGGCGGGATTTTTTTTTTCTGGGAAGATTCCGATCTTGGCTCCACCCATTTTAGGGCGACGATCCCTTGATCTTTCAGGCTCAGCTGCGCTCAACTTCTGTCCCCTGCACTTTATTCTCTCTTAGCCGGAGCCGTCTAGACAACCTCTATATACCATTAGAGACTCGCGAGTATTGTCGCGACAATCAATATCCACCCACCATGCACGAACTCTCCCACATGGGCCCTCGGGGTAAACACACCGCATTTCCCTACCCCCAGCCCCCAGCCCACCACACACAGCAAACCCATCGCTAACCACACCACCCGTTCACCAATTTGCAGCCTTTAACCACACCCAGAGCAACGATGCCGAAGCCGAGTATGATCGTCTGCGCAACCTCGCCCGACAGGAAGCCTCGAAGCGCGGCAACTGCTTTCAGCGCGTACGTTCCTCTCCCTCATCCACCACCAAATCTTCCCAAGAACTGGATAGCTAAACGACAATGAACAAATATAGTCCCAAGAAGCATACTCCTCCGGCGATGGCGCAGCGGCCAAAGAACTCAGCGAGCAGGGCAAAGCGCACGGGCGCAAAATGGACGAGTACAACCGCCAAGCATCGGAGTTTATCTTCAAGGAGAACAACGCGGCGGGGCGCGTTGAAGCAGATACAATTGATCTGCACGGGCAGTTTGTAGAGGAAGCCGAGGACATTCTGGAAGAGAGAATTAAGTATGCCCGGAGTCATGGGCAGAACCACCTGCACGTGTAAGTTGGGCCCCCCAATAAACTTATTGCACCGGGCAGATCTAACCGGGTGGGTGGCTACAGGATTGTCGGAAAGGGAAACCACTCTGCCAACCATGTGCAGAAGATTAAGCCGCGCGTTGAGCAGGTCTGTCGTGAGTTGGGTCTGCAGTATGCGACGGAGGAGAATGAGGGGAGAATCTACGTAAACCTCACTGGTGGCGCGGCGAATATGCCCCCGAGGCCGTCGCATGGACATGGACAGGGTCATGGTCAAGGCCACCAACAGCAACATCATCAGCAACAACAGCACCACCAGCAACAGAACCAGGATCCTGTTGAGCAGGTGGTTAGGGCGGTTCTGCCGCGGGTGCTGCGCAAGATGGAGAAGGCTTGCTGTGTTGTTATGTAAGGAGGCTATTTTGCTTTTCTTGTGAGTGAATGGCCTTTTTTTGGATACCATTATGCTTCTGGTATTTGGCCGGTTACGATAGAGGTACTTAGAGGTACTTAGAAGGTGAAGAGTGTTATACCCGGAATGCTATTTAGGATCTTTTTGTCCGATTTATGAGCTATGGCAAATGTCCGGAACTTCCACGTGAATAGATATCATCAAGCAAATCATTCGTATCTCGTCGTTAGATCATGTTTAGCCGTTTTGGTAAACTCGTTTACCGACCCAAATTATATGGTATCAAGTCAAAAATGTCAAAATAATAAAAATAAAGAGGAAGAATCACTCGGTCGAGCCGTTGGTATCCTTCAGGGTCGACTCTGTAATTTTATTGAGAATCGCGCGGACCATTGTCCCGTCACCGTTTCCCTCTGGCCCCTTGCCGCTCCCACCGGTTTCGATTTCGTCAATGAGTTGCAACGCCCTCTCGCGGAGTTCTCTAACGACATTCTGAGTGTGTTCAAAGCTGCCTGTGCTTCCCATATACTGGAGAGCATATCGCTTGACCTCGTCGTCTTTAGTCTTTTGACGGAGGATATTGATGAGCTGGTGGTTGCCCGGGTTCGAGCGAATGCTGTGAATAATGGGGAAGGAGAACTTTCCTTCCGTGAGGTCTTCGCAGAGACCCTTGTTTTCGGTATAAACCGTGTTAGATAGGTTGAGATAATCGTCGCATATTTGGAAGACCAGGCCCATTACATTAACAAGGGCTACACAGTCCTTCCCCGTGCCACTCTCTGCTTGCATCAACTTGACGGCAAGCCGGAACAAACCCCCAGTCTTGTTCCCCACCATCTCTAGATATTCGTCTTCGCTTGGGCAGGTAAGTGTGTCCCGCCAGAACAGATCCATGCCTTGACCCCGGTGTAGGTTTAATAGCTCTTGGACATATATATCGATGGCCGCCGGATTCTTTAATTTTTGCACCTCTTGAAGCGCGAGGAAATACACGTAGTTTGCCGAGTTGATCGTTTGCGCAGTGCCATAGATGCTATGTGCGACTGGGGTTCCGCGACGGAGAACAGAGTTATCTTCGACGTCGTCGATCCTGGTAGACAAAATTAGCCTTATTCGATATGTAGGTGTTGAGAGCGCTCACAAAAGTGAAGCTGTGTGCAGCATAGCTACCACCTTGGTGATGATAGCAAGGCTTTCGGACGGAACATTTAGCCACGCGTTGAACGCGTTGATCATCTGCCGTCGAAGGTCCTTTCCAGGATGTTGAAGCATATAGTCGTATGGACCCATGATGACCTCCTCATTCTCCTGGGACCATTTGCCATCCTTATATTTTGTGCCATCGAGGCTTGATTGATTCCGCGTATGACGACGAGACATATCGGTATTTGTTTGAAGCCTGTCGCGGTCGGAACGCTCGTCTTTTTCGAACATAGTCATGAGGGCTGTCTTGTCGCGGGGAGACACGTCTGACATGCGGTTGGAGCTAGTCCGGGGTGGTATCGTAGGAGGGGGGTGAAAATGCGAGCTGGAAGACATTTTCCAGGTAGTACAGTAACTGCTTCGCGGTGAGACTCGAGGGAATGAAGAGATTTTGATGCTTCGGCGTTTGCGGTTGCGGTTGCCTGTTGTATAGGCCGAGGCTGGGAACGAAGGAGGATCATCAGTCGCGCGAATGCGGACCTTGTGGATAAGCGCAGGAGTTGCTAAAAAAAAAAAAAAAAAAACGGAGAACAACAAGTTTGCTGCCGCCGCTGCAAATGTCGCCGCGCGCGCTGGCTAGCAGTATTTCTGGAGCTGGGGAGCAAGTCGATTCATATTCTCGCTCAGCGAAAGCCCCCAACTTTTGATGCGGGGAGACGAAAAAGATTGACAGGCACAACGTGACGTAGTGTCACATGCTGTTGGGTGGTTGGTCGCACACTGGGTCACATGACATATAGAGACGCCGGCCCGACCAGAGTCTAGCCAGTACAATGCGCCGGTACAACCTCTGGGAGAAACACAGGCGTCCAGTTAGGGTGTGACGGTGGTTGCCAGTATGCGATACTTGCAAGGAAGGCAACTGCAAGGGAAGAGGGCATGCCGGTTGCCCGGCCTCCAAAACGAGCAACCTGACAGTCAACGTGCCACTGCCCAGCAGTCGAGCGCTTCCCGACGTGTGATAAGACTCCGCCACTGCAGGTGACAGGAACAAAAAGTCCGATGCAGGATGGATGGCGGAGATCCCGACCACGGGCACATCTTTTGACATCATTTTGATTCGCGGTTCCATTGTTCAGCTCAAGCCTCACGCAGCTAAGCGCCCAGCCTCTGCGTTGGGCTGAGGGCAAGCGGCGGTCGCCCGGGGCAACGCGCACGAGTGTTTGGTGTGCTGGCAGTGGTGGGCCAGTCAAGGTGAACGAGACTTGACAAGTGGAGAGCTTCTCGACCTTTGATCATCTTGCAGTGACGATGGCGATGCGCTGTTACCAGCCTCCTGGTCGGTATTTATCCACAATAAGGTCCGGAAATCCGATTAAGACCCCTCCTTAGCTCGAATCCACGGTGCTTTTGTTTTCTTCAGCCCGCTTCTCCAGATAAGCCTCGCCCGCTTGGCATAGGGAGGGTCCAGGTTAAGACCGTGTTTCGCCCTTTCTCCCTCCTCTCTTCCCTCAAACGTCCCTTCTGGGATTGACTTCTTAATTCTCCCATACAACCCAGAGGTGTTGACACTGATGGAGGCATTACTGGCGCATTCGTTCGACTACCTCTCCTCCTACGAGCCAACCAAAGTGCGCAAAGGGTTGCGCCAGGTTGAAGGGCTGCTTGCGCAGATTTGTTTGTCCAGGGCGAAACGGCCAGTGTCAGACAAACGGGGTTCGTCGCTATTATTTGACGCTCCACAGTCGGGCTGTAAAGCCTTGTCAGAGCTCAGAGATGACCCGGCATTCAGAGAATTCTTCAAGCTCCAGGATGGATTCCAATGGAACGGTGTGTAGCCTTTCAACCATCCTATTACATGATTTAGAGCTGACTTCGCTGTAGTGGCAATGCGCTTGGTGACCTGCCTGGAGCATCTTCTTGGTCGCGGTAGCAGTGGTACCAACGACCTGCTCATTTTATCCACCCTGGACTTGATACAGGGCGTGCTATTGCTCCATCCACCTTCGCGGATTTTGTTTGCCCGCGAAATATACATGAACCTGCTGCTAGATCTTTTGGATCCCATCAATTGCCCTGCAATCCAGTCGGCGACCCTCCTCACGCTAGTCACTGCACTCCTAGACCACCCAGCCAACACACGGACCTTTGAAGAGCTGGATGGACTTCTCACGGTGACATCGCTCTTTAAACAGCGCTCGACCGCTCGCGAAGTCAAGCTGAAGCTAGTTGAATTCCTTTACTTTTATTTGATGCCAGAAACCGCTTTGACCTCGGCAAATGTTCCTAACACTGGTATACCACGCAGCCCTAGCAAGCTGGGCGGTGGCCCTTCACCAAGGACCGCCAATACCCCAGGAGCTCATAACGGTACTAAGGGAAATCGCGACACACGCACAACTGAGGAGAAACAATCTCTCCTGGGAAGATATTTGAACAACGTTGAAGATCTCGTGGAGGATCTCAAGGAAACGGCACCGTTTGGTGCTACGGTTTATTAAGACAAAAAACGAATGATGAGCAAGGATGCGTGCTTACGATTTATTGAGCGATGGTGCGTACGGTTACGGGTTTACGTCTCGTTCTCGCCTTGCCTGACACTTTTGCTTCTTTTACCCTCTTTTTACCTTCTCTCCGGCTGGCACGGTGACCAATCGACTTTCTCTTTTTCTTTTCATTTACGTCCTTTTCCCTTCTCTTTTATACCTCTACTCTTTACCGCTTACTTCACCACCTGGGTGTCCTTCCTTATTTTCCTTTCTTTCTGTCAAGCCAGTGTCTTTGCCGAACTATCGGCTGCCTTCATAACGACTTTTCCTTCTGATGTCTCATGTGCCAGCCATGATGTTCCCCGCGTCTTTTTTATATTTGATCCGGACTACACGGCCCAAATGATAATGTCAAGTAAAACTTTACGACTTTAATTTTAAATTAACACTTATACTTTCTCACTTAACGGTCTTTGATATTCGAGTCGCGTAAAGAATTGATGGTGAGGGCTTCAGCCTGTGACGCATCCGCACATCGTAGAAAGTGTATATACGAACGGGCTGCTGCTATTGCAACATAAAACACAAAATAAGAAACTTCTGCTGGACTCAATTTGAATTCTTTACTAGGCGCTGTATCAAGCTTCGCGAGTTATATATACGTCGGTTCATTGGGTGACAGTTCGAGACAGAGACCATCTTCGTGGACCGAGAGGCCGAGCAGCGAAGTACATCATTCCGACGGGAGCATAACATACTACTACGATCAAAACCTGCCATCAAAATCCTATAGAGCCAACGCAAACTACCACCATGGCCCAGACAATTCAGGAAGCTCTCGCTCACCGAAGCGGCAGACAAACAACTCCAGAAGGTCAGCGTGTGGAATACCTCAATACCGTCGAGGCTTATGATAAATGGGCAGAGGTATGACTATTGCCAGCTCTCGCATTTAACAGCGATCCATGGACGAGGGACTAATCAACCTGAATTGCAGGTCTACGACACAGATGGAAACTTCCTCCAAGCCCTTGACACAGTTGAAATGAAGGAATTACTCCCGCGGTTTCTAGGCCTTGTTCGAGCCCAGGACCAGACGGAAATAGAACCCGGTAATCACCATCCAGGCATTAAATTAGTAGACTTGGGCTGTGGTACAGGTCGGAATACCCTACAGTTGGCCAAATCAGCGTCCAAGGATGCCCGGATCATCGGACTGGATGCGTCGTCGGGCATGTTGGGGGTTGCTAGGGAGGCTCTTCGGTCAAAGTTGGGCATCGTGGGTGGTGATGAGGTTACACTAGATGTGTATGATTTGCGCCCTCCGAGCCAGGGTTGGGTCTGGGGTCTTTATCTGAACCTTCACGGGCCCAGTTGGGCGATGGTGCGTCTGGATTGATTTCTACCCTTGTGCTGGAACATATTCCCGGGGACAAGTTCTTTGAGGGTGCTGCAAGGCTGATTAAACCCGGAGGATATTTTCTTGTGACAAATATGCATACGGAGATGGGGACAATGAGCCAGGCTGGATTTGTGGATGCGAAGACTGGGAAGAAGATTAGGCCCACAAGTTATGCGCATAAGGTTGACGATGTGGTGGTTTCTGCAGAGCGCTTTGGGTTCGAGCCTGTGGCGCTGGATGAGGGAGGACAGAGAGTAAGGGAGAGGAGCGTGGATGAGGCCATGGTGGAAGGGTTGGGGGAAAGAGCGAAGAAGTGGGTGGGTGTTACGGTGTGGTTTGGAATTTGCTTTAGGATGCGGGTTGACTAGGTGGTAAACAATGCGGTCGATTGTTAGGCAGCCGGTGCCGGGGTGGTAGAGCTCTATGTTTTTTGTTGTATGGAAGCTCAATGGTCAAAATTGTTATTGTACAGGTACTGATATATTTTTGGTCGTCCACGTCGGGCCCAAATTCGCCTAGAAGAACCCTAGTAACCTTTCCCGATGTCGAACAAGATTTCCATGCTGTGATAATAGTTGTTCCAGCCTGTTATGTTTCCACCCCATCTTCTGGTCCAGTATCAAATGCGTATAAGCAAACACACTAGCGTCGAACAGTCCCGGATTTGGCCGGTCGAAAAAGTGAGTTTTGTCGCCGAGTAACGTAGAAAGCGCCTCGAATGCTTCTGCAGCCTCAGCTTCTAAAGCGCTAGTATCAATGTATGCTGATGACTTCAGAAGCTCGTCTCGCGCAGCCTGCTGCAACTGTGCTGCTAGCACGGCTCGAACGGCAAAATTGGTACTCGACGGATTGACATAAAGACGCTGCGCAACAGCCTCGAAGTTGTCATGGTTAAGGTAGAGCTGGTAGAGCTACCTAGACGTTAGTCCAGACTCCGACTCGTTGGATCACAGCTTAAACTTACCCAAGCACTCCGTATCCGGGTGTCCAGCAGCGATAAATACACTTCGAAGCGCACGTTCAGTTGCTGTTCCTCTTCACAGTGGACCTCCTCAATGGCCCATTTTTGCAATTTACCGGATGGAATCGGCGTGCCGGTACCGACTGGAAGAGCTGGGAGGAGGAAAGGGAGGACGCCGGATGGGGATGCGTGGTTATTTGAGGGGACGATATCGAAGTCAATTCCAACGAATTTCAGGTAAGCCTACACATTAACTCAGATCAGTTACCGAACAGCATTAAATGTTAAATAGACCTTGCATACCTGCCACTTAAGACATTGTGGGTTGAAAGAAGGGGCCCCTCGACGTGCTCCAGCGGCATCGGTGAAGACAAATAGTTGGTTTCCCCGCCGTGTTGACCATGCGTGGTGTGGCAAGTCGTTCTCAGGGTACGTGATCAGGGGAAAGCGATCAAAGACGCGCTTTACGGGAGCAGGCACTGAAAAGAAGTCCCGTACCCGGCGCGCATCCCTCCTGCTGTCGGGTCGCTGTTCGGGAATATCATGGTCGTCGTGATTAGAGGTCATTGGCTGCAGAACAGGGAATTAACAGCCGCAAGATCGGTGGAGACAGACGAGAGTAGGTTCTAGGTGGGCGAAAATAAGTATGAAGAAGTAGCTCCAGACGAGGCCATCCGTGTCTCGAAACAGGACGATGAGTTATGAGAGACTCGGCTCAAAGCTCCGACCCCGATAATTTGTTAGGGAAGGTCGATGCGGCCCGGAACTGCCAGGCATCAAGGCACCCAGGGACGTTCCCCGGCGGCCAATTAGCGGCTGCGGGTATCTTTTTTCAATGACCACTCTGATTGCGACGAACCCCGCTACCTCAGCTACCGGGCTACTTAGATCTTTCAACATTGCTGGCTCGCAGCTCTTTCGCTTGCGCCTTTTCGCTGGATGGTTCGATACATGAAGAGGCTCAGCGCAAACCCGCATGGTCGCTCGCTCGCTCATCTGATCTGCCGCCTTCTTTCGTGATCTGAGCGTTCCCTTAATCTTCCGCCGTCTGGATGGCCTCGTTCTCTTCCGTCTCTGTCCGGATCTGTCACCCCGAGTCGCATGCTAGTCGTCCATTTCATTGACCTCTCCGGACCGTTTAGCTGAATATTAGGTGGACTGTTACGCTCCCATTTTTCTATATCCAACACTGAACGCTTCGTGACCTTTCCATCGTTGTCGCAGGGCTTGGTGTTAGTCGTGGGGTAAATCGATTACCGCATTGCGTGCTATCAGCACCCCACAACAAAGATCAGGCTATCTTTCCTTCTTATTTTCGGAATTCCTCAACTTGCTTTAGACAGACAACACTCGCCATGCCTTTCGATGAAAATGGTGTCAAGTGGTCGTGGTAAGCATCCTACGGCGTACATTCATCGGAAGCATTGTGGGCTAATGAAGCGACTGTTTTTTCAGTGAGCCATGCATCCGGGGCCACCGTTCCTCTAAATGCGCCCATTACGATCGTCTTATGGTTAGCGTTGGCAAGGCCGGACGTCCGCTGTCTAAGTGCCCTCATGTTGAAGGCAGTTGCAACTGTAAGAAGCTCGGTGCCTTCATGGTTGCGATCCCAAAGGGTAAGGGCATATGTTCTATTTGATTGACCAGCTTTAGCTGATTACCGTATCCCTGATAGGTTCAGGTTGTATATGCCGACCAGTTTACAAGATGCTGCTTGATGAGAATAAGCCTACTCCGGCGGTCTCCCAGCTTCCCATAGATTTGACTGCCGCCCCCAGCGGCAGCAGTGCTAGTCCTAGCCCAAACAAGATTCAGAAGTCTAGCAAGAAACAAGTGAAACCTGCACCAGAACAGGTCACCAGGGCCCTTCATTCTATACCCGAATTTCATCAGCAGGGGCTCCAGTATGGCACCCCGCCGATTATGAGCCCATATACGCCACAAGCGCCAGGTGCCGTCTATTCATACAACGCTCTCAATGGTGCATTCCCACATCTCAACACTTTCCCAACCGCGAACAACCTCTCAAATGGTCTCGGAATCTCGAGTAACGGGCTTGCATCTAATACTTTTCACACCGGTGTCTTCCATTCTCCTATGGAACCCAAAGCTCCCATGTCGACGCAGGTTGGGGGTTCGTGCTGCTCCAATCCCCGGAGCGAGAGTTCAAATGGTGTTAAGACAGAGCCCAACAACATTGCATCAAATGGTTATGCTATGTCTCCCCTGGCCTCCTATCCCGTGCAAAACGCCCCTCCCTCAACTTGGCAGGGATTTCCAAGCGTAGATGGACATTTCTCACCTGTGGGTGAGACAACCGACGGCTTCCAGCCTGACTTGTCTGGATTCGCCCATCATATTTCACCCAAAAACTATGCCAATACCACTGACGTTGGCCTCGAACAACTTACTATGCCACATTCTGATTCTGTTACTGCCCCTGATCTCGCTCGGCACAATTTCGCACCGGAGGCTAGCGGCACTTCTCATAACTGCAAATGTGGTCCTAACTGTAACTGCTTTGCATGTCCAGATCATCCATATAACGACGTAACGGTGCAACACGTTCAGGAAATGGGACGCATTATTGCAGAAGACTCAGGTACCCCAGCGGATGAAAGCAGTCGCCAGGACTCTCAATCCAACGGTATCCCCGCCAATGATCCGCCAATGGGCCATCCGCTCGCCGAATCCGAAAACAATCTAAAAGACAGCGCCGAGAGTGCGCCCGCGCCCGCTGGACAGTGTTGTGGCACTAATGGCAGTGCATTGGATGACGATCACGAAGCCCAGGCTCTTGAATCCTTTACCGCGGACCATCTTATGATTCCCGATGCCTATTACACCTATGAGTATGAGATTGGCTTACCGGGTGCTTGTGCTGGTGAGGCAGGTAACTGTCAATGTGGCCCTAGCTGCAGTTGCCTCGGCTGTTTAACCCACGGAAACCCGTAAGGTTTTCAGCCTTCATCTTGGTTTATTTTCACCAGGCCCTTCCCCGTATCTATTGTACTCGACGTCGGATGTCTTTGGATGATTCATGATCTTGATACCCTTGCATATCGGACTTTGGAGTTAGTTGTTGGATTTTCTGTTCGTGTATAATTTTCTTTGCCTTCCCTTTTTCCGTCTCCGGCCTCCTTATCCCTCGGATATCCTATTTTCATGTCCACACTTCATGCGGGTTTCTGCCGTGTTGCCTTTGTGAATGCCCCGAGTACTCTTTCCAAAGACCCTACTCGTCTTTTTCTTTTCTTATCCTCTGTTTATTCTGCGCTTGCATTTTCACGTTGCATCTTATGTTTGGCAAAGAGCAAGGCGTACGCTGTTACTCTCCACTTTTACCCATTTGCATGTGCCTGGCTTTTGTCACGATTTTTGCACGGATCAGCTGCAATTAAGTGTAAAGAAAGCTTTGAGCACGATAGTCTTCTACGCGGCTCGGATTTGTATCTGCTTTTGAAGTGGTGCATAGTGGGTTGATAGTCGACAATCTACAAATACTTTCAGCGTGAACTAATGAAATACTCGCTGGTCAACTCGAATATTTCGTAGTGTGAATGGAATAGAAGCGAATCACTTTAATCTGCGGAAGAAAGCAAGGTCTAGAATTTCTCCTAAACTGTATATCAAGAACCATGCCGTCGCCATGCGCTGTCCCCAGTCCAGCTATACAGGTATCATACATTCACAGACTGCATACCCAAGTGCTTTTACCGACGCAGAGCGTCTCTCACGGGGGAGTCACCCCGGCGGAAGGAAGCTAAGTTTCATGTCAGCGAGCCCAATCTTCTGTCTTTGTTCACAATTTCGGCTGAACATACCGTCGGCCTCTTCCCAGGCGCGTCCGGCACCGAAACCCAGACCAACCCAAGCGGGCCAAGCTCTCCGCTTGAACAAGAGCACTGAAAAGACAACACCGAAGGACAGACCAAGGGAGGAGCGAATGATCATGGAGGAGATGGCACGATCCCACTAGAGTGAAACAAGGGCACGTGTTAGCCGGCTGTTCAAGGAAATCCACTAGTTCTTTGATTGGGATGCCCACGGGGCTAAAAGTTGGGTATATTGCGAGTAGACGGGGTCGTTGCATCATGCCGAAGGTCGCGGATAGAACGGGTTTGGTACCTTCTCGTTGAGCAGGGCCTCGCTGACAAGCTTGGTCGAGCGGGCAATGGGCTGGGAGTCGCTGGAGTCGGCCATTGTAATCGATCTAGAAGTCTGCCGGTTAGACTGCGCAAGCAATTGGAGGTTCAAGTTGGGTTACCTTTTGCAATTAACAGCAGAAAGGATCGGGAACGAATGAATTGGATAAGTAGGTAAGGAACAAGACGTCAAGGAGATCGGTTCGGGAGCGGCGGTTTTCGAGCTTGGGTTCCGCCCGAGAAGGAGGAAGGCGGTCGGAAAAATTAGGCTTAGTCCTGCCCGCTATCAGTCTTTCCACTTTTTTTCTTCGGGAGAGGTACAAAAGTACAAATAACACTGGCAGAGATCGTTGAATGTCTCTGCTTGACGATGTGGCTTTGTTCCCGGTAGATTCGGGGAAAAGAACGAAGGAAAAGTGACACGGCCCTCTGCTTGTCGTTTGTGCGCTCGCGTTGTGCTTCTTCCAGGATGCCTTCGCTGCCAGAGGTGCGTACTATGAACTGCCTTCTTGAAGGTATTTAGTCTGTGCTAACATGATGGTATAGCGCCCGCGCCCCTCGCAAGAGGCTCTCCTTCGGCTTGAAAAGGGAACGGCGTCCCCCGATATACAGCTCAACGAGGCCGCCCAAATTATTGGACTAAATCTGTCGTTATGCGCCAGCCATCCAGAGATCAACCGAGCCCCTCATGTACCGATCCATGCTGCGCCAAAGGAAGAATGGGTCCTGCGGTGGCTATTGAAGAAACTGAAGGCTGGAAAAAACTATCGTGTAGAGCCGGCGTCTTTTCTTTTATTGCGGCAGCTCATCGACCTTATTCCTCCGAAGGCACTTGCATCGACATTGAAGGATCATAAATTTCTTGGTATTTTCGACCATACGATCACAGATCTGATGGAAAATGTGATGACCGGCCTCGGGAATGGGCTAAACGAACAACTGCCTTCTGACTCGGAATCCAGCCGTACCATAAGTGAATCTTCGCGGGCAAATGAAGAATCTGGCAGGAAGGGCACGAAGCGAAAGAGGGCAAACGGGAACGACAAAGATGCTATAGACATTGATGAACAACCTCGGACGCCGAATTCGTGTTTCTTGACCTTTACTCGTCTTTTGGACTGCTTGTATAGTTTTGTTATGCTGGCCAACCGAACGAGCGATGTTAATGAGACTGCCCGCTCTCATCTCAGACACGCTCTTAGAGGAGACCCCCAGCCAATTGCGATCACGCTCGGCAAATCATTCACGTTGGCTTCCCTTGCAATTTCGCAGTTTTGTAATGGGCGGAAAACAACAGAATTACAACATCTGTTCTATGTCCTCCCTGCGCTCTTGGAGGTCTGGGAATGGAGGTCTCATCGTCAGGATAACTTAGACCAGGGATCTAGTAATGTATGCCAGGATTGTTTTAGAACCATTCCTATTGGCGAGGATGCTAACTTTGTCTAGGAATCGTTTGCTTCTCATTGCGCCCAACGTGCTCTAAGACTGCTCCATTCTGTGTATGCCGTTCAACTTGATACGGACGAGAGAGTTCACGTCCTAAATGGGGTTGAGCGTCTAATTGCTCTTCATGTGGTATTACCTGCACGTGCGGCCTTCGTTAGTAGAGGTGGCTCAGGGATCGACTATTCCGCCAGTGAGCCTGATTGGAGTTCGGTCAAACCAGTTTCAGATACCTTTCGACCAATCCTATGTGCCGTGGAACTGCAGACACAGCCTTGTACAACTGAATCCCAAGATAGCACTACCAGGAAAGGTCTTTGGAATGCGGCAGACCTCATCCCAGAATTCTTTGACATCGCGTCACGATCAGTTCCTCGAGATACGTTTCGAAGGAAAACTGATGAAGCAGCTTGGTTGGAAACTTTGTTTGTTGCTGCTGCCGAGCTGTCATTTTCTTATGTGAAATCAGAGAACCCAACCGCATTTCTCCCTGAATTCGTGAGAGTTCTGGAGCAACTATTTCGCGTTGCCCTTAAGCGAGATGTGCAATTATCATTACACACACTTCTTACACATGCTGCTTACACCGGTCTTCTTAAAGACCAGCTCTCACAGGTCGAGTGGAACCTTATTGCACTGCTTATTGAACTGGGGGCGGATATCTTTCTTCCAAACTCCGGACTCGCGGACTCCGAAAAGTACCTCGAAGCCTTACTCAGTAAAATTAAGCTGCACTGGCGAACCAGCACTTCTACCGATGGTAGCTACGAAATAATTAAGAGTGGCATTGTCCTTCCTCTGTTACGTGGGTTTATGGGCGCCAGAGATCTTGCTACTTTTATGGAAATCTGGTACCAGCAACTGACGGACATAGAGGAGACAAGAATGCTCGACAGCAATCTCAGCCTCTTTACAGTGTGGGAAGATGACGACCTATGCGATGCGTACAGCGAGTTGATGCGCAACCCTCTGAATCAAACTCTTGCTTCTGCCCAACTACATGCAGCTGCGGTTGAGATTCGCGGTGATGATAATAGAATTGCTCGGTCCGGGGGAGCGTACGCGCAGCTTGTGATTGTTGAATCTGGATTCAGAAAACGGCCTGCCAATTTTGTGGAGACCAATGATGATCTCAAGTCTGCAATCGAATCGATTGCGTCCGCGCTTTCTTCGGACCAGGCTTTACACTGGAGGTGGCGGTTGTGGAAAATGTCTCGCAGTTTGATTGAGAATAATGTACAGAGGACCGATGCTGGCCTCGGTTTTCTGTTAATGAACTTGACCGGTGTAGCAGCAATGTCAGTTAAACGCCGACATCAAGAATTGACGCCGAAACTCAGCGCGCGGTTGGAGTGTTTTGAAGCATATCAATTTGTTCTCGCGACCATGAAACACTCACCTAGCACCAGCAACAGTGACAATTTCTCGTCCTTGATGAAAGAAGTCAGCAAACTGTTGAGATCGATCACTGAACAAGATGCGCTCGAGTCCATGGGTTTAGCATGGAATGGCCGTTTGGAATCCCTTGACTCGCCAACTTCCCTATCTCTGGCTTATTTCTTAACTCTTCTTCGGCTCCCTAACATTTGGACCCAGATCGAGCCTGAGGTGCGACGCGCTCTGTTTGCTCAAATCCTCTTTTTGGCGGCGGCACAATATCAGCCACCCTCATCATCTCTTGGGGATCTCTCTTCAGGCGCGCGTTTCCTGCAATCCTGGGCTAGCGCTGTATCCCACGAATACCTCTTGAACGCCCCCAGCATCGTGAACGACCTGATTTCTGTGTTGTCCGAACGAGTGAAGGTGGATGATTCCAACCGAAAGCTCTACATTGAGAGTCTGCAAAGAATTCCAGCCCCTCTTATCACCCGCCGCCAGAGGGGAGATCTTCTGGGTTTGTTGCAGAATGTCTTATTGCAGAAGCATAAAGCATCTTTTATTACCGTTGCTATTCTCTCCCTGATGGCAAAATTGGCTGATTTGCCGAAGTCAACGGCGGAATTGACTGGCAATTGGGAGCCGATTTGGACCATTGCTAAATCAATCTCACTGCAAGATACAGATGTTGATCTTGAGGTCATGAAGGCATTTAGATTCCTCCACCGTGCAGTTATTTCAAAGCTACTTCTTCTAGCGGAGGGAGAGCGCCGCAAGCAATTCAAGAAGATGCACCACAAAATATCAGGGAAGGTTTCCAAGTTGCAGTCAATTGATCGCAATTCTACGGAGTCCTTCTTTCTTCGGATCTCCCTGTTCCAATTATGGCTACACAGGGAACGACTGGCAGATGCGATCGATGTCACGGAACTTGCCGCTAGTCGCGAGAAAGTGTTTGGGTTGGTGGTAGCTGATCTGCGCTCGGCGAAAGATCACTACAAGAAGCAGCCATTGGAAGAAACAATTACTGTGATTAAAACCCTTGACGCTCTAGAAGATTTCGAGGATCTAGCTACGGACCACGGGGAAGTGAAAAAATACTTATCCAAGATCGAGAGCTACGTTGAGAAATCAGTTGACTCAGGGTCTTCCTTAAGAAGACTCATTAGGCGCCGTGTTCTGGCTACACAGAAGCCCGAAAAGAACGCTACGGCCCCTGTTGTACAATACGCCGAATCACTCCCTCTCCAGCATATGTACAGCGAGGAACAACAGGCATTTATCCGGGCAATGAGCGAACGCTTCCGCTCCATGTCTCCGGAAGCCTTAACTCGGATTATTCGAGATGTTCGCCAACTAGGATTCACTGGCAAAAATGCCGAGTACCATTTGCTCATTGCCGGTCTAGCTGTCGCCGCAGCACCCCCCACTGATGACAAGGAAAGTAACCAAGCAAAGGAGCTGTCGCTTGTCTGTACCGAGATCACAGATGCACTACACCGCAGTAGATCTCCTGAAGAATTTGTACTGGCGACCGAGTGCTTGGATGTTTTCCTCCGCAACAACCCACGCTGCATCTCTCAATGGAATATCGATGGCCTGCTATCGTGCATTGCTGTATGTGCCTCAAAGGCAGGGCCCCATATCAACCCTGAGTTTTCCGGGATGGTTTATACCCGTTTGTGCCGACTAATGGGTTTGCTGTTGGGCCTTCACCGCCAGAAACTGGGAGGGCGTTTCCATCTAATCATTTTGGCCATGCAACGGTTACTTCACTGCCTCTTTGCTCGAGCCAAGAAACGTAGCCGACCTGCCAAATCCGATACGGGACATGGGCAACAACCGCACTGGCTCTCTCAACTGAATGCTGCACACGCCACACACTTCACTCGCCTTCTCACTTCTCTCTGTGACCCGACGGTTTCTGCTGTCTCACGTCCAACGCCCGGGGATGTGGGACATGAAGGTCTGACTGACCAAACAAAGAAGGCCAAGCAGATTGCAGGACAATATTTACAGTACTTGATCATGGACTATGCCCAGAGTTCTCTTCGCAGTGCTCTTCATCCTGATGTGAAGGCGGCGCTCTTGCCAGGACTATACTCAGTGCTAGACGTGATGTCACGTGATACAATGCGAGCGCTGAATGCTGGGCTGGATATCTCAGGACGGGCAATGTTCAAGACACTGTATGACGACTATATGAAGTTTGGCAAGTGGAATAAGGCGTAATTCTGTATATTATAGGAATATGAATTCTACTTGTTACGACATACAACCAAAATCTTCCTTGTAAGCTATCTAATCTCCGGAAAAGGTTGACAACTCCGGCCGGAGAGCCAGGCCATGATCTCCCACGTGAAAGTCATGTGACGGAAAGGGGGAAATCGCAGCTTCGAGATACAGGGCAAGATCAAACCATAAGTGGGTAAAAGGTTATCAGGCGGAGCGCCGCTGAAGCACATGCCGATAACATATCTTTTACTCGATCAGATCGAGTCAGCGGACAGCGCACTAACCCACGGACGAGACACGCCCTGGTGCACTCAAACGGCCCATTCACTGTCTGTGACTGGCCAGAGCTCAAAATGCGGAGAGACGCCAGGTCCACAGGTACTGATAACAGTCGCTCACCAACCCTGTTAGTCGTCAGATTAGAGCAATGAAAACCAACTTCAACCTCATGGAGGGTGATAACAGCCAACCACGCCAGACGCGGCGTGGCCGATCGTGGTCTTGGATGCTCTTACTCGGGCCATTCCCGTGGCTCGTTATCACGACAGCTCCATCTCCAGCTCCGTGGCTGGTTGGACGCACCAAGTGCCCAGATGATATGACGATTTGGTGATGGGTGCTTGATAGCTCCTTCCTTTATATTTCAGATCTCCCCATTGCCCTGAGGCCTTCAAATGACTCGTCTTCACACATCCGTTTCCGGATCAGGCTGTCCAGAACAAACTTTGGCCTTCCGTGGTTGAGTTCTTGCGTCACTATTCTTGATGACACCCTCTTTTACTTATTCACTTTTGATTACATCAGGCATTTAATTCACTTATTTCTGTTGCATTACCTAACTAGCCCTCTTACGAATTTCATTTCATCACGGCCCCGATTTCTTACATCTCGGCTAAAATGCCTGAGATCAAGCAATGGATCAAGAAACTAGAGGTGGAATCGGAGCCGGGGTTGACAAACGTGCAGTTGATGTTGACGAACCATGACTTGCGACCAGGTGAACTCCGGAAGACTCCCGAAACCTACGCGGGAGAACCTAACAGTCAACAACAGTCGAGCCCGAACGACGCGAGTGGAGGTGGTACAACTTCATCACTTTCTGGATCGCAGACTCTCTGAACATTGTGAGTTTACCACGATGCCCAACATACAAAGTGGCAAAGCTAATATTTGGCCCCTTAGAACACATGGATGATTTCCTCCTCGATGATTGTTGATGGCCTGTCTTGGTGGCAATCGTGGATATGCGTCTGGGTCGGCTACTTCCTCGCGGCCTGCTTTGTCTGTTTGACCGGTCGCATTGGTGCTGTCTATCATATATCTTTCCCCGTTGTTTGCCGGTCATCGTTTGGGGTCTGGGGATCACTATGGCCGGTGCTGAACCGGACGGTTATGGCCATCATTTGGTATGGTGTGCAGGGATATATTGGAGGTAGTAAAGCATGGCTTCTGATCCCTGGTGTTTGACCTCTAACATCATACTTATAGGTCAATGTGTCACACTGATGATTCGGGCAATTTGGCCAAGTTACATCAACCTGCCCAATGGCATTCCCGAAAGCTCCGGTGTTAACACGATGAACTTCCTGAGCTTCTTTCTCTTCTGGTTGATGTCGTTACCCGCCCTCTGGTTCCCGGTTCATAAAATCCGCCATCTTTTTACCGTCAAGTCCATCTACTCCCCGATTGCTGCTATTGCTTTCTTTGCTTGGGCTATCGCTCGAGCCAATGGGCTTGGCCCGATTGTTCATCAACCTAACACCGCGAAAGGAAGTGTACTGGCTTGGGCCATCGTCAAAGCGCTCATGAGTTGCATGGGAAACTTTGCTGCTTTGATTATGAATGATCCAGACTTTTCTCGATTCGCACGGAAACCCAAGGATGCCCTTTGGGCGCAGCTGTTTACTATTCCAATTGGGTTTGGCATTACCTCGTTCATTGGTATCATTGCATCCTCGTCATCGGCTGTCATTTTCGGAGGCCCCGCGATCTGGAACCCTCTTGATCTTCTAGGGAGATTCCTTGAGGGAGCTAGTTCAGCCGAGCGCTTCGGAATTTTTGTTATTGGGCTTGGGTTTGCTCTCGCTCAACTGGGCACCAATATTTCCGCCAACTCGGTCTCCGCTGGCACGGATATGACCGCTTTGCTTCCTCGATACATAAACATTAGACGAGGTAGCTACATCTGTGCGGCCCTTGGGTTGGCCATTTGTCCGGTATGTAATATTCCTTTGCACCTCCGTTTCAGTGAGCTCAGCTAACATATGTAAATTGGTAGTGGAACCTGGTATCTGGTTCCAACGAATTCACTACATATTTATCTGCCTATTCCATTTTTCTCTCTGCCATTGCAGGCGTCATGATATGTGACTACTACATCGTCCGCAAGGGATACCTCATCGTCGGAGATCTATACAGTGGTGAGAAGGATTCCGTTTACCGCTTCCAATACGGCTTCTCCTGGCGGGCCTACGCTTCATATCTCTCTGGAATCATGATTAATATCGTTGGATTTGCCGGTGAAGTTGGCCGCGAGGTACCTATAGGTGCCGAGTACATTTATAAGATCAACTATATCTCCGGCTTCATTGTATCCTTTGTGATGTACTATATTCTCACCCGTCTCTTCCCTATCGTGGCTACCAGCGACACGTGGAATGAAGTCGACACCGACCTTGACACAGAGGGACAAGAAATCGACGCGGAGGACATTCACACAACCGGAAAGCCAGTGGGCTTTGGGACTTCGACTTCTCAGGAGTTTAAGAGCGCGAAGGTGGGGCACTCTGATGTATAGATTGCGATGCGTTCTCCTTGCAATGATGATATGATAATGTAATCTCACGACATCCCCTGTATTTAAGAGCCTGGAGACTTGTTTTACAAACTCCCAATTTGGAATCCCTAGCTGCATATGCAGCATTCTTCCGTCTTCTCATCATGCATCCTACGCGAGTTTAGGTCATGGACTGCCGCTTTTTCTTCAGGGAAGTGGAACTTTCCAATATCCTGAGTACACTCTGATAGATTAAAATCGAAAGGCGAGTGTGACGGGCACGGAGTACCTCCAAAACCACCCATCTGGTCGTTCCTTCCGACCTCAGAGCATTGGGATGGGGATGTCCTTTACACGGCAAGTACTATGGGCCTGCCAGTGGGCGGTTGCTCACTTCCTCCCCTACCTCGGACTCTACAGTGCTCATTCCCGGCCCACTTCAGTGGGCAGGCGCAGCTGTTGCATGAGGTGGGTCGCACCTTCTCCACGAGTATCCCGACACTTTAATTCCCAGGGAAGGTGCAATGGACAACGGGAAGGTCGTTTGCTCCTTCCTAAGTAGCCTCTTTAATGTACCTCACTAAGAATCCCCCACACCGGCAATAACCTAGTACCTAACCAATTACTGCTACGTAGTATCCGATCCATGATCAGACCATAATTACACTACCAGTAGCGTATCTAATTAGACAACGGGTTGAAGCAGGATCACCTACAACGTGTTCCTTATCCTTAGCTGGATTTAATCAAGGTAGGTGCTTTTGTAGCGGGCCTCTTAGGCGCTGTTCCTTCCACTAGAAACATAGGTACCCCTGTAAAAGCGTATCTAAACTTAGCAGCTATACCGAGCACCCCGTAGCTATCCAGTAGGTATTTTACAAGTCATAGATTGACTGGAGAGGACATGCGTGATTTGTGTAGGTTGTTTTGGAATGACCTTGAGGTAGGGTATTGGTTGGTATTTGGTTAGGGTTCGCAGACCGTTTACGCGCCGTTTGTAGGCCAGTGCGTCGAAGACGTTGGACTTCAAAGCACAGCCCTGCTTCCAGTCCTGGAACATTCAGTCTTGGAAAGTTTAACTTCACTTTTAATAGCCCATCGAAAGTCTAGGCTATCTCAGATCAAAGCGCGTACAACTGATTGCCTCGTCGGGGACCGAAACGGGTATGCGTGACGTCATACGCAAGAGAGCCTCATCAAATCATCTCTCAGAAGGACAGCCTCATATGGCTCTTAGGCGCCTCAACCTGTTGTGAAAAGCCATTTCATTCATTTTTAGACTCAGGTTTGACTCATTCCCATGTCTCGCTTGTCGCTAGCTTTGTTGGAAGCTCATCCGGGCGACGTAAAAGCCTGTTGCGTCGCTCACCTCGGCTAGTTTCTTTTCTCTTCTTTAACCATCGCTGGATACTTTCTCGGGTCCCTTCAGCTTTGCTCAAATCGCCTTCTCGCCTTCTAATTCTGTTCTACTTTTGCTCTTCACTCTTATTATACCCCAACTTCCAACTTTTTAACCGTTCGTCTTATCTTCCTGTCTTTTGTAAACATGGCTTCCGTTAGCGCTCTTCCCCAAACTCTTCGCTCTATTACCACCACCAAAAACAAGGAACTTTCCAAGCAGCGCGTGCTATTCGAGAAACGCCGGAGTAGTATCATCCAATCCGCTACCGCAGCTTCTGATCTGCGAACCAAGGCCCGTATTTTACTGGAGGGCGTCGCCAAACTCAAGGGCCACCCCAACGATGCATTCGACAAAGAGGATCTCGATGTCGATGCGGAGTCGTTTGAAACTCCAGTCTCGGATGGGACTGAGCGAGCAGTCCACGCGAACATTCGCCGGTTCCTCCTGCAAGGAAAGTATGACCCCTCAGTATCCCAGTCTAGTTTGAAGGAGTGGATTGGGTCACTCGAGGCTGAGATCATGTACATGGAGCGAGCGCATGATCATGCATCATTCTATAGTGCGCTTGTGACGGAGTGGCTAGAAGACCTTGAGGCTTCTGGGGCAGTTTCAATTCCGAAGGCTGAAGAGGAGGGTACCGAGGACTTGGGTATGGAGAGTGTGGGACGTGCAGAGATGCAAGAGCAGAGACAGACATGGGAGAGTCTCGTCTTTAGCGAGTCCAAAGTCCAGGAGGATGCTATTCGCGCATATCTGGACTCCCTTTTCACTCAGACGGCGCTGTCGGAGCAGGCACTGAAAGAGCTCCGTGAGAGCATCAAATCTTTCGCGACGGGCCTCTCGGCGAGCAAAACCTGGCTCACTGTGGACGATCTTTCGTCGGTGTCCGCGTCACTTTTGAAGACCGATCTTCTGACAAAGGAGAAAACGGGCATCCTCAAGGAGCTTACGCGGAATCGGGCTGTGGCCCGGGAGGTCGTTGACGTTTTGAACATGCGTCTTGCCTCGTTAGATAACTGGACCTGGCCCGATGAGGGCGTTCCAGTGGAAATGCGTCGCCAACTGAATGGGAAGTATCGAGTGTTTATGGATGGAGATCTGCTGGACAGCATCATGTTCCACTACTTGGGTATCAAATGGTCGGTCGCCCTTCGGTCTGCATTTGTCACCTTCTTGGGTTCGCGCGGCTGGAAGAAACCACGCGATCATATTCCCCAGGAGGATAAATTAAGGCGGAGCTACTTCATTGGCATTGATCGCTTCCGTGGAGTACATTCTGTGAATGACGAAAGACAACGGGTTTATAAAGAAAACTACTTTATGAGCCAATTGCCTTCTTCGGAGGATGAGGGTGTACCGGACTACGACGGTGATAGCGACAGCGGCGACGAAACACGCCCCAAGAACGCGCTTGAAACAAAGCACTCTCTTCTTCACCTTCTCCTCACCGAATCTATCCTCCACACCACCTTGCATGGACAGTTCACTGCTATTCGGTCAGACTTCAAATGGTTTGGTCCGTCTCTCCCTCACACCACGATGCTCACGATCCTTTCCTATTTTGGCGTCCCTCAAGACTGGCTAGATGTCTTCCGTACTTTCCTGGAAGCCCCGGTAAAATTCATCCACGACGGTCCTAATGCCACACCCTCGGTTCGGAAGACGGGGATCCCAATGAGCCATACACTCTCGACGGCTATGGGTGAAGCCGTGTTATTCTGCATGGATTATGCGGTGAACCAGAGTACGGACGGAGCATATCTCTACCGGTTACACGACGATTTCTGGTTATGGGGTCAAGAGAAGACGTGTGTTCAAGCGTGGACGTCCATGACTGAGTTCGCCAAAGTCATGGGACTCGAGTTTAATGAAGAGAAAACTGGAGCCGTACGCTGGGATGGGGCTGGCGAGAAAGTCCCGCAAGTCTTGACTTCTGATAACAACGATACCGAAGGAAAAGACCTGCTTCCGTCCGGCGATATCCGCTGGGGATTCTTGAAATTAGACTCTCAGCAACGCCGCTTCGTCATCGATGGAGACAAGGTTGAAGAGCACATTTCAGAGCTTCGGCGTCAGCTCTCGGCCTGCAAGAGCATTTTCGCGTGGATCCAGGCATGGAACAGTTACTTTGGCCGCTTCTTTGTGAATAACTTTGCAACACCAGCTGTTTGCTTCGGCAGGGAACATATTGACATGGCCATCTCTACCCTGAGTCACATCGAACGCTCAGTTTTCCCTGAGAACAATGGCAGTGGCGTCACCGATAGCCTGCGAAAAGAACTTGCAGAGCGGTTCAACGTCCATGACATTCCTGAGGGTCTATTCTACTTCCCTATCGAGCTTGGCGGCCTGAGCCTTGTCAATCCGTACATCCCTCTGCTTGCCATGCGTGAAAACATCAAGCAGACGCCGCACCGCCGGATCCATAAGGCATTCCTCAAAGAGGAGGAGACCTATCTTTCAGAGAAGGAATGGGTCGAAGAGAACGGACCTCGCAACCCTAGGGCCTTCATGGTTGGCGGCAAAAGTGAGAACGACATTCCCACAGACGATTTCCTCTCCCTGGAAGAGTACATGCGCTATGCAGAATCCTTCAGTCGCCCACTCCTGGACGCATATCTGGACTTGACAAACGTTCCGGACCAAGTCAACGTTAACCTCACGCCCGAAATGAAGGGCAATCTAGCGCTGAGTACGACGGAGAACTCAGCAAACACAATCTCCAACAACTGGAACAAGATGTCTCCATATTGGCGATGGGTAGCGGAATTGTATCGGGGAGGAATGGTACAAAGGTTTGGGAGCCTGGCAGCCGTGCATAGAGAGGCATTGAGTGTAGGAATTGTGCAAACCCTGAAGGAGGGCAAGTTCCGCTGGCAAGGTTGATATGGCGTATCTTAATGTATGATAAATTTTGAAGTCACGAAGTCATGATACCAGACACAGGCAAATAATAGGCCTATGCTAAGAAACATATGATATTATTATTGGTTATATGCAGATTCAAATTCATCCAAAAGCGCTCTAAGACGTTCTTTTTCTTTTCTCCCCCCAAATATTGCATCAATAGCTTTTCGGGAAATGTTGAGAACATCAGTTCGGTTCAATTGAAAATGCTCTGCAGCCAGGCTGTACTCATTCGAGACAGGGCTGCAGAAAAAACCCACATCGTCTGTCTGTTTAATCATGTTAGCACGTGGTCACAATAGTGGCGAAGGAGGAACTTACGCAAAGGATGATTGGACATTCCTCGTGCCTCCAGTATCCAAAATGATGATCGAGGAACCCTCCATCAAACATTTTCGCGTGGACATTACACGATATACACAGCTCTAATCCTAGCCGTCGGCGTGCAATCTCTCGTTTGATATCCTCAGGGACATGAATAGCATGGCCTAAACGATCTGGGTTAAAAGAGAGTAGAGTTTGCAGCTCCTCACGAAGTCCGGCAGAGTGCACCTCAGCGAAGTGTACCGTCAGACCAAGACCATGTTCTTTGGCTTTTGCGAACGCCTCTTGACAAAGTGAAATATCACCCTTAGTTGGGTTCCCGCAAACGTCGACACCAACGATGCCCAGCGCTTGGTTGGCGATGGCTAGATCAACAATTTCATGTGCATGTTTGGAATCGTTTGTGAGCTGGCCTCGGTCCATGCCGAGGATGAGGTATATAGATATCCGATTGGCGTTTCGAGATTTGAATGTGGCGACAGTATCGAGAACGGTGGAGAGATATTCCTCTCGGGTGAAAGATGAATTTGGTGCATCGCGGGGAATCGTGCGGAGTTCAAGATAGCGAACACCATCATCAAGAAAGTTCTGGAGCACCGAGGTTGTGGCGTACGCGACGCTTTCGAGGTCATTGACCAGATGGTAAATGGATTGGTTGAATGTCTGGAAGAAACTTTGTATTCCTTGATTTAGCTTTGTGTTTGTTTATTCCTATCCTACTCCTCCCGCCAGTTTAAGAAAACACGCAGTACGAAGATATGCTGGTTCATATGTTGATCAGGAAGAACCTACGTGTTGAGAGAAAAGTCCACCTTCCCTGGTGGCATCATCGCCCATGGGTCTTCTACGTCGAAGGCTGGATCGCGCGCCTTTTTCTGAAGCCATATCTCATGAAGACATTGGCGACTGATGCTACCGCTTAGATGGGCGTGTAGCTATGCAAATCGGGATTAGTTTCCACAGCATCAACGTGAAGCTGGGGCGAGCAAGCGACCTACCTCGATCTTTGGGAGAGATCTGGTAAAGTGGGAATCCACCGGTTTCGAGAGACGATCCATTACAGCGGGTCCCTGGGTTATGGCGCTCGATCTGAAAGTCTAGACCACGATGCCGTCTGGAAATGTAGCATCGACGCGATGGAAAACCGATCGAGGGGAAACAGGAGAAGTTGAGGTTGAAATTCAGCTGATCACGAGGCAGGTGCAATGCAAGGTCCCGCCTTCCTCGACTTGGATTCCCTGCGCCGTTTACCTCTACTTTCCAGCTTCACTATGTACGTAGTATCTGCCCTCATTTTTGGTCCATATCGATCGACAACCCTTAAATTGATTTGTTGAATTCCAAGAGACTGGGAGAATCCCCCACAGTCCACTCCTGCAATGACATGCATATTATACTTGTTTCAGCCCCAGCGAATCATACCATCCCTTGTTTTATGAAGCGAGCTGCGTGCCATCGTAATGACATCGAACTGGTCTGCTGTTTCATCATGCGAAACCTTAACAGGCCGCATTCCAAGTCCGGAATACACTTCGTCGCGTTCGCGAGAGGATTAATAATAATCAGTCGCCAACGGCCCTGTCCCTTCCCGGCCGGTTTGACATGGACGGGAGTCAGGAATGGATTCGAAATTGAATTGGCTTCCGTCAACAGTGAAACACGATCGTTCTGATTGCTGTGGATGTTGTGGCTCCACTCCTGCCGATTAAGAGCAAACCTGCGCCAAATAATACATGGTTATGTCGCACAAACCGGGTCAAATGTGTTGTTGCTCTGTGTAACTGGAAAGGAGGTTTGATATTGGTCCTTGGGATACACAGCCGTCGAAATCCCGCAGCCACCAAGCGAAACAGAATAAGCCAGAATATAGTTAACAAGTAGTAAATATGTGCGTAATTACTCATTCTTTCGGAACGAGATCCCATCTAGTTGGTACATTTACGAGTACACGATACCGTTACTCGGGTATTATAAGATCGTGTCGTGTCTCAGCTTTATCCTCAGGCCTAAATTGGAGGTCTGGAGATTACGTTTTAGCAAACAGAAGATACCGTCGTGGACAGCTTTGGGGTGCATGTCTTCGCATAGGAATTGGAGGCTGCAAGCAGCCAGCTGTACAGCAGCCAAATATGACCCAAACATTATGGTAGAGGTGCCAACAACCCATATTGAACTCGGGGGTGCCGGAGCTGGCTCTAGAGGACTGGAGGCGTTGTCGGATTGCTTCAGATGTTGGAAATCAGCCGCCATATCCGTTCAACCTAATAACAACGAATAACGGTAGTGAAGATCCTGGCTTTGAGGGTACCAAGGGGGTTGGGTAATTAACGAATATTTTGGCATTCGGGAATTTAGTAGCTTCACAGTACGGAGTACCAGTACGGACGCATGTCGTTTCAACGGCTGGTGGCTCCTATGTTGGAGGTATTTCCCAGCGGTGTACTGCCATAGGAATAAAAGTTGCAAATCCCGTGTCCTAGCCCTCAAAGCCACGCTTGTAGTGAGGTCAGAAGTGGTGGATTGCTCCTTTGGCTTTCTGTCCAAAACAGTAAGCGTGGCGGAGCAGTAATAGAGGGCTCATAATCGTTGAGCCGCGATTCGCGATTCGCGAGTTGCTTGGGGTATCCTGTTCCCGCGTTGGAGAAGGAAGCCAAAAGCCTCGGGGCTACGTACAGCTGTGTGCGTATTGGGAAATGACACTTGTCGCATAAGCAATGACAGCGCAGAAGGTTGGAGAGGAGAGTTTGGAATCCTCTACCCTGGATCTTGGGTTCTTCTCCTCCCAGTCCACCAGAATCTGGGGGCCGAATTACTGTAAGAGCATGCTGGAGTACACAACCGTTTTTCCGTGTCCCCGGCCCCCATCTGTCTCAGGCGCTGCTGCTTGTGCCAATGCATAATAATTAAGTGCGCCTTGTGGGATCTTCTCGAAGGATTCGAGAAGCCCGCAGTCGGATCCAGTCGGGTGATTGGCCGAGCGACTCCATAAATTTCTATATTTACCGTAAGTGGGGGGGGGGCTCCGGGACGGTGTGAGGCTGAGGTAGAACAGCCCTTCGAATCTCGGATGAAGTGGATTTTGAAATCCAAGCAAAGGTTGCAAGCGAAAGTTTCGAACGCTGCCCAGCAATTTCTTCGGCCGTAAAGATTGCTAGCCTGGCAGGAAGTGGATAGAGACAATACCTGTAATATTCCTTACCAATGGAAGATGCCAACCTCAGAGTTGTATCCAGATAAAGGATCATACTTACCTGCGTAACTGAGACATCCGGAGAAACCGAGGCACTTGTGAGGTTGTCCCTTTTTGGGGACCTCCTCGACGTTGTTCAGTCCAAACGGCTCTCAGGGGACTGAACTCACACAATAGTAGGGCTAAGTTATGTGACTAATTTACGCCATTCCTAGTTTTGAGGTGCCTCATCCAGGCTCCATTCCTTGCCAATGACAATCCACGTGAAAAGGATGGAAACAGGCAGGAAGACACTCAGCCGCATGCAACAAGCCCAAGTAGTGAATGAGAGTTCAATGTCATGCCACACACCATATCTCAGCTCGATCGTAACTCGGAATGCGGCGTAGCGGCGAGCCACCAAGGTCTGCCACGACAACACAGCAGTGGGCCGGGCCATGGCATTGCAGCCCCAGACGTGGGAGAGGTCCTCCAAAGTGCTGTCAGCACGGCCGTTCATTTGCTGAGAAGCAAGCCTTCCACCAGGCGTCGGCCGTGTACAATATCTCCACATCTGAGAGATTCAGCGTCACATAGGGCCATTACTTGCACCGCATGTTGGAGCGGGCGAATAACCCAAGTGTGTAATCAGAACCGGCGGACAAAGGCTTGTGGCCTCGATAGCCAACAGGGATTGTAGGAAGCGGTCAGCATGGGGGAATGTCGAGTCGAAACTCCAATACGGTGAAAGGAGACCTTAGCACTGAGGATGTATGTGTTCCCTGGCCGGTTTAGGAAATCTTAAAGAGTAGAAGGAAGCAGCTGAAATGGAGGAAGAAGAACAAAAGAAGTGCATGGATTTTCCGGGTTTTCCGCCCACGCGATGCAGGAATGATGAGCGATCACGCGGCGACGAGAAAAAGCAACTTTCATCCATGCAAGCCACAAACTGTAAACTTTTGATATCTATGCTAAAGAGCAAGCCACGCCACGTTTTGGTCCGCTTCCTGATAGACACTGGGCTGCAGGTATTGCGATGTCAAACAAATCACTGCACTGCCCTTACACACTACACTGTAGCATTGAATAATCGGGAGGGGGAGTACGCTACAACATTTAATGCTCTACCCGTCACCTTCCCTTTGTTGGGAGAAAGGGCGCAAACCAGGCAGGCCATTATAGGGGAAAGTGCATGGAAATGGGATGGTGTCGTCGGTATGAAGCAGAGGTGACTGATGGTCCTACACTTGTACGAGCTCGATCCCCAAAGCGCTGGGCTGATAACTTAGCCTAGCCTTGCGAGAAACAACAAAGCCTTTGCAAGGGGTGTGTTTCCCAGAAACTGGGCGACGGGCACAGACCGGGAGCGACAGACAGGAGTGAGAAATGAGAACGAGCACGCCAAGCGAAGGGAGGAGAATTTTCCTAAAAGGGCACGCTTTGACGGTGGTCAGAGACACAGCCTTGAGGAAGAGCCAAGAGGAAGGATAATATTGCGATCACGACGGGGATCCTGGTTCAAGAGGCGCAACGTTCCATCCAGTTGGGAACTTGAACTGCCTCAGACAACAATGTGTGACAAGGCTGTAAGAAACAACGGGAGGTATTGTCATTACCAAACCGGTCTGTGATTCAGATTCGGGTGATCAGCTTTGGTATTACACTAATGCAACCGGCCACGGTGGTAATTTATTAACCGCTATGGCGGAAACTTATCGGGCGGGAGGTCTCCTTATCCCTTTTCCCTCCTTTTCAACGGGGGGACTCCATTTCTCCTCCGGGTGGTGGGGAACCCTCAGAGGTCGGTGTTGCGTGCTCCCACTTCCAGTCAATGATGTCATCTCGCTAAGTTAGTTACAGGTAATTGATTAAGTAAGGCATTCCATATTCGCTTGCATCCACCGCGAACAGACGGACGCGAAAGGATGGAGTCATTCTTAGTGCGTGATTGAAGCAAATCGTGGGTTGCCCTTGAAGCGCTGTCTTCAGTCACCGGCATCCTAGCAGATGGAAAAGAGGGGAAAGTATAAACCCCCAAGTATTACCAAGGTAAAATTCCACAGGCGAGGAACAATCTAATCAGTCACAACAAAGCCCCCAGAGAAATTGATGAGTCGCATCAGACTCGGGTGTCCCAGTGTTGAATTGAGGGGAGGAACTTGTGAATCCGATGAAGACCAGCAGGGATGACATGGCGGGGCTCGTTCACCACGATGAGCGCACAGGATTTGATCGTAGCCAGGAGTGCTCGGATGCAAGATCGCCAGCGAGAGGAAACCGCGCTGGAAAAGGTTTGGAAGCTGTCAATAGTGGGTCCCCGTTTGAGAATACCCCCCACGAGGCAGATATTAGAGCCAATGAGAATGCTTAGCCCGCGTTTCCAAGAAGCAAATGTGCGGCTGATTGGCGGTGCGTGCAAGAGTTCCTTGAGAGACCCAAATACCTTTCAACTCTCAAGGCTACAGCTTCCGAGGAGGTCCATGGGTTCCCCCTTAAAGACGCAGATAGTCTCTCACCGCTGGGCAGAATGGTCCAAGCGAGAACCGTATCCATGGTTGTCGACGACAGTAACAGCCCTAATATTGAAGTGCCATATTACGATGACGCATCGTCGTATTCGCGAAGCAGACGGACAGCCCCAGCAGTCGCCGGGGTTGCCGGTGCGAACAAGTGGATCTTGATGTGGTCAGTGAGAGTCACGGGCTCAGAACCGTGGGCTCTGACAATCCGTCGAATGGAGATGCAGATGCATGCCAGGCGACAGATTATCTGGAGCGTGTCAGAGAACTGAGGCATGGTGCCCAGGAGAAAATAGCAGATTGGCTCGCTCATTTGGTAGCAAGGATTATCAGGATGCGTTGTCAGCTCCATGGCCGCTGGTTCGGAATCTGCATTTGCATTCTGACTGGGCGATTCCCGATGGACGAGAGGAGGGATCGATGACTCCAACGGAGAGACTTCCAGTTCAAGTTCAACCCTTGGAATTGCGAATAATAGTAAAGCCGATGTCTTGGATGAGAGAAGCGGTGGGAAGGCTGATGAAGCACGCGAGACGGCCACAACCTAATTCTGGCACAGCTGTTTGGCCGGTCGCCGTTACTTCGTATCTGTTTTCGCTTGTCCCTCTCTCGTCGCCATTCCATGAGGGGTAAATCCCGCAGCTCAGAGCGCCTGCACTGTGAGACTCCCACTATTTGAGATCCCGTGCGTTGCTCCATTATTGATCTCTGCCGAGGTGGAAAAGTAATGTCGCAGCTCACGAAACGATCAACTGAAGAGTAAATGGCCGAAAGAGGTAAAAGACACCACTCGGGCCCGCCGCTGTCACCTCACCTCACCCGCTACCCGGCTGCCTTGCTTCGCCTTATCACCACGACAAACTGACATATCGCTCACTAGACAGAGTCCAATAGGGTATTGCTATTCTTTCTTTCCCTTGCGTCATAAGCAAATGTAACACAGACATGTCGCATTCGTGCATCGCCTCGACCAGCATTGTCCGATAATAACATTTAGAATCCCGCCACAGCCGCGACATCGGTCTCGTTGCGAGTTTGCTGCTGAGAAGAATTGTTCTACCAGTACGACCGCATCATTAGTGTCAACTCCACGAAGAATCAACCGTTGATTGACCGCGCGGCCATCATGCGAAAGAGCCGGTAAACCTGGTCCGGCGCGAAACCAAGCAAAGATCATACTCCGTTGTAGCTGGACTGCTGGAGCCGCGTGCATCAACGCCGCGTGGGATATCTTTCTGGGATGGCGGGAGAGCCTTGGGCACGTCAAGGTACTACTACTAAAGGCCATGGGGTATACGCAATATTGTCCAGCCTGCAGCGCAGCCATTGCTTGCAGAGTGGAGCATCTATGTCACGGCAATGCAGCAGGGATAAATACGTATCTTGATTATTCAAATATGGTCCTTCCATCCCTGCCATAGGCGTCTCTCACAGGATGCATAGCTATTAAGATCAAGTCCGTTAACGCAAGGTAGAATTGGATAGACATTTTGACATCTCTCGGCTGCGCTTTTTATTAGGGCTGTTCCGCGTCCACTCGGTGATTATTACCGGAGGAAGCCGCAGCAAATTGAATGTAGCAAGAGCTCGGCGTTGCTCCGCGTCCGTTTCTCGCGCAGCTGTCATAAACCAGGCTCCTCAACTCAGCTCTCATAGTTGTGCCACTTTGCTGGCTGAAACATGGAGCGCCAAGCTTACTGGCGTAACGAGAGCTCAGTAGGTAAGCCACATTCAAAGCAGAAGTGGGAAGCAGCCTGAAAAAAAAAAAAAATCCCATTTCCCTCATTATCAGTTTGTAGCCCCGACGCTATTAGAAATCGTGATTTCGACCGTGGAGCTTCAACCCCGTTGGCTGTTTGACCGCTCCTCTTCCAAATGAGCACATCGTAAACAGAGGCGGTTGGAGGACTCCTATGACGTTCAGCTGAGTAGATCGCCAGACGAATCGGTGACCTGCAGCTGTCGGGGACTGTGCTTGGGATTGTCTGACGGAGTTTGAGCCCTGTGGGCGAATGTGATTATTTTGTCATGTGTGAGGAGATAAGAAATTGTGTCTGAAAATCCCCCCAGTGATCTGCCAATTAGTGCCGAGATCATGGTTTCAGGTTACTTACCGCTTCATTGTCACGGCGATCTTGAGGTGCAGTGACTCCGTTCCCCTGCCCCTTTGGCCCCTCTGCGCACCGCCTCACTTGCTCTTCACTGCCACAGGACTGCCTCGGGTTGGAGACAGCCCCGTTCGAAATCTTCTCCACCTTGTGTTGTCAAGCTGTTGTCGCTTGTAAGGAACGTGAGAGTCGGACCAGTTAAGACCCGGGGGAAGAGCTCCCGGAAGTGCCGGTGACTGTAATACGATATTATTGGAGTATCAGGGCCACGGACGATTTTTTCTCTTGCTTTGTTCTGCCCGCCAGAGTGACCTCGATGAGTATTATTCTCCGTCCCAGCCAATTGACCCGCTAAGAATGTGGCCGGATATGGAGAACGGCAACCGCCGTCTTTTTGATCCCCGAACTCCCCGTTTGCGCTGTTCACTACTCCTGGCGGCTTTGTTCCTTCTGCTCTCGGAAAGTACGTAGCCAATAGCTGGGGCAAGCGAAGGAGGGGGCCAAGTGACTCGCTGCTTTTGATTTGTAAACGGGCTCTATCGAGGATCAAGCACCTTGTAACGACCAAGTTGGCAAAACACAGCATGTCAGGTGACATATTACCCAGGGCGATCGGTTGGAGCGTCATCCATGCCACTTCCAGCCCTGCAATGTAATTGAGAATGTTTTGCGCCGCGATGCTGGCGTTTGGCTCAATGCCAAGGCGATCTATACCAACCTGGTAGAGGTTTGGGTTGCTCTGGGAAAATAATGATGTCGGCCATTCCAATAAGAAGGAGGGGGAAAAGGGAAGAGGAATCGAACAATCCAACCAGCTGTAAGCCAGGGCCCATCGTAAATCCACATCGTTAAACTAAACTAACCCCGGAAGAACCGTCATGCTGGTGCGTTGGAAATAAATTCTGTAACAGGATGAATTCCTTTGGCATGGGAAATGTTGCCTCTAATTGGTTGTAATGTGCACCCTCCATTCCTCGACTTTCGATTCTTTCTTCAGGCCGAATATTCTTACTCGATGTTCTGCTCCGAAAGGATACACAGTGGTTCTTATCGTTGGAGGATTGAAAGGAGAAGGTTTTGACTTTCGAGCCCCGAATTATGATGAACAAGAGATTTTCTGTGGGGAATCTTCCTTTCGTCCCTTGAGAAACTTGACCCCGATCTGTGGAGTATGTTGCGAATAGTAGCTCGGGGGGAGGGCTCTTGTCAACAGAAAGGGACGATTATCATCGTGAAATAGGCAGTTGAACATGCTTCTTCACATCCTGAAACACATTCTAAAGTGCAGATCTGGAACTTCACCCCAGCGGTCGCCGGGTAGGGAAACACACGGCCCCGTCCAAATAATAGGCATCTACGTATTGTGAATTTGTGACGAGCGACCAAGGGCACCATCCTAATTTCGACTGGCCTCCAAGCTCACAAGAGTGGCTGCTTGCTGCCTCGGTGTGAGTGGCAAGGTCACAATTAGGTAGACTCGAATTGGCGCCTGAGCCAGTCACAGTTGGAGGAGGAATGGAAACGGTGAGCAAGAAGAAAGGATCACTCCCACAAAGTTATATGATTAGTCGTCTTGCTTGGGCCGCCATTTCTGGCATGAGAGTGTGTTGTTACCAGCTATCTTAAACTGGCAAGAATGACTGCACAACCGTGCCCTGTGGTGACCCAGTTTAGTATTCAACTAGACCGCAATAATTAAATGGTTGAAAAATGAAGACTCCATACATACCGACCCGAATCCTTATCCCTTTCTCAGCCTAATAATCAAAAGTATGGGGTATATAGCAGAAGCACCAACCTCCCTTTTGCTCCCCTCTTGCTATCGCAATCGTCCAACCCTTTCCCCCTTTCAGTCCCCTTTCCAGATTCCAAAGAACAAAGCTCAAGTGATTGGATTCGCTACTGCCACAATCACCCTCCACCACCACGCTTGTCAACTACCACCACGACAAAAGGTCAGAGATCATATCGCCATCACATAAGACCTCGGCAAGAGTATATCCGGAAACGAGAAAGTCTTCACTTCAGCCGATTGACCTACTTAATTCTCCTTGCTTTTTCGAAACGAGGGAGTGCCGGTACTAGCGGTACCGACCAGAGTATTGTATTCATACACGTATTGAACTGTGTTTCAGAACAGCAATACCGCACAATACGTCACTAAGGGCTCCACCTATCTTTCTTTCAATCGACTGAAACATCCATCGGTTTCTCGAAATAATTAAGCCTTCCAAAATCTTTCTCTGACTCTTCCTTCCTCCCCAAGTCAGACTCGACATTGGCCAAGAATCATCCAGGGAGACTGCGAGCAGGTCGCCCGAAGGACCTCGCAATTCATTTATAAAATACCTCCCCGACGCCCTATGCTCCGACCCGACTTTCTTTGACTCACGCGAATCGAAGTATCCGAACGAAGGACAACGCTGGCCCTGTCCGTCTTCCGTCGCATGATCCTCCCTTTCTTCCTCTCTATCTCTGGGGTTTCTGTTTGAGCTCTTCGGCTTCACGTAACTGCACGAAATTGGAATCCCTACAGATTGTCGAAAGCGCACTAGACGCTTACAGCCTCCCACGACATCTCTCCTCCGGTCCAATCTCCGATAGCTTGCCCGCTGCCTTCCGCTTTAGACCACCTGCATCACTGCGCTGGCAGGCAATCCTGCATCATCGGCACTGCCTATCCCCCCATTGCCTGAGCCCATCCTTGGTCGTCCCGCTTCTATTCTCGTTCCATTGCGCATACCATTGGAGTCCAATCTTCTACTCCAATCGCTGTTGTCGTGGAGATAGTTGCGGAGGGGCTCTGCTACATTCAAGCACATGCGCAGGGCGGAAACCATTTGACTTGCATATTATTTTCCATTTATATTAATTTCCTTGTTTTTCTATCCCTCTTTTTTTTTAATTTCTTCCCCCGGTGGGTTGCTTCACTCCTTTGTCAGCACACTCAGCAATTGGCCGCTCTCCGCACGTCTCCCATACTTGCAGAGTAGCAGCTTTCCCCGCGTCTTAGAAGGATCAGCCCCGCCGAGAAGGGTGAACGACAGTCAGGCTCAAACGAAGAGAACGTGAAGGAGCGAATAAAGAAGACCAGTCCAGGATCTGCAGAGCTTTCGTGCCCAAATCCCGTTCTGCAGAACTAACCGGGGCCTGTCATTGAGTGAAGTGATAGAGAAAACGAACGACACGGTGTTCAGCTCGAGCCATTGTTACACAAAATACAGGCTCTCGTGTCGGTTGTTATCAGGAACTTGGATCCCGTTCTCTTGCGAGTGCTCTCAGGCAGGGCTCTCCGCATTGCGTTCAAGGCAGGCCAAGATGCAGATATCAAAAACGGAGCAATACCGCTAAGGACGTGGCTTTTGCATCATTCCAGCCAAATACGTTCACTGTTTCGGCCCGTATTGCATATCAGCTCTCGTCCTGCCCCAACACGGCCACTCGGATCCAACCTAACTGTTTATTCGTTCTTACAAGAGTCCAGGTGACTCCAAATTCTAGCTCGACCCACGACAGGGCCCGAATCTTACGCTTGCAGCTAAGGATTTCCCCTAGTCAGTAGCCGCAATGACTTATGCAACTACCTCATCACCCTCGGCCGTACATGGCGACACGCCAGCAAGTTTAAAACTTGCGGCTTCACGCCCCAGGCCCAAGCTACAACACGGCTTAACCTCTCCATCACCCGCTCCTCCTGTTCCAGTACCTACATACACTTCCGCATACTCTTCCACTCCGAATTCTCTACAACCTTCCTCCAACCCGTCAAATGATTCCAGCCCTTCGGGCACCCCCTTCCTATCTGCTGCCGACTCGCTTCGGGGTCGGAATATACCACTCCCCCCTACATCTTCACCGTCCCTGGAGCTTGGGGAGAGCGTCATGGCTGTCCCTGCAACCATCAGTGCCTCGTCTCCGGCAGACACCATTATTCCGAACCCTAACAAAGGCCCGGGCCTGATGCGCAGAATATCTAGAGGCGCAGCGAACAAATTGACTCGACGAACCTCAACCACCCAAAATGACAAGCGTGACCGCAGCTCTGGGCCCGTTATCATGCGCAGGCGTAGTGACAGTAAAACTGGAACTCAGAATGGGCGTGAGAGTGCCCTTGAATCTAGTTACGAGGAAGACAGCAACGACGCTCTCGATTCTTTGGGCGCCTGGTGTGGCTCAGAACCATCTAGCCTGCCAAAAGACAATGTCGCAGCTGTTACTCGCAATACAGGTGTCGTTGCGCCTACGATTGACTCGGCCATCCAGCGCGGGACCATTCTGACCAAGGTAACCAGGAAGAGGAGGAAGCAGGTTCGCTTTCTGCTCAACCTTGATGCTGGGAAGGTCTATTGGGATCCCTCAAACCCAGCCAAACGATTCTATATCGACGATGTCAAGGAAATTCGTGTTGGTGCCGATGCGCGCAACTATCGAGAGGAACACCAGGTTTCCCAAGAAGCGGAGAATCGATGGTTTACAATTGTCATTGCTGATGCCGAGCGATCCAAGGGTCGACCAGTCAAAACGATTCACCTTATTGCGCCGAACGACCGCCTCCTGGAGCTTTGGACCACGACTTTGGAGTACATCTCGCGATACAGAATAGGTTTAATGGCCGGTTTGGCTGCTTCGACTCAGAACGAACCGGTTCTAAAAGCCCACTGGCAGCGCGAAATGACGAGGTTGTTTCCGAGCGGAATGAAGCCGGGAGACGCCGAGGCTCTGGATTTTGCAGCGGTCGAAAGCGTTTGTCAAAGTTTACACATCAACTGCTCCCAAAACATGTTGCGCGCTCATTTTTTGAAGGCGGATACTGGTAATAAAGGGAAAATCAACTTCTCTGAATTTAAAGACTTCGTCACACGCCTCAGAGAGCGAAGGGATGTCCGGGAGGTCTTCAAAAACAATGCTGTCGATCATCGTGACGGGTTGACCTCCGAGGAATTTTTGACTTTCCTTCGCGATGTGCAAAAAGAGGACGTGGACTCCGATCGTACTTACTGGATATCGGTTTTTGAAAAACTTGTCCGCAAGTCCAAGCCTCGTACCCAAGGTGCCGTCGAGGCATCCGTCGAAGATCAGCCACGCCTCTTGAGTATCGATGCGTTCTCATCATTTCTTGCGTCTCCCCGTAACGGGGTATATGCCTCTCGTTCCCCGCAGTCGAAATTCGACCGGCCGTTGAACGAATATTTTGTGTCGAGCTCGCACAACACATACCTACTGGGCCGGCAAGTTGCTGGTTCCTCCAGCACCGAAGCATACATTAGTGCTCTTACACAGGGATGTCGCTGTATTGAAATTGATTGTTGGGACGGTGCGGATGGTCGGCCCATTGTATCTCATGGGAGGACCATGACGACTAGCGTTCTATTTGCGGACTGCATCACCGTTATCAATCGCTACGCATTTTTTTCCAGTGAATTTCCCCTCATAATATCTTTGGAAGTGCACTGCAATCCTGAGCAGCAGCTTGCCATGGTGAAAATCATGAAGGACACTTTTGGAGACCAGCTGATCTTGGAGCCTCTCCTTGCAAACTCAGTTATCCTTCCGTCACCAGAAGAGCTCAAACATCGCATTCTCATAAAGGTTAAGACGTGCGATGAGCCTCAAGAGACTACTCGGCAAGACATGCCGACCCCTGGTATTTCGCACGGTCGTAAACGCAGCGCAAGTTCCCCCTTTATACGCCCTTCGATGCAGGATAACTCTCTCATTCCGTCTCTTCCCTCACTGTCAAGTCCTCCAACAGTGGTTTCCGACGGTCCTGGTCCCGGCTCATTTTTGGTTCCCGAGCGTAGGTCTCTTACTACTACCAGCCTCAGCAGTGCGACGGAGGACAGTGACGGGGCTCTTGTCTCTGCGCGGAAAGAAAGGAAAAGGCGCCAAAAGAGCAAAATCACCAAGCCGCTATCGGACTTAGGTATTTACACACGCGGCTATAAGTGGCATAGCTTCCACTCCACCGAGAGCCAAACGTACAACCACGTGTATTCGTTCGCGGAGCGTTCTTTCGAAAGTGTCTGCCGAGAACAGAACAACAAAGCTCTTTTCGAGAAACACAACTTGAAATACCTTACAAGAGTGTATCCCTCCGGATTTCGCCTCCGATCATCCAATTTCGATCCTCTGAAATTCTGGCGACGTGGTGTCCAAATGGCTGCACTGAACTGGCAGACTTATGATGTTGGTATGCAGATGAACCAGGCTATGTTTGCCGCGGGAAGCGATCGCACTGGCTACGTGCTCAAACCGAAATCCCTCCGTGTCATTTCGCCAGAGCAAGATACAAGGATCACCGAACGAAAGCTCGTTCGATTTTCGGTCAATGTGATTTCCGCCCAGCAGCTTCCCCGACCCCGAAACATGCCTGTGGATGGAAACATCAACCCATATGTTGAGATTGAGATGTTCAGTGCGGATGACCGTGGTCAAAGCTTTGTGTTTGGCGAAGGTGGCATGAACGCCTCTGCCCGGAACGGCATGTCCGGCATTGGCTGTCCTCATCGTCGACGCACGCGCATTGAGCAAAGGAACGGATATAGCCCGAACTTCAACGAAAGTTTCCGCTTGTCGCTGGAAACCAAATATCCGGACCTGGTGTTTGTCCGGTGGACTGTTTGGAGCTCAATGGATGGCCGAAGCACTGGCAACAATGGCAGTGTTCAACTGGCTACATTCACTGCTAAATTGACCAGCCTCTCTCAAGGTTACCGGTATCTACCATTGTATGATGGGAGCGGTGACCAGTATATTTTCTCAACATTGTTCTGCAAGATATCGAAAGAGGAGCCGATTCCTGTTCGTCGCCTTAATGCCGATGAACTCAGAGCTGAGAGATTAGGCATCCTGCGTCAGATTGGCCAAACGGTTTTCAAGCGTACCTCGTCCACCGAGAGGGAGAAGAATGACCAGTCAGACAGGGGAACTGAGACTCCTCAAGAGGGCAAAGAGATCTCTCCAGCTTTGACACCAACCATTTCCACTACATCAACCGCATCATAAAAGGCTCATTCTTCTGGTCGGCACAAATCATCCCGGTTTCAACGAATTCATATCATTCCTCTCGCTTGTATCATCATATCGCGAAATCCTACCATCTGCCTCAATGTGTCGTCATCCCACATTTCCATTTACCATTTGTTTAATTTTCGCCTGTCGTTTCCCATTTTCCTTGTTTTATCTGTCCTGGAGTTTGTCATTCTGGAGTTGGGCGAATTCAATACCATAGGGGGGCTTTCAAGGAAAGGCGTGGCTATATCTATTGGCCTCCTCCTTCCATCTTTCGCTTTGGGAGTCAAACATTCTGCTTTTAACAGGGTACATTGTTGCTTCGCGCGCTGAGAACGCGAGCCAAGGGCGCATTTCTGATGGACATTTTCACTTGTTGCACTACCACTGCCTTATCTTTGCTGAGCGATACCCATATTCCTACCTTTACCTGTATTATTTTTTTGCACTGCATCGCTATGTGAGAGTCACTGTATTCCTTTTCTTTTGTTATTTAGCATTGGCATTACGAGCCGGACTCATTGTATGCGGCCAGGGTGTCATTCCTCTGGGAGATGGCTAGCATTAGGATTTTGCTCACACGGAAGCATTTGCATTGTCGGATTTAAATTGTGGGCAATATGTCATTTTCTGGGGCCTGATCGAAGAAAGCGTGATCTCCTGGAGAGAAAGATATCTTCGTTTTAGGGGGCTATTGATTAGTTTATACGTGTCCTGGACGGCACTCAGCTATCTATTACTTAAATCGACTGATAGAAGATGCGTCTGGGGCGCTTCTTTGAACCAAGACATTTGTGATTGCAATTCATCTATTTAGGCACTTACTCGTAAATGTTTCTCGTAGGGAACCTCGAAGCTCAATGAGATACAGAGTCCATGGTCAGCTCGGGAGAGTTTCCCCCTCGGCCCACTTGCCCCTTTATCCACGGAAGCCAACTTGACTACTTTCCACTCCGCAACTGAACAAGAGCTCCGTCACTTTATCGAGAAAACAACACTCAATAACCTCCTCTCTCAAACTCACAATGGATCCATTCTCAGCAGAAGGAGGTACGCAACAGTGCTCTTAATTCCGTCCCTAACAACAATCTATCCACTATTTCAAATCTAACCGCCCCTCTCACAGAACTCATCAACATTCACAATGCCTTCCACCAAGGCCAATACCAAGCCGTCATAGACTTCGACACGTCCTCTTTCTCGCCCGAAAACGCCCTTCCAGCACGCATTCTCCAGCTCCGCGCCCAAATCGCCCAGGGGAACACAGCCGACGTTCTCGCAGACATCGAGGGCGAAGCCGACCAAACTCCCGATCTAGGCGCCGTCAAGGCCCTCGCGCAATATCAATCTGGAAACGCAGATGCTGCGCTGCAACTAGCCCAGGATCTGGCGGAAAATTACCCGGATAATGCTACCGTGCAAGCTCTTGGTGGGACGGTGTTGCAGGCCGCGGGGAAGAGTGAGGAGGCGTTGAACTTGCTGTCAAAGCATCAAGGTAGCTTGGAGGCGTGAGTGTTTCTTTTGAATGGCCGGGTCTTTCGGGAATAAGCTAATCGTTGTTTGCTATTCTGGGCAGTGTGACATTGATTGTTCAGATTCATCTCCAGCAGAACCGATCCGACCTTGCACTGAAAGAGGTCCAGGCTGCGAAGCGCTGGGCGCAGGACTCTCTACTGGTTAATCTTGCTGAGTCGTGGGTTGGGATGAGAGTTGTGCGTTTTTTAGGACAATCCTATGCTACGATCAAGACTTTACTGACGGCCTCTATTTGTAGGGCGGCGAGAAATACCAGTCCGCATTCTATGTTTACGAAGAACTCGCCTCCGCCGACAGCACTTCAGCGCCGCTTTCGATCGTGGGACAGGCCGTTGCAGAGATCCACCTCGGCCGACTACCGGAGGCTGAAGCCGCGATTTCTGCCGCTCTCGAGAGATACCCGAACGACACTGGGCTGATTGCGAATTCGATTGTACTGAATGTGTTGGCCGGGAAGCCCTCGCAAGACTTAGAAGAGTATGCTATCCCTACCCTCTCGGAGAATTTTATGGGGTGATTTTACTGACGAAAATCTTGCACAGGCGCCTTCGAGAGACCGAGCCGTCGCACGCTCTACTAGCCGATATTCAAGAAAAGAGTGAATTTTTCGACGCTGCTGCTGCTAAATACTCTGCAAAGGTCTCTTCATAGATAATCTGTTTAGTCTTGTGTCTTTAATTTATGAATTGATATGACGGCGAGCTATCCGGTTCTATATTCTCTCCCAATATAGGCTACACAAACAATTTCTTTTCCTTCCGGTTCTCTGTTTGGTCAAGTTCCAAAATTACTAAGAGTATGATATTATGCGAACACCAACTGCTATAGCGTATTATAATTGGCGGTTAAATGAGTGAGGCTCATATATAAGCAAACACGAGCAAAAAAATATGATTTGACCCTGGTATTGTTACCCTAAGGTTCATAGACGGGCCCCCAGCCAATTTCTCAGCCCACGAGCCTGCTGCCCTCCCATCCCAGTACCACTGTAAACAGAGGATACATGTGTATCCTCATACCCAACCACATAGGTAGTTTGCGGAACGACAGTCTTGAACCGTACCGTTAGCATTAGTATAATGCAGAACCTCTCCAGCAGGGTATAGGTAGGATCATTACAACATACCTTGAACCTTTTCGCAAAATCATCAATCGCAGAGAATAGAATCTCGTCTCCTCCCACGAGAATCAGCACGCTCTTCGCTTTCACGCCAGCCCACCATTCAGTCGGTGCCTTTGCCGGCTCACTCCAAGCATCCGATTCCGCTCTCTTCCCCAGATACTCGGTTTGCCAGGTCTTCAACCCTTCAGAAGGAATAACATCCTTATACTGATTTTCGGTGACAGACTTCCCATCCAGAGCAAAACTCACCCACGGCGCAAAGCCGAATACACCTGCAAGTTCGGCTCCATCCTTCAGTGGCAGGGTATCAATTTCCGGATGAGGGTGCGTAAGGTGCAAGAGAACAGAAAGGGCCAGGTTCCCACCTGCGGAGTCGCCGCCAACAATCACGTTGGACGGGTCACGGCCACCTTCAGTAAGAATGTACCGGAGGGCTTCGACGGATTGGCGGAGCTGCGTTGGGTATTCAGCCGGCGGCGAAAGGGTGTAGGCGAGGAAGAAGATGGCGACATCGTGCCCGTTCTTGTTGAGCTCCTCGATCAAGCTGCTGAGGAAAGTGAAGTGTCCTGGAGCTGGGGGCAGGACAAAACCGCCGCCTTTGTACTCACTATTTAGTTCGGGGCTACTTGTTGCCTGCTAAGACTTTTGTTGGGAGGGCAGTCTCCACTAACCGTGGTAGTATATGACAACATTTTTGGCGCTCTTATTGCCAATCCAAAGACCTGACGCACCGTGGTTGAGGCCTACGATTTCCGGTGTAATGTTGTGCTGTTTCGTGTAAGTCTCATATCCTTGAATGGCCGAGGCGTTCTGGGATCTGAAGCACGTATTGATTAGCAATCAGCTATTCATCAAACCCGGAAATAGCTAAAATATAAACGAACTGGAGTTGCCGCGACGACAGCCTGCGGACGGCCTTGCGAATTGCAGAATGCATAACATGCTGATTAAAATGTTTTGTTCCGCTTTTACCCCGGAAAGCGCCAGTGATGACGCTATATAGAACAGCCCCAAGCACTGAAAGGTTGCCCGCAAAGCGATCGGCTTTTTCCCACAGGGAGAGGGGTTCCCCAGTTAGAGCAGATGCCATTGAAAGGTAGGGTTATGGGTTTAAATATAAAATGGGAGAAGTTCTGTGAAAGGTAGTTGAAGGCGCGGGAACTACAGTTTCCATGCAGGGCCTTGGATCAGACCAGGAACAGAGGAAATCAACTCGAGTCAGCTCCGCAGATGGCCTCAAAAAACATCCCCCGATTTCCCCGCACTCTTTAAACGCAAAAAATGACGCTAGATGGGGCTCGAGGTCCGAGGAGGGGTTATGGCTTGGTGGAGCTATGGTTCGCTCCTTCAGCAAGGAGTACCTCGGCTGTGGTTCGGCGTTGGTGGAGCCGGCAATGCAAGAAGACAACCACTTTGCACCGACATAAACATTTCGCAGAAGGCCCCATAAGAGTAAACAAAATCTGTTTTGGATTATATTCATGATTTTTATTTGTAGTCCCCTCTAGTGTCCATTGACCATACCCTCCTTCCCTGTCAGATCACAAAAAGCTTTGAATGTAGTAAAAACATTCTCCTCGTCAGGTCCAGTCCCGGTGTTCTCGATAATGCATTCTGCATTTGCGCCAACGAAGAACACGTATCCCTCCTTGACTTCTTCCGTCTTGTGGCCTACCGTAATCTTACCTTCGCCCCCGGTGCATATTAAGATACTCGGGCCGTTCAATGAATCAAATGTTGCCTTTGCACGTGTGCGACGGAGGTCCGTCTTGACAACGCTAAACTCTTCGATCGGCGGGTCATAAAGAAGAGATTCTGAGGCGCTCGAGTAAGCCGGAGCATTCAGCACGACATACGGGTAATCCGTGGGCCCCAGCTTCTGTTCCTCAATGGGTGCGTATGAGTAGGTTAGCATGTCGGTGAGAGTATCCACATCCTTGAACTTGGGTGTGAAGCCCGCCCGCACAACGTTATCGGATGAAGCCATGCACTCAACGATGTCTCCAGAGATATAGGCGTGGATGTCATCCGCCTTGAGGAACATCGCCTCCCCAGGGTTCAGACGGACGAAATTGAGGAAAAAGAAGACAAAGAGACCAATGTCGTTGGGGAACTGTTCGTTCAGGCGGACGACAACAGATGCCAATTCGACAGGGTTGGTGGGATTTGTGTCCGGGGCATTGACAAGAGACGCAAAGGTCTCTGGAGAATTCTGAGCAGATGTGACAAGTTCTTGCGCGGCCGCTTCAATTTGCTCAGGAGGCGAGTTCATTAACGCAGTAAAAAGCGTTCGCAAGGCGCTTTTGTTTTTCCTTGTCTGTTCTAGGTCATCCGAGTCCTCGAATCCCCTGACCACATTCTCAAAATCGGCTGCGGTCTGTCCGACGAGACCACGGAGGGGTGCAACAGCTCTAAGGAAATGGGCAATCTCAGCTAGCGGCCGGAAGCCACAGAGGCCTTCGAAGGGTGTGATTGCGATGGTCATCTCCGGCTTGTGGTTGTCATCTACAGGCGGAGCAAGAATGTCAATAAACTGGGATGAAATACCAAGAACTATCTTCCTACCTGGGTAGTTTCGGGGATCCCGCGCGTGGAGTTTTTCAGCAAGCTTCTTGTTCGGATGGGCTTGGATGCTGAGAGCTTTTCGGATCGACAGCACCTTAAGGAGGAAGGGAAGCTTGCCGCCATATCGGTCACTAACTTCGGGTGAAATCAAAGCCACATTATCCTGGACTAGGTCGAGCAGGGTACGCTGCGTTTCGAGGTCTTTCGACGGAAGAGACGGATGGGTCCCCATCCATAGCTATCTTGGATCAGTTTCGTGTCCACCAAGTTATAATGAACTCAGTGCACTCTCGAAAGACTCACTTCAGCATAAGGCTTCTCTGATTCAACAGAAAAATCAGAGGCTGCAGTGGCGGCCGCATATTTAGCAGCCGCGGACTCGAGACCAACCTTGCCTGTGAAGGTTTAGTTTAATGTGAACAAAGTATATCGCCAGTCAATCGGGAAGGTGCCTACCCCAGTCGTAGCTATTTACTCCTGTTCAACACAATGAATTAGTCAAGAAGTGAGAGGGACACCGGGACGTTAGAGAAGCACAAACCGCATTGGAGGCGTCGAAGCGGTACCTGCATTTCGGCGAAGACCAAGAGCTAGTTTTCAGTTGAACACAGAGAACTGGAGTGAGCTCAATAGCGGGTCATCTAATGGTGACCTATTGAGTGAATTCCTGGCTGCTGTGTCGCTGCTGCTCAAAATGGCTTTTCCTTTCTCAAAAACTTCTCTGTTTCTTTTCACACACAGTTATGGCCTGGTTTTTTGTATGATCTTTCTTTTCTACCGACCCCTCGATCTTAAACTTCAGGAAAACCAATGAGACTTGCCTGATTCGGCTGACCGCATCCGTCATTCCAAAGCCCGTGATAGTCCCGTGACCAATCTGTCTAGTTCCGATGGGATCTGCCAATCACCGCAAGCCCTCCGGCGACACTGACGGAGCCCCGAGCTCTGCCCCGGCCCCGAATCTCCGGCAGAACGACGCTCGAGCCAAGAGCCGCCGCCCAGCATCCCAGTCACAATCGCTGTTACAGCCTCCGTCACTGAGTCCGGTTTCCCGTCAGGCGCAAACCGAAGGCCCTCCGCACCCTGAATCCTCCCGGGGTAAACTCGTTGTACGTCCACACAGCTTAAGGCACGGCGCTGCTCGTGGTACGCGGAGTGCCACCAACCGAGAGCTCATTTCCGCCTTTGAATGGGCCGCTCTCGAGATTGAGAAGCAGCACTCTCCAGGGGGGGCCTCAACGGCTGCCGAGGACCGTAATCAAGGCCATTGGCCGAAGGTGGTCGTTCCAGTGCCCAAACCTCATACCAAGAAAATGTCTCGGAATCGTCCCCGGGGCCCTCCCGTGCCCAGGGACAACGGCCTTGCCGTGAACGAGGAGACTGATATGTGGAATAGGATCCTCCAGGATCTACGCAAGGCAAAGGAGAAGAATGATAAGCAGAAAGACTTGGCAGAACAGATAGGGGCTTTGAATGAGAAATTTGGCAGAGAAGGTGGAAGTAAGTGGTATCCCTTCTTTGTGTAGCTCCGCGCAAGACTCACAGTGCCCTCTATAATGAGTTTACGGACAGTTAACTAATACCTACTCGCAGAACCCACCCTCAGTGAGCATAATCAACTCGATGATCTTTACCGTCAAATGCTCAAGCTATGCGAAGACGAGAGGGCTATTCTTCAAGATGAACCAAGCGACGTGATCAAGAATTTGGGTCTTCTCACTGCGCTCCGGCAGGCGTCGGAGGCAGAGGCTCCCCTGAGCCGTGCTGCTTCTTTATCCAAGTCACGGAAGAAGCGGAACGATGTGGACGGGTCGGCTACTGATTCACCAGGTCCGTCAGGCGTCTCTGACAAAGGTAGTCGCTCCAAGAACGGCACCCAGCGCAGCACCAGCGTGTCCAGCACGCAAGTCCGCGATAGTGTGCAGGTCAAGATAGAAGAAGGATCCGAAAGCGCCAAAGCTACACCTGCAGAGCGCAACGGACAGCTAGCTGTGGGTGCCGAAGTTGTCTTCAAACACAACAAGAATAAGCAGGGTGTGGAAGGTGAGGGAATTCAGTGCATTATTAAAGGGATTACAGGTGAGGGAAACAAGAAAAGGTTGGTCGAGCCTTTCAGTCCTTATTTTCTGTGCAAGATTGACCGATGCATGTATCATCAAGATACGATGTCCAGGACCCGGAGCCGAACGAAAACGGTGAACAAGGGGCTGTCTACAAGACCACGGCTGTGTCTTTAATCCCAATTCCTCGAATGGGGTCGGCCTTACCATCATTCTCTGTAGGAAAGCAAGTTCTTGCACGATACCCTGATACAACGACCTTCTACCGTGCAGAGGTCATGGGCTCTAAAAAGGACACTTATCGCCTCAAGTTCGAAGGCGAAGAGGATGATAAGGAGATGGAGGTGGACCGACGGTTTGTCCTCGATATAACAGGGAAGTAAGACGCAGACTGGGCCGCCTAGGAAGCTCTATAAACGATATCCTTTCGAAGTTCATTTTATTTTTGCATATTTACTTGATCTGCTTAGTTGGTTTGGCCTGGCAGGCGTTTGCAGCGTATGGATTAATACAATTTCCTATTATGGCGAAATATAAGTTGTTTACTAGTACTTTGCTCTGTACTCCCGCAATATGGGGGGGCTTACACACCGGCGTGGTTCGAAAAAAACTCGGTGTGTATCCCCCAAATATGGAAGATGCTAGATGCTTTTTCTTGGCTGACTGTGGATTTACTTAAGCTGTTGTCATCGAGACTCGAGCGATGACTCAGCGCATCCCCCGCCAAATCCGCCGCTGCTCCCGAGGCTCCAACTGGAAATCCACATGCGGTCCGAAGACGGCCTGGCAGTAAATGAAGCGTCATGATCAGTGAATGAAAGCTGATAGCGCAGGCTTTCTCTTTCTGGTGTTCATACTTCAATTTCTGACATAATTTGTTCCTTAGAATTGAGCCTGAGATCCCACTGATCGGTATTTTGATTGGAAATCTATTGTATATCACCCCATTTCCTCACATTGCGATGGCGAATTTACCATCCCACGCCTCGCCCACGTTCGGCGCAAAGGCTGCCGCTCCCACACAGCCGATTGAACAAATATCTCTCACTTCAGGGCAGGCGTCGTCTCTGGACGGTCACTCAGATGACTTTATACAACGCAATATGATGAACGACTCCGGTACTATCGGCACCACACCTGGCGACATGACACCTGCAGTACCTGCCTCCCTCCTTTCCCCTTCCTTCACACCACCGGCTACTCCTGGTGGCACACTGAACAAGGAACGATTGCTTCAAGAAGCTATTCCGCAGACAGTCTCTCATGCCAGACCCCCGAAGCTCCTTCCCCGCCTACCCGATGTCGAGTGCATCGTCCGCGCGCGTATTCCGACAACAACCGGTGCTGAAATGTTCTTACATTTGTATCATAACGATCTAGACAGCAAGGAACATCTTGCCATTGTATTTGGAAATACTATTCGAAGTCGAAGTCTGGACAAAGTGAGACCTGGCGAGACGGAAATGGATCGGATGATTCGTGGAGCTTATGTGGGTAAACTGCATCCTGGTCGCGTGAGCAGTTGGCATGATGCGGCCAAGGAAGGAACCTCTGGTGAACCAGGTGATGAGGCCGACGTTGGTGCCGTACATGATGCAGATCTAATGCACGAGCAATTGAGTGAAGCTCCGTTAGTACGCATTCATTCAGAGTGCTACACCGGGGAAACGGCTTGGTCTGCTCGCTGTGATTGCGGAGAACAACTTGACGAGGCAGCTAGATTGATGTCGTTGCCAATGGAGACCCTCAATGAGATTGCATCCCAGCAATCCCGGTCTGTACCCTCCAATGTTTCAGGGGGCGTCATAATTTACCTTCGTCAAGAAGGCCGGGGGATTGGGCTAGGGGAGAAATTGAAAGCCTACAACTTGCAAGATTTGGGGTCAGATACAGTCGAGGCGAACCTTCTTCTGCGTCATCCGGCCGATGCCCGGAGCTACGGACTGGCTACAGCGATGCTCGCTGATCTAGGTCTGGGTGTCGATTCGAATCCGCATGGAATCCGACTACTCACAAACAACCCGGACAAAGTCAGAGCAATTGAAGGGCCAGGCCGCGAGGTGATAGTGAAGGACCGTGTGCCAATGGTTCCACTGGCGTGGCAGACTGGAGGAAAGATGGGCATTAAGAGCTCTGAAGTCGAAGGCTATTTACAAACGAAGGCAAGTTTGACGCCGAGTCGTAATTTTTACCCCGATGCACGAATTGAAATTAAACTAACCGCCATACTGGAGCAGATTTCGAAGATGGGGCATATGATTCAGTGATTAGAATTTTAGACCGTGTATTCCCTCTCTCTTCGACCTTCGAGAGGGAGCACACGCGACAACTCAAGCATAAGGATACGATGGAGACGATTCACCTTGTATATGAAATAGCGACGCATGTCCAATTGTTCAATTCTCATTTCTTTCTTGCGGTTTTTAGTTTTGGTTTCTTTGGTATGACTTGGAATACCAGCATTGCTTCACGGATTTCGCCATGGCAATGGCCATTGTATAGGCTTTGATTCCCACAATCTTTGGGCTCATAGTTATTGGGCTAACATAAAACAATCTGCTACATTTGGGGGGTCCTCTAATTTTAGTTATCTTGTTAAATTACGGAGTCGGTATTCTCGACGCCGGAATAAGATTCCGAGGCGGGTTGTTCGGTCCTGGATTCTAGTGAGCAGCACAGCTCTGGCAAGAAAGGCATAAGACAAGAGTTTCCGCCACCGATATGTTCAATTCGAGGCAATATCTCTCCACGCATGCAATCCTGATCCAATATCGGGCGACCCGAGTCGGTTGCATTGGGCACCGCATAGGTAGCCAGGTCTGAGCTTGAGCCACCCGAGTCCGGAAAGGAACTAGAAAACGGCCCCCTCGACCTCGACCTTAACCGTATCGTCAATTCGTCATCCTTCCATTCTCATCAGCCCATACTCCCCCCATCTTTACGCTATCCTCCTACTCTTTCAGCTCTTTCTTTCCAGTGATTGCTGGCCATCGATTCTCGCTTATTCATACCTGAAAGAAATCGATACCAAGTTTCCCAAATGCCTCAAATCCTCCTGCGCTGATCAACGAGATCCCGCCCGTGGACTGTCCGCGTCCACCTGCCAGAAGAACCTCCACCCTCGTGCTTCGAAATTGAATGGCCATTACGACCCAACAATTGCCGCGAGTAGGCAATGGCCACACGCCTGCCCTCCCTTTCCGATGTGGCGTCCTCGTCGGCGGTCGAAGTCTCGTCCTCTTCCGCGTTGCCCGCCCTCCAACGTCCTCCGATCGCAAATGCGACAGCTCCAAATGACTCAGAAAGCGTGAAGCTGGAGGACTCGCCAACACCTGTTGATGTGGCATCCACTTCAGCCGATGCGCATGCGCTAGGATCCAACCCCGCTGATAATAAATCCAACAATAGCCCTAGTCCTGCAACGACCGCTGCGGGCCGAAAACGCAAGCTGAATAGTGCTTCCGCACGCGGCGTCGCCAACCTCACCCCCGATCAGCTCGCGAAGAAGCGAGCCAACGATCGCCAAGCTCAACGGGCAATTCGTGAAAGGACGAAAACACATATTGATAGTCTGGAACAACAGGTTCGCGAGCTCTCCTCGCAAAAGCCCTTCCTGGATCTCCAGGCTGCACTGAAGCAAAATGAAGCTATCTTGGCTGAGAATAAGGAGCTCCGGCAAGGACTGAGGGCGATTGTGGATACCATTCAACCACTGCTCGGAAAGCAGGACCCATTAAGTGAGATTTACTTTACCTTGGCATCTGGCGTTACTTACAAGAAATACTTGGGGACTATATGTGTAGGTTTACTAACATCGCATACTAGATCTTCCAGCGTCAACACCTGCAACAGCCAGGCCGACAGCTCCTATTATACACCCGGCATCGCCTTCTTTGGATAACCATGTTTTGCCGTCAAATCCTCACAGGTCCGCGACAGTTGACCGTGCATATACGGAATCCGTTGCAAGCGTGGACACTCCATCGTCTACCCACTCAGCACCGACATTAGGCTCGCGCCGCGATAGTGCCACGGGAAATAATCCGTCTTTGCGACTCGCATTCGATTATCAACGGCACAACTTAATTCATGGACTGGATTTTGGCGGCGATGAGAGAATGGGCTTCAATTTCTTGCTCGATCCCTCGCAGCAAGTGCCCAAGATGGAAGGTTTTCGTCGTCCACCAGAGGTTAGCAGGTCACAAGCAGGCATCCCATCGACTTATAATACCCTCCCGCCTCTTGGTACCATGACAGACCAAACGCTGCCAGCTTATATGACCCCTGTTCGAAACATTGCTCCGACGTGCACTCTAGACGCAATTCTACTCGACTTCCTTCATAACCGACAACGGGAGGCTGCGAAAGGAGTACCGAAGCAGAAGCTGGTTGGGCCAGCATATCCGAGTGTCTCCTCGTTGCTTAATCCAGAGAGGAGTGTTTATTCTCATCCTCTCTCCAAAGTGTTCACCGACATCCTGCGCACATTCCCAGATATATCCTCACTTCCTGATCAGCTCGCCGTGCTTTATGGTATGTTTCTCTTGATGCGGTGGCAAATATACCCGACAGCCGAGAATTACCACCGTTTGCCTGACTGGCTAACTCCACGGCCCTCGCAACTTCTCACACCACATCCGGCATGGATTGACTATCTTCCCTGGCCGCGGATGCGAGATCGTCTTGTTATGTCTTACCATGAGTATCCCTTCGAGAACTGGTTTATCCCATTTACGGACTCACTCTCCGTCAATTGGCCTTATGAGGCCACGGACTGTCTTCTCTCAGCTGGCGACACTGACGAATTGATCATCAATCCCGTTTTCGAGAGACATTTCTCCGATATAAATAACTGGACTCTAGGCCCAGCATTTGCCGAGGAATTCCCACAGTTGGTCGAAACTACAAAGATCAGGCCCGTACCATGATTTGGCTCTTGTTTCTACCTGTATTTACACTTTACGGAGAATTTTGGCTCGTTTTTATTACCCCATTATCCCTCGATCGACTCTCTGAACAAGACTCCAACTATACTAGTTGAATTTGCATATATTGAGCAAAGGAAATAGGTCGGGTATTCCGTTAACGGCGTTCGAACACTGTATTTTTCTCCCGCATGGCTTATAAATGGTACTGGATACTATCAATGGAGCAAATTAATAAAAGTTACTTTCGACAATCAGCTCTAGAGGACGTTTCTTACTCATATCACATTCTATGGTCCTGCTGACTTGGCTTTTGTTCTTCAAAATTATACATAATATGTAAACATTACACATAGTTATCACATACATGTCCTAATTAGATCGAATATATGCAAAACTTTCCGTCTTCATCTAAAAGTTGCTTAACCCTTTCGACTCTTCTCATTCCAGAACTCCATACCCGCCTTCTGTCGCAAGACTCCATACATGGAACTACTGTCTAAACATTCACCACCATACTCCCGAGCAGCCACCATGTTGTCAGTAGCTACCTGCAATGCCGGGAGTTCGACATTATTCTCCTTCGCAACGGTAAATGCATGCTTTGCATCCTTGATTGCTAAGGAGACACCGAATCCAGGACGAGAGTCAAGAGATGGTGCGTACGCACCGGTTGTTAAACTGCGGAGTGTCAGACATAGGCATATCTCTCATATGCAGGATTTACTAGGAGGCATAAATACCGCTTCGAATAACCCCCAGCAACAGGCCCGAAGGCTTCCCCGATTAGCTCCTCCATTGCACCTGTTCCAAGACCTGTGCGCTCAGCGAAGACTTGGGCTTCGCCGACGGCTTCCATTAGGTTGACAGTTATAATATTACTATTCAAGGGAAATGGGGAGTGACATTAGCGGTCCAATTCAGCTCCCAGTACATGGGAAGACTCACCCAGCAATCTTCAACATAGAAGACTTTGTCGCGTCCTCCCCGCAATCGATCACCTTGCGACCCATGACGTCCTGGATCAGGGGCTTGACAAGATCCGATGCACGTTTTGGTCCGCCAATGGCAAATACGAGCTTGCCATCGACAGCAATTGGATTGCCGCCGAATACTGGCGCGGCTAGGAAATCGGCTTGCTTCTCTTTCAGTTTCGCGACTGTTAGTCCCACCGTCTCGGGGTGGACGGTTGAGCAGTCGACAAAGATCTTGTCTTTTAGCGACTGGTTTGATTCAGTGACACTCGAGACGAGGTTTTGCAGGACAGCGTCATTGGATATCTTTAGATGTCAGTATATCTAACCGGCAGCAATGGGCATCTGGGTAGGAGGAGGGTAATTACCATCGTGAAAATGATACCACACTGCGCGACAAGCTTCGAGAAGTTTGTCTCGGGGGTGGCGCCAATTGCTCTGAGGGGATCACCACGAGACATGGTTCGATTGGAGTAGAGGAGACTGTTCAGAGTACTCTTGGTTGCCAGATGCTTCTGGAGATTGGTGGCCATTGCAAGGCCCATAGAGCCCAAGCCATACTGTTTATCGGGCCTTAGCATTGGTTGTTTGAGCTTTTGTTCCAGAATAATTCGGCGAGACTCACCCAACCAACTCGATTCATTGTGTTCAATTCAAATTAAATTGTTGGCTACAGCTGGCTCTCTGTCAATTGAGAGGGAGGTCGGGTGTTGTTGGAGTATCCTCGCTACTTAGATGGTCTCCGACTCGTTATGGATATTGATAAGGCGGTCTCCGGTCTCGGTCGAGAACCAAAAATACAGGACAGGGTCTTCATAACAGCGAGCGAGGTCGACTTAAAAAGCGGATTAGATTATCTAACGTATTTGATTATTCGAACAAGAGCTGTAGATAAATGAATTCGGGCTCCCTTGGAGGTTGTGTGCCTCAGGCGGTAAGGCATAAAACGTCGTCAGTCAGCAACGCAACCACGGGCACCGCCAACTTACTCCTGCTCGCTTCCCCTCATAATCACCAGCTCTCCCCACGGCTGGACCCCATATACATGATTCTCTTTTGTTTTTCACACAGGAATTGATTGAGCTTTTTTTGAGCTAGCACTCTTCTACTTTCATCATGGCGGACATGCCCATTGGTAAGCTTTGTTCCCTGTTATTGCTGCTATGTATGCCTGTTTCAAGGTAGCGTCACTAACAACCCGCCAGTGCTCGACGGAGGAACGGGTTTCCTCAAGGTCGGATATGCCGCACAGGTACGCACCCCGAACTCCCAGTTTACTTTTTACTATAACTTAGAGCTTTATATTAACTCCCATGCTTCCTCTAACAGAACTTCCCCGAGCACCAGTTCCCTTCGATAGTGGGGCGGCCCATCTTGCGAACGGAGGAACAGTCTGGCGACATTGTTGTCAAGGATATCATGTGTGGAGATGAAGCCGCCGCTGCCAGATCAATGCTCCAGATTACCTATCCCGTATGTCTATTCCCAGTTCATTCATGCGCCATACCCACTCATGGTCGCGAGTCCCGCCCCCCGCTCCCCGGATTTCCAACGGTCTCGGGCTGATTCATATTGTGATAATTATAGATGGAGAATGGTATCGTCAAGAGATGGGATGACATGCAACATCTATGGAACTACACATTCTACGATAAGATGAAGATCGATCCCACCGGCCGCAAGATCCTACTCACCGAACCGCCCATGAACCCATTGAAGAACCGCGAACAGATGGCCGAGGTCATGTTGGAGCAGTATAACTTTGGAGGAGTATATGTCGCGATCCAGGCGGTTCTTGCACTATACGCTCAGGGTAAGCGCAGAGACAATTATGGCTTATAGACCTGCCGCTGACTTTGTTCAGGTCTCAGTAGTGGAGTTGTCGTAGACTCCGGTGACGGTGTCACCCATATCATCCCCGTCTATGAATCCACCGTCCTAAATCACCATATTCGCCGACTGGACGTAGCAGGTCGCGATGTTACTCGAAACCTTATCGCTCTCCTGCTCCGCCGCGGATACGCCCTGAACCGTACCGCCGATTTCGAGACGGTGCGCCAGATCAAGGAAAAGCTTGCCTATGTGTCCTGCGACCTAGAACTCGACAGAAAGCTCTCCGAAGATACCACTGTACTAGTAGAGTCTTACACCCTCCCTGATGGTCGTGTTATCCGAGTCGGCAGCGAACGATTTGAAGCCCCCGAATGTCTCTTCCAACCACACCTGGTGGACGTGGACCAGCCCGGTGTTGCTGAGTTGCTTTTCAACACGATCCAAGGAACTGATGTCGATGTACGCTCGAGTTTATACAAGGCTATCGTGCTCAGTGGAGGAAGCAGCATGTACCCCGGTCTGCCAACACGACTGGAGAAGGAATTGAAGCAATTGTGGTTGACGCGGATTCTCAAGGGTGACCCGGAAAGGCTGAACGTACGTCTAACGCCAATACTTCCATTCCGTTAACTGAGCTCACGCTAATCCGGCGCAAACAGAAATTCAAGGTTCGCATCGAAGACCCACCTCGACGGAGACACATGGTCTTCCTAGGAGGTGCTGTTCTCGCCAACCTGGTACGTCACTCCATTAATACCCCAAGCTCCACCACATGTACTTACGAACTCCTCAAAACAGATCGCAGACAAGGAAGACATGTGGGTTTCCAAGCAAGAATGGCAAGAACAAGGTGCTCGTGCTCTTGCCAAACTCGGACCAAGGTAGGATGGGTTTTCCCAAGGCTATCTGTTACTTCAATTACCGCGGTACCTCTCAAGCGCTCCTATTTGATCATGTTTATTGCCGCCTATTTTTGTATCTAAAATGAGAGCACAAACTCCCTCCATCATCCCTCGATTCATACGCTCACCCAAATCTCACCAAACCCGCCTCCGCCCCCTTTTCCTGTCGATATACACAGAGCAATTCTCCGGCTGTACCTTGATATCAAGTGCTGCCGTGTAGCTACCAATTATAGAGAAGTGATTCGAGGTGAACAATATATTCCATACATGTCTCTCAACGCTCGCTACTAGTGCGATATGGATTTCAGTTCCTCATTATCAATGCTATTCAATTTTGTATCAAGAGGAGAGATATATGGTACATATACCCGCGAGACACCAATCCGTGACACTATCCCAAACTCCATGATATGCACGTATAGAAAATGGTCCCCGGAAGTATACGGTATGCGTATAGACAAATTAAAAACCCAACCAGATGTATGATGGCCGTGCCAATGTAAATAAGAAAGAAATGTGTATATACAACGATTGTAGAGATTCAGCCAGCCCAATCTAAAATTGTCGCACACGTGGGCTAGTTTATTCATCGGTGTCGGATGAGACAGCATCTTGTTCGATGTTCTTTTTTCGTTCCTCGTTCATCTCGCGATAGGTACTCCAACTTAGGAGGAAGAACGCTACCATAATTAAGATACCACCGCCAATGGAAGACTTGGCGAGCGGGTGGCCTGTTCGAAGCCAGTCGACGATTGCAACGAGGAAAATCGTGAGAAGTGCCGCGACGGATGAGAGAACAGGTGAAGTAAGAGAAATCAAAACTAGGAAGGACCCGGAGAAAGCTATCGCAAACGGGCAAAATGGGCGCACGGTCAGCACTCGGTTTATTGCGCCTGGGACATTACGCTATGATAGTGGAGGGGGGGAGGTGGGTTGAAGGGTTCTTCCTTCACGGGCGGCGATGGGTATAGGGACTCGGGTGCGAGATGGGGAAAACTCACTAGCATTGGCAGCAACTGAAATTATCAGCATCCACGCGGCCTCACCGGTCGGCCATCGGAATGTCTCCAGCCCAAGAATGTGGAGAATTGGCAGTGGAATCCAAAGGACAAGTACGGTAAATAACCCGATAAGGCTGCCGTAAGTGTTGGCGAAGATCATGCTTCGGCCAGCACTGGTTCCCTCTGGAGGACAAGCGTACCTCTTGTACAACACCTCGTACAGGCCATAAAGCACGCTACCGATACCAATAATAAGATTTCCAACAAGTCTAGTAGCACCGTGCCTTCCTTCATCTTTGCCTGTTCCATCGCCTTCGTCTCCGTCTCCATATGCGACAATAAGTACTCCTACAATAGCCACTCCCACTGATAACACCTTATCTAGCCGTAGCTTTTCTTTGAGAAGCGGGATCGAAAATGCGTAGGCAAAGAAGGCAGAACAGTTGTAAATCGCTGTCAAATCGCTGGCAGTAGTCTGGTTGACGGCGACATACCAAGAAACGCCGGCCACTGTAAGTGCACTTGTCACAAATGCTGTTGTCTTGAGGAGGTAGGGGATTGGAGACCGGTGAGTTTCGCGGGATGTTAGGTGCAGGTCCTGGGATTCCACCATTTGACCCGTGGTCCAAAGCAGATGCACATGGCGGCGCCAGAAAGCTTCCCACGAAAGCCCTCTTTTCTGCAGTCGAAGTATCAGGAGTTGCACCGGCCAGAGCAGGGACCAGGAACCGTGAGTAAGGTATCTAACAGTCGAAATATCAGCACAATCACTAATTTGGCGATAGTATAAATTTTCCAAGCACTTACAGCATGCAATACGGTTTGTCCCACCCCAGATCATGTTGAATGTACACAGCTGTCTCTGTCTGAACCACGAAGCTCGCCAAACTTAGCAGTAAAAACCCCGACGCGATAAAATATTTTTGTCGAGTCTGCTTTTTCGCAAGAGCATCTGCATTGCCTTCCGGGCTTTTACTTCGCATTGTCGACCGTCTCGAATGGTGAAGCATAGGCCTGCCTTCTGCATCACCACCCCTAAAACTGCTGGCCGACATTCGTCCCTGCTGCTCACCACCTAGCAGCGGTTGACGGGACCGGCCGTCGAAGGGCCCATGCATGCTTGTGCGAGCCAAGGACATCTCCATATCGTTTGAGTGGCGCGAGTCGGGAGCCTGTTCTGAGTCTCTCCCCTCGTAGCCATCAAATGACTTTTCGCTGCCTGAAGCCACCGTGTGTGTAATTTCGTGGGGTTTTTTCTAAAGCGGGAGCGAAGATGAATGAGCGAAAGGTGTAAGGAACTCTTTTTTTGATCTTAACAAGATCACATTGAGGAGTCGGAATGCACCGGGTATAGTAAGGCTCTCAGGTTAACAGAGAGCCGAAAATGGTCGATATGTTAGGTAGCATAGAACGCCATTGAATCCGCAGATGTAGTCGCACTGCAGCTGAACTCGGTCGGAGAGCTTGCGGGAGTGTTGCAGGAGTGGACAACGAAGCAAGAAGTTCTGGGGAACGGAAATATGGAGATTGGAGACTTGCAGGTGCCACTTGAATCTCAGCTGCCACTGCCACGGTGCCTGATGACGATCTATTACTAATTCCGGGATGGCCAAAGCCGGTTTCGGCTTAGTCAATCGCTGGATCAGCCCCCTTTCACGTGACGTGGGATGTGTGAGCGTTACGCCCTCCAGCGACGCTTCGCCCCTTGCGGCTCGACAAGACATTCTTTTAGTCGCTATTACGTATTCACTTGTATAGACAAGAGGACACCTCGCAGAGCAATCACAAAAAAGCGCCCCAAAACTGCGGCTTGTTCCAAGCCATAGTTGCCTGATTTTTTGTGGCTGTGTATGAACAGCTGGCGACGAATGAACTCATTGCACAGATTGTATCTCCAATGTATTTTTGGATGGAGATTCTGATACGCTCTATTCTTTTTCAAATTAGGTAAGAATTCTGGGCAAGGCTGATAAATTTTCAATATATCGAAGGAAGGGCTAGAATAAAAAATATATTTGGCACAAGCTTGTGCTCCCATCCAAGTTTGGCATGTCCCATGGCGCCTAAGCCTTGGACTTTGGCTTGAACAACGCTTCCTGGGTGTTGTATGTGTACTTAAGGTCCAGATGCCAATAATCTGGAGCTGTCGGTTTTGCGACTAGCCACGCATTATCTAGCGCCTCAACGACCTCCTCTGGAAGAGGGCCTTTTTGCACGTCTCTGAGATTGCTTTCTAGCTGGGCAAAGCTGCTCACACCAATGATGATTCCGTCCCGTCCATCGTCGATGTTGAGCTTGGAGTGGTGGTGAACCCAACGCAGCGCAGTCTCAGGCAGTGTAAGCCCGTGTTTCTGCACTACGGGTTCGATGACGGCCAAGGCATCGAAGGTGGCATCCCGGAAATACCGTTTCCTATACATTTCACCACTCTTGGACTTGTCGCTGTATCGGCCCTCCGCGGGAATATCCTTCGTCTTGTATTTTCCAGAGAAAATTCCACCAGCAAGGGGATTGTAAATGACTATTTCGATGCCGTAGCGCTTGCAGGCAGGAATTAACTCGGTTTCAATTGAACGTGCTGTAGTGCCAGAGGTCAGTACAATCAACTTCCAGGTTGCCCCAGGATCTAGGGCTACAAGTCAGGGCCAACTCACTGATTGCGTTATACATTGCCTGGAAAATGGTCGGTCGTACCCAGCCCCTCTCATTGCAAAGAGTGACAACTTCTGCAAGTTCAAATGCAGTGAAATTACTCAACCCTAATTGCACAAACTTGCCCTCCTTATGGAGCTCGTTAACGGCTTCCAATGTCTCGTCAAATGGAACAGACCGGTCCGGCGCGTGCAGGTAGAAGATATCAACCTGGTCTGTCCCCAACTCCTTAAGGGATGTCTCGAATCTCTCGCGGAGAGCATCGGGTTTATGGAGACCAGGAGCTGTCGGGTAGACCTTGGTTGCCAGCTTTAAGCCTCGCTCCTTCCATTTTGCCTGCGCTGTGAAAGCTTCCTGTGCCCCGCCAATGTAGAGACGTGCGGTATCGACTTCGTTGAAGCCTTGTTGCTGGATATAGTCCAAGTGCTTGTTGAACTCATCCAACGAGGTGATACGAGCGCCTGCTGATTCGTCCGTACCGTATGTCATCAGCCCAAGGATTGTCCTTGGGACTGGGTTCTGAGCAATGAGTGGCATTTTGCTGTCACGATATACGATATAGATAGCTGCGGGGTAAGAGGTGCATTATGTTAGAAGGGGTGCAAGGGACATAACCAGCAGTTACAGCTTACCTAGGTAGTGCCGAGTCGCAAATAAATCTATCGGGACCCTTCAACTGGTTACATACAGCTGAAGCGAAGCAATTAATACTTATCCACGGAACTCGGCAGGGAGCTGAAGATGAAGAGCCTGATTATCAAGCATCACGACCCCACACCTGCTCGCGTCATTCCCGTCGTATTTGGGCACCTAAACTCGTGTTGGCAATAGATTATACTCAGTATATATTGCCTTTCTGCCCATTATAACGCCTCCTATAGGCATGAGACCAAGTGAATTCAACCAAAGGATTGCCTCTCGCCAGTAGTAGTTGGTGCTTAGCAGAATGCGGGCCCAATTGCTTCGAGAAGCGGAGAACGCCGCGAACCCCAGCACAACTCCAAAGCTCCTCCATCACTACTCTTCGCTTCTCAACCCCGCCACCAAACTGTCCATGGCTGAAGGCAATACGAGCGTCCGTATCCAACATCAACCATGGCGACAGTGAGTGGTCCACGTTTCTCAATCTTGGTCATCAACCCCAACACCTCTACGCATATGACAAGTGCCCTGGTCCCCATCCTGGAAAATCTCGGGTACACCGACGTTCACTTCCACTACTTCACAGCTCCGCAGTCCGAATCCGTTACACTCCCCGATGGTCGAGTCATCCACGGCATCCCTAGCATCAATTCGGGTGAGGACTCCGTCTTATCGGCCCTTCACTGCAGGCCATTTGTGGAACCGCTCGTGGCAAAGTACGATGCTTTTCTCGTCGCATGCTATTCAGCCCACCCCCTGGTTGGGATGCTCAGAGAGGCCATCGATAAGTTAGAAGATGCAGCTTTGCTGGAGCTCGGGCCAACCGCAAATATCAAAAGGAAGTACGTGACAGGCATCTTTGAAGGAAGCATCGTGACTTCGCTCTCCCTGGTCAGCTCTTTTCAACTTACATGGGATGGAGGGTTCGGAAAATCGCAAGCTAAGGACACATTTGGTATCGTCACTACTGGGAGTAGTTGGAAGAATGAACTCACCAATGCTGTTTCGGACATGCTCGTCAACTCCGGTGATAAAAACCCCTCTAACCGGTTTGTTGGTGTGGAAACAACTGGGCTCACGGCCGTCGAGCTCCATACCACCCAACCTGAAGAAGTACGACGAAGGATTATCGAGGCCACCGAACGGCTGATCAAAGCAAACCCACGCCCTGTAAGTGCGATTTGCCTAGGATGTGCAGGCATGGCCGGTATGGAGGAAGCTGTTCGTGAAGGCTGCATCAAAGCATACGGTCGAAAGCAAGGTAGCCGTGTGAAGATAGTCGACGGCGTTGTCTCTGGTGCTGGTATGCTTGTGACGGCGTGCAAAGCTGGTTTCTAACGTCATGCTTTAACGATCTACGAGTTCATATTAAGACGTATTTGAGATATGATATTGGAGAGATTATCGGACTCGACCTAAGGAATGTGGAAATATCAAAAGAAGTACATTGATGGCTTGACGAGAGCATATTTTTTTTATGGGCGAAACAAATGAGAAGCGCTAGCAGCTGCATAGTTGTTATGAAAATCAGATCAGCTATAATTGAGCCTCGATTCATGAAAACACATTAATTATTGACCCTGGTGTTGAAGTAAATAAATTCGTGTAGTTTGATCCTTCAGTGTTGATAATGGCGGTATTCACCTCCTGCGTCACTTGCGGTCTGAAGGCCCCACTCCGATCAAACTCCCCCAAGGGACGCGCTACGCGTAGATTATCACCTCGACTTCTCCGGGTTAAACAGGAAAAAAGATGCCCAGGTATGCCATTCCAGCTTCTGCTTTAGAAATCCATTCAACTTTTGATTGTTTCGAATCGTTTTAACAACTTCACAGAGAGATCATCACAATCCAAGCCGGCCAGTGCGGCAACAACGGTACGAAACCCACGATCGAGACCCCTCTCCCCCAGCAGACAACCTAGCCCATTCACGCCGTTTCCGGGCAGCATACTGACGGATATTTCTGCAGTCGGGAGTCAATTCTGGCAACAGCTATGCCTTGAGCATGGGATAAGTCAAGATGGAAATCTGGAGGAGTTTGCGACAGAAGGCGGCGATCGCAAGGATGTCTTCTTCTACCAGGTGTGTAGGCTGCAGTGTCCCTGAATCGGGAACATTTCGCAGCAGTCACTAATGGGTTGTTTTCTAGAGTGATGATACGCGATACATTCCCCGAGCAATCCTACTAGACTTAGAACCAAGGGTAGGATACCCATCTGTGGAGGAGCTTTGCGGACAACGAGCTGAAACGTTTTTGATAGGTTTTGCACGGCATTCAATCTGGCCCATACAAGAACATCTACAACCCGGAAAACTTCTTTATCGGGCAACAGGGTATTGGTGCTGGAAATAACTGGGGTGCTGGATATGCCGCTGGAGAGGTCGTCCAGGAGGAGGTATTCGACATGATTGATCGGGAAGCGGATGGGAGTGACTCTCTAGAGGTAAGGCGCCGCGACAGGACTACACCAGATCCGTCAACCCGAGACACAGAAAATTTAATTTGACATTGAGATAGGGTTTCATGTTTCTACACTCGATCGCAGGAGGAACTGGTTCTGGACTGGGGAGCTTCATCCTAGAGCGCATGAACGACCGATTCCCAAAGAAATTAATCCAAACATACTCCGTCTTCCCCGATACACAGGCTGCAGATGTCGTGGTCAACCCGTATAACAGTCTCCTCGCCATGCGACGACTGACGCAGAATGCCGACTCTGTTGTAAGACTATATTATCTTCGGTTGCTGCGTGTGCTAAATTGCTTCTCAGGTTGTATTGGATAACGCTGCACTCTCACGAATCGTCGCCGACAGATTGCACGTGCAAGAACCCTCGTTCCAACAGACCAACCAACTCGTATGTTCAGTCCATATGCAGCCGTTGAAGACCCGTGCTAACATTTTAGGTGTCTACTGTTATGTCCGCTTCCACAACCCCCCTCAGATACCCAGGCTATATGCACAATGACCTTGTCGGGATCATCGCCTCTCTCATCCCTACGCCACGCAGCCACTTCCTACTTACCTCATACACGCCATTTACAGGAGATAATATCGACCAAGCCAAGACAGTCCGGAAAACAACAGTCCTAGATGTCATGCGTCGTCTTCTACAGCCAAAGAACCGAATGGTTTCGATCAACCCCAGCAAGTCCAGCTGCTATATCAGTATCCTTAACATCATCCAGGGAGAAGCGGACCCAACAGATGTGCATAAATCGCTACTACGTATCCGTGAGCGACGCCTGGCGTCTTTCATCCCCTGGGGTCCCGCTAGCATCCAGGTTGCTCTTACGAAGAAATCGCCATACATCCAGAACACACACCGAGTCAGTGGTCTAATGCTTGCGAACCACACATCGGTAGCCACATTGTTCAAACGAATCGTCCAACAATATGACCGCCTACGAAAACGCAACGCTTTCTTGGAACAATATAAGAAAGAGGCTCCATTCCAAGATGGTCTCGACGAATTCGACGAAGCCCGGGCTGTGGTGATGGATCTTGTTGGCGAATACGAAGCGGCAGAGAGGGAAAATTACCTAGACCCAGACGCGGGTAAGGAGGAGCTCGGAGTATGAGAGGCAACGCGTTTGCTTCTCTTTTGATGTTCACTTTGTTTTATCTTATGACCTGGCGTTTCCTGAGACGGAAAAGGCGTTTTCATTTTATTTTCTAACGTCAATGCGTGCCTGTTATGTTTAATTCTATATTTGGCGCGGAAATTACCTAGGTACCTGATTAGGGGGAAATGAAAAAAATTCGAAACTCATGTTGGTCAGTGTCGACTGTCCAGTAATCTTGCCAATAATATTGCGGTTGGTTACCTCGTCCCAAGATGGACTGTAGCTATTTTAATCCCAATTCGTTGCCGAAGCGCCAATCCATTGTTGCTTGTGATATCCTGTCCAATTGAAGGCGTAGTTGGGATAAAGTTGGTCGACCTCAAAGACGCGGCGCTTCGCCTCGACTTCGAGACCATGTTTCACTTTCAGACCCGTGGCGTTGCATCCCCTATCTCCAGAAAAAGAAACGACAACAATCGTGCAAGGTCCGGTGTTATAGCTTTTCAGTACATGCTACATTCTATTTTCATACTCCAAGTATCCGATATTTGTGACTTTATCCACCATTCCTTGCCTACGCATGCCAAAGACATAACTCGAATTAAGGGGAATTGGCATGAATCTTGCCATCTTGCAAAGTGCCAAGGGCCGTAGCAGGGGGAGGAACCAAGCTTGTTGCAGGAAATCATCCGCTGCAAGGAGTGGTGCAGGGAGCTCAAGAGTCTCGGTGGTAGTGGTAGGGGGGAGTCGTGGTACAGTTAATGTTTCCCCACACTCAACAACAACCAAAGACTGTTACCGTACCTCTCCCATGAGTTGTCAGTCAGTTAACCGCTCAGGAGTCGCCGTAGATAGTAAGACGTATAAGCGATGGGTCCGTGAATCTAGAAGTATTCACCCTGAGAATAATCTCTCAGACCGTGGAACTCGCAGGCTCGGCAGCGCTCATTGGCCCTTGGAAACAGAACACTGTTGAACGAGTCGCCCTTCTCGACATCTTGGTTGGCCATTGTGAGTTTAAACAGAACCTGGCTTTCGTGCATCTCGGCGGGGATGTGGAGATGGTGCAGGAAGGGAGTCGATCGCCAGAGGACTGCGACTCTGCGAGGTGGACGTGAGTGAGTGGTGCAAAGGGTGCAGCAATGCCAAAAATCGGGATTACCCGGTTAGGTCTAGTGCCATGTCCAAGTAGATAACCTCTGAAGAATTATCCATTATCTCCAAATAAGAAATGCTGCATGTTCCCAGTGGCGCTGAGAGTTGGAGTTCGACTAGTTAATTTCTACCAGGGTTCGTCTGCCCTTTCTGTTCCTGATTGCAGTACGAACTCCGAAGGACATCCGGCACTTATCGACCGCTCGCCGATCTCGTCGACGGAATTGGAGTTGGAGGCATGGAGCGATACGGTGTAGAACTCCCTAATCGAGGCCGCAACCTTCAATAATGCTATTGCTGGGAAACGGAAACCGGCTCAACTAGTCAGAGTCTGCAGCCAGCACAGACAACAGATGGCCCGATCTGCACGCTGTGCGTTGGACGTGGTGTGCGACCTCCGTCTCCCATCCGGTGCCCCCCCTTGTACTCGGCACCACGATGGGAAAAAGGTACTGTACAGCTGAGGTATCTGAGGAGGCCAATGTGACGCTCCGTGAGTCCATGACCCTTGAGTCTCTTATTCACTCAGCTGATGGCGCTTGAGAGTGAATTTCATAGCTAGGAGCCAACAGGCTCTCATGTGACTCCCCCAGCCAGGAGATTAAGATTCGATGGCCTCCTGCGCCCCAAGTCACCTGTTTCTCTCAGTAATCCTTTTTTTTTTTTTTCATATGGTAGCTGGGTTATTGCCTGGCTCCAGGCTTTGAGTTATTGCGGGGAGGGAGAGACCAGGTGCACATTGCACAGACATTGGCTTGGCTGCGACCTGAATACCTGGATTGGATTACTACTGGGGATACTATTGCGCGACTAGTAGAGAAGAAGCCGCAGGGTTGGTGCATTGCAGCGGTTGGGCTGCGAATTCGGTGCAGATGGCAACCGCAAACACGCAACCCGGCTCATCCAATTTCTCCGTATGCGCTCTAGGTTCTTGTGATATCGTCACTTGCGACATCATTCAGTCAGAAGTCGTGGTGGCAGCATGACGCCATAAAGTGCGTGGATAAGACACGTATGGACCACGACTCGAGGTATACTAAGGCACCACCACTCACTCGCAACTCTGTCGGTCAGTGAAAGAACTCGGGGCGTAACTTAGTAAGGTGGAAGAGTCGGCCTTCCAAGGTTGCCATCATTGTTACAACTTGCACTGCTAATCGGAATCCGGAATGCGAGAGTCTGGGTCAGTGATTAATAAAGCAGCGAATATTTCAGTACCGCCAGATGAAGCGTTCAGGCGAGTCCTGGAAGCTTCCAGTGCTCCACCAGGCGTGGTTGACCACGACTAGTGACTCCGTAGGCAGTAGGCTGTTTGACCAGTGGCTAATAATGTCAACTGCAACAGTGACCCGACTGCGGCGATCGCCTTTGACTCAGCCGGGCATCCATGAGGCGATTCCGTATAAATTGACTTTGCGCTGCTGTCGCCGCCACGCTGCCGTCCCTTCGCTTCCTTTTCCACTCTTTGTTCCAATTTGTGCTTCTTGGTTTGCGTCCCGGTTCCAGAACCTAGTCCACCCACGCCTTATATATACCGCCATCCTCCCTCTTCACCCATCACTGCGCCCCCGTCCTTATCTGCCCTCCTTATCTCCCTCGCCTCTCCCAGCTCGCTCTTGTGACCGACCTTCTACTCTTACCACGTCATCCTCACATCCTCACATCTGACGACCTTATAATCCCATTTATCTACTTATCTCGCTCATTCCCGGCATCGTTGAGCGGTTTCATTTCACACAACTCTACTAAATCCTTCACCAACCGCTCCGACAACCGACAGCGTCATCTCCGCACCGAGTCCCGACTTCGGCGTCGCCTCCTTATCCGCAGCCTTTCTCCTCCACCTCTCTCGCCACAACCACCCAGCATGGCTCCGCGCAAGCCTCGTTGCAATTTCAAGGAGTGCAAGGAAGCTGCCCAACGCATCGTTGGCGACTGCAGTTTCTGCAATGGCCACTTCTGCTCCAAGCACCGGATGCTGGAAGCTCACTCATGCACCGGCCTTGAGGACTGCAAGAAGGAATCCCATGCCCGGAATGCCGACAAACTCAACAATGAGCGGACTCAAGTCATTAAGGGGGTATAGATAGGGGGTCACCTCTCACTACCTTCCTACTTTCCACGGTCTATCGACCTGCGATCCGTTTTCGATCCTATTCTCGTTTTGAGCGATTTCGGATATGCCGGCGGCTGCGGCAAGGGATATACAGCATTCCCCGTTGGATGTGGATTTTTTTTTCTTTTCTGGTTCTGCTTTCTATTTGTCGTCGTTGAGCATCTTCACTTCTGGGTTGGGGCATACATTTCTCTATTTTCCTATTTTCCGCATCATACGCGTGGCGTTAGACTACTGTGGAGTTGACCTCTTTTGATTCCTTTCTTGTATAGTCTTGGGATTGCGATAGTCATTGACCTTTCAGTTGATGGCTACTTGATGGCAAGATATTATTCATCCATCCACTTGGAGCAGAATCTTGGTCCCATTTTTGGACTATCATCGTGTCCATTGGCGTGTCACATAGCCAAGCGGGTATAGGTACATATGCATACTTTTGAACCTATCATCTTTCCATATTCTAGGAGCAAAGTTGACGTCGAAGATGGTGTGTTTTCGGAACCAGTAAGCGTGCACAACGTAGCCGGGACCATCCTAGCAGGCCAAAGCTCAATCTGAGACCGAGCACCATTCCCATTCCCCAAATGAGCAGGTTCAGGGCAGAGCCAGCTAAGCTGAAGTCGAATTCCAAGTTGAAGCTGAAACGTAAATAGTAAAGTTGATCGTGCTTTAGCCGGGTCCAATCTTGGGCCTGTAAGTGAACAATAAGCATCATGCCCTTCGAGAAAATAGAAGTAAAGACATACATATCGTGGTGTTCGCTCAATCTGCTCAAGTACTTATTCAGTTCCTCGACCCGCTCCTTATGGGTCTTGATGCCCTCGCGCTTCAGTCGCTCTAGTACCTATCGGTGTATCAGCATGGATGTGTGTCGCCATATCCGGGAAATTGAAGATTGGAGAACGGCCTGACACTAGAAACAAAAGAAGGAACACGATACGGAAATAATATTTAAAAACATTGAACAAAAGTACATCTAAAAAGAAACGAAACGAAATACGGGAGGTGGGAAGTAGAGTAGAGTCAGTGCAACATACCCGCTTCTTCCTCATTTCCTCATGCCTCTTCTCGGCTTCCGTCTTCGCAGGCGCATGCGACTGCGACTGCGACTGCGGAGTCGAGGATCCATCACCCTCCTCCCCTTCTTCGCCCGGTAAAGCACCAGTAGTCGTAGAGGATCCCTCCTCCCCAGCAGCTGCAGCTGCAGCTTCGCTGCTCTTCTCTCCCTCCTTCTCGGCACCGCCCGCGCCAGCAGCGGTAGCGGCGGAAGAGCCCTTCTTGCTGCTCTTCTTCTTCTTTACCCGGCCGTCGCTGACTTTGGCGCCCTTGAGTTTGAGCTTCCCGCCGCCGCCGGCTGAGTATTCATCCATTGTAAATGGGCGATAGTCTGGTATTTGGTTCTTGAAGGTGACTTGTATGGTCTTAGTTAGGAGACGGAGGTGATTTGACGGAATGGGAGTGGCGGCGGTGCTGCTTTTATGGACATCACGTGACTTATACTTGCTGGGTTGAGGAGGCTTCTGTCTTGAGCTTTTAAAGGCTCAATTGTGGGCTTGATTTACTTATAGATAGGAAATTACAGACTTTTGCTTATGAGATATTTGTAACTTGGCCCGAAAATTTTGGGCTATGTCTGCATTAGGTAGGATTCTGGTTGTAGCACGGTTAGAGATTCATAGTCGAGTCCAATTAATGAAGAAGAATAAATTTACCATGGATGTATTCACTTCTATATATTTTTTCAGTCAATGGTGGTCCTGAATGTGCATAGACTCTCTTCACAGCTCCACAATCCCCCTACCAATCTACACAAAGCCACTTTATTGAAGACAAATCACATAAGTTCACCCACTCAGGTATTCACGTACCCAGAACAAAGCCATTGAGCAACCGTACAGTATAAGTAGCACTCCGGGGTATAAGCACCAGTGTGCCCCATCTTTGTATCCATCGAGCCGTCTTTAGTTTAAAGTAACGACATGGATCCAATCGAGTCAACCGAGCCTACTTACCAAACTGGTCAAATTGAGGTCGACCAGATAATGTCAGACCAAGATTCAAACGACGAAACAGAAGATATCAACCCAGCCACTATAATTGACATGAGCTACCGTCAAGCCCCAGAATCTTCATGGATTCCAGGGCAACAAGCAAGATACGAGTGCATAGCCTGTACACTCTGCAGCACAGGCTTAGACTGTCCAACAGCAAGACACCCCTTCAACGCAGAACTCCAAACAGGTCTGCGCTGCTATCAGTGCTCTGCGTGTTCACATTTGGAGTACAAGCCCACGGCGACTAACGGGCGCAGACTCACACAGAAACAACTAGAGGAGCTGGACACCCCGAAGCCGTACAAGAAGCCGCCTAAACGCTTTTACTCGGACGAGTTCACGTGGTACGTGGTTATCCCTCTTGAGGAGAAGTGTGACTCGTTGATTTTCAAGTACAGAGTTGCGCTTGCGGAAATGGAGAATGCCAAGGCGACAATATATACGGAGAAGCCGGATGATGAGCAGTGTGGGAGGGGGTTCGTTTTTGAAATTGGCATGAAGCAGTCCACGGACATAAAGATGGTGCTTGAGGAGGCGAGAGAGATCCTTAGGGATAGGTTGCGAAATAATATTAATGTTTGGGCGATGGAGGTTAGTATAGATGAGTGGAAATGAGTTTTTGGCTTCTGTTCTGAGCGTCTTTTGTCCATATTTGATATTTGTGGTTTAATGGGATTGTTGGAATCATAACCAACTATTGCCAGGGGAAACCAAAAGGCAGTAAGGACATCAAAATTAAATCTATATCATTCATTTAGCATTCTGGTATCTGTATATGCAGTTCCATTTCAACATTCCACATGAATGTACTTAGAAGTAAGCCAGCTAGTCAAACGGAATCGGGCGTAGGCTCGAGCTCCCACCCATCCGTTTTCGCATCTCAGCCCCAGCGGCTATAGTACTCGGTACCTTGATTCCACAACAGTCGCCGAACCAATCTGAATGCTGACTGTGGTCGTGGACATGCCCGTCTTCATGCTCGTGCGTATGTTCGCTTTCCTCTTCTCCAGCTGGGAGTTCGCCCATACCAGATTCAGCAGGAAGCAAACTGCCAAACAAAAAGTGCTGCATGATAGGAAGTTTCCCCATGACTTCCTTGATGAACATTTTCTTCATGCCGCTCTCGATCTTAGTCCAATTCTTCGCGCCCGAGATGTCATCCAGCATAGGACTATGCCACCGTAGACCTTTTACTGTCTTGACGCTATCCACCCATCGTACCTGGTCGAGATACAGATATCGATCACCCTCTTCATCAAGAATAGCGGTATTATGAATCGCCAGCGGTGTGACATATGGGTGTCCAACAAGCTGTGCTGCGCCAAACAAAAACGGCAAGAAGTGGTAATCATCTAATCCCCAGACGCCGTGGGACCCGGCGGGTTCGAGATAATACGTCGACTGGACATCACGCATAAGGCACATATACCGAACATAGACACGGAACACGATCGACTCAAAGTCCGGCTTTGAGAACAGACCTAGCTGTCGCAGACAGAGCAGCCACATCATGAAATTCAGTTCGTGCCCCGAGCCATAGTCCAGTCTGTCCCGCGACCCCAGCGAATGAATCAGGTATGTAGATATCTCGTTAATAGCGGGCTCGTTTTGTATTCCGAGAATGTCTCGATGCCATGCTGTGCTCTGAGTGGCAACGTCGTCAAACAGGTCGCGGAAGGCGGGGTTCCCAAATCGAGAACCGCCCTGATCGATACCTGGGTGCTTTTGGACGAGCTTGTCGATGTTGTCTATTACTGAGAGAATTTTGGAAATGTTGGCGGGGAGGTTGGCTTCGGCATCTGGTGCTGCGCGACCCCGCACGGAGTCAGAAAGACCGAAGATGAAGGCGAGGACAAGGGTGTAGGTGGGAGAGGAGATGAATGTTTCGTGGTCATTTTTAGAAAGGATTCGACGAACGGGGACAGAGTATTCGTGGGAGGATAGGTCTGGCGGGTTTGGGAGGGGAGGGGTGACGGGGGTTGGATCTCTAGAAGATTGGGACTTTGTTCTCGCTGCCCGGAGCTCCGATAGCTTTTGTGAGAGGTCAATCTTCGGCTTCGCGGATCTTTTTTGATCTTCGGCCATGTTGAGAAAGTTGAGTTGTTTTTTGTTGTAAGTTGACAGAAGCTGGCTGTGAATGCTATCGGGATGATGTCAAATCAGGCGAGACCAACGGTGGGACCCCAAAGCGGTTAGCGTCTTTATATAGTAAGAGGGTCCTCAAAGGCTTCAAGACCCCATAATTTCCGTTACAATTAACGAAGCTGGATACAGAGTAGTCTGTCATAAGAATGACCAATGTATTGGGATATCATGGCTGTCATCTCTATGCGCTAACATGCTGTAGTGACACAAAAGAGTGGGATCAACATCTAAATCTTCACTTTTTCTGATCCTTCATTTCTGCCCTCAGCTTCACCATATCCGCAATCCCCTTCCCAGTTTCAGTGCCCAGTTTCTCAAACCCATTGATGACGCCCTCCCGGTCACCCTGGCCCATTTCTTGGCTCATCTTAAACTTCCCCTGTAGGCGATCGATCGTAATCTCAATGCCGATAATGTTCTTCTTCAGAAGGTCGACGTGGTTAACCGGCGCATCGGATACTTTCCACGGTGAGGTATATCCCATAATTGAAGTTTCCGACTGGTTCGATAGTTCCTCAACTTGCTTCTGTAAATAGTTCGACGTCTCCTCAGACTTGGAGTCACAGTAGATTCGGATTTTTCCATATACCTGCGCAGCGGTATAGTTCCAGGTGGGAACGACCTTGCCAGTTGCGGGCTTGGTCTCAGTATAAAACTTTGGAGTCACATAGTGGTGATGTGGGCCATTAAAGAGGACCAGGACCTCGTCTGGGAGCTCAAGACTTGGATTGCCTTGCTCTTGTTGCGCCGCCAATGCCTCCATCAGCGCCTTTGCCTGCGGGTTCTGCTTTGCCATATGACCGCGTAGTATTCCATTCGAGAGGCTGCCATCCGTTGTCTCTGGAACATCTAGTATGAATGGGATATGGCTGCTTTGGAGAAGTGGGTATGAAGGCGATTTGATAGCGGTTGTGAAAATTCCCAGTGGGTTGTCGCGGATGAGTTGGTGGAGGATGGCGATTTGCCCCTCTGCGTGGACTGCTCGTAGGTACATTTTGAGCCCAGATCTGTTTTATGTAGCTTCACTTCTAGACGCTTGTTTGAGTTTTAAGATGAGCAAAGTTGGAAGTATTCGCGTCTGGTCCTCTTATAAAACGATGCGGGGAGTCATATAGCATGGATACCACAGGCGGGATTTGGATGCTTTTAATCGCTCCTTTGCCATTGGCAGAGAAAACCGACTCGTCGCCGAACTTCTCCAAATGGAATGGGGCCCTCTCAGTCAGTCATCGGTCCAGTCTCCGAGCCCCGCCCTGGAGGCAAGGGCACCAGAATCGGGTTTCGGGTCCGGAAAACACCAAGGTAGATCTCGCGGCATACCATTTCTGCTGGTAAAAAATATGTCGTCTGTCAGTGACTTAGTGGTGGGTTAGTAGCCCAAACTCAACGCCATTAACTACTCCCATGGCCCGTAATTCAAAGGCCTCCAATGTTGAAAACTGCGCGCTATCTGGTCATGTGACTCATGTGTTCGTTCTAGAGGCGATGGGCCCTTGAGTTCTTGACCGGTTCCATCCAATGGCTTTATCCTCATGAGCTGTATGGGTTGTCGATATCCGGCAGATTTCCCCACCCACTTCTCCCCATAAATCACCTGCTGGGATTATTATGTCTACTCGAAATTCCTATCTATCAGGCTCCACTTCTAAAGTGGGGAAAAAAAGAAGTACCAGTCAATACGGGCAGGCGTGTTTACCCTGCTTCAAGAACAAGTCCAAGTGTGTTAGGCAAAACAACGCTGATGGCTGCGAAAGATGTATTCGACTCAACAAGGAATGCTCCTCGGCGGAATCTCTTCGCAAGCGATCTACTCAGAAGCCTTCTGATGCGGCTGCAACAATCGCAAACCTCAAGGCCAAGGTTGACGATCTCAATACGCTCTTACATGAAGTCGTTGAGAATTCTGCTTCGCCCTCTGCCTTGCGCGAATTTCTTGAAGAGAGACAGAAGGGCGAAGATCTGCTGTATGAAACGAGGGAACTGCCGATATCTAACCGGACGACAACCACTTCAAGTGATTGGAAGTTATCTCCCGATCAAGAGCAAACACGCCTTTCTATCTTCCGAGAACGGATGCTGCCGTTTCTTGCGTTCGTGGATCTGCCTCCAGATTTGAGTGCACAGAAACTCTGTGAGGAGAAACCGCTATTATTCCAAGCCATTATGGCTGTCACCTCACTATCGGCCCAGGAGAAGCGGGTACGTGGAAACGAGCTGAAATATATTGTTACCCAAAAAACATGGGGAGGCATTGACACAAACTTGGATTTGCTACTTTGCGTATTGACATATCTCTGTTGGGGTTATGATACCTTTATCAATAAAGTCACCATCTCGAGTCCTTCTCGTCTCACGCAGATAGCAATGGCGGTAGCGTACGACCTTCGTGTGAATACATCGGGACCCATTGGGTCATATCTTTTCCCCAGCGAAGTAATGAGCGCAGGCCTAGGCCCGGGCCGTTCGAAAAGTCCTGAGGAGACAGCTCAAGAAAAACTAAAGAACAAGAGAGCTATCTTGGGATGTTTCTTTTTGAGTTCTTTGTGTGTTTTTACTCTTCCAATCATGATCTAGCAGAACACTAACCTTTTGCTTTTACCAATGTGTTTCAGGACGGCGTCTCATTATCGTCGAATGGAACCTATGCGCTGGACACCTCAGATGGAAGAGTATCTCGACACTTTAGGCAAAGCCAAGGAGTGCGTGACCGACGAACTGTTTTGCTTGCAGGTACGCCTCCAGGCTCTTGCTCAACAGGTCAACGAGGAAAAGGACCAGCGGCAATTGGAACGCTATCAGACGATTGCGAACTTGGCGCCCAGCAACTCAACTGAGCCTCTGCTGAATAGGTGGTATCTTGAGGCCCTGCAAAGGAAGATACATGAAATCACGGCTTTGATACCATCGCATCTCAAGTCTAATGGCAAGTTCTCGTGACTGGATTATTCCCAGTCCTGTGTTGACTAAGCCCACTAACAGGTGGTCTATACAGAAATACTCCTGTCGCAGCTCTATTATACCTCTCTTAGCATATACGAAACCATCCACCCAGTCAGTGCGGATGCCGAATACACCCCTTCATTCAACATATCATCTACCCTCGATGAACGGGATTGCCACTATCACACCCTACAGGCTACGCGATCCTTTTTTGATAACTTTTCCAGGTTTACTTCCTTGCATTGGGCCGGGTTTCCTTTCCATTTCTGGGCACAGTCGGTGCGGTGTACCGCCGTTTTAATAAGACTTTCACTCCCCGCAGATCACCGTGACGAAGTTAGTAATACAGTTGACGTGCTCACTGTAGTTGATTCAATTTCGGAAAGAATAAGAGGAGCTGCGGTTGAGATAGGGGAGACCTCCCCAGAAGACTTGTTTGGGAAACTCTATCGTGCCACAAGGGCATTGTACGCTTATATATCCGCCAAGTTGCAACCACCCCCAGAGCAGCAACAGACTTTGCCACCCTATACGGAAGCACCCTATACGGAAGCACCCGTCTGGAACGATGGATTTAATCCGGGTTCCATTGATGCGACGCAGATGTTGATGATGCAGTGGTTTGGCTTTAACGATCCCACTACTAGTGCGGCCATGTCGTTCAGTAGTCCGGCTTTATACTATACCTACATGCCCGACATGTAATCTTTAATGAATAAATGGATGCAATATATATCCAATTGGCATGGGCGCTCGACTGATGTCGATTTCCATTTTGGGAAGTTGCGAGAAGTGGGGCTGACTGAAGAAATTCCACGGGGGTTCCACGGTTGAGCGGCCTAAGCTCCGTCTATAAGGCGTATAAATCAAGTACATCGTGGAAAGTTCAACTCAAAAGTCTTCAACCATTCCAACTTAAAGCAACTTTACTCTTCATCTTTGTGCTCGAAATGGCACCCTCAAATGTTCACCACCCCTCAACAAACGCCCTGCACGCCGACGACTACTTAAATTTGGTGACGGATGTTGCGCCCCCAATCCACTTATCTACAACTTTCAGATTCCCCAGAGAACCTGAGAACCTGATTCCATCTGAGGATCCTGTGGTGCGTGCCGAATTTCTGTCCTACTGAGAGCTCTGTGTTGACAATGCTACAGGAAGAGTTTGACGGAAAGAACTACGTCTATTCCCGAGAATTCGCGCCCAATGCCACACGATTCGAAGCTGTGCTTTCGTCGCTGCTAAAGGGTCATGCCGTGAGCTACACCACTGGTCTAGCTGCGCTGCATGCTGCACTTATCTTATTGAACCCTCGACACGTCTCTGTAGGAGAGGGGTACCATGGCACCCATGAGGTCATCTCGGTTATATCCCGTCTATCAGGTCTAGAAAAGCTTCCCCTCGACTGTTCTGCGGAAAGCCTAGGAGAAGGCGACGTGATCATTCTCGAAACCCCAGTGAATCCACTGGGAACTGCATTCAGCATCAAGGAATTTGCTGAGAAGGCCCATTCAAAAGGAGCATATCTCATTGTCGATAGCACCTTTGCGCCCCCGTCGCTGCAGGACCCCTTCCTGTGGGGTGCTGATATTGTGATGCATTCGGGATCTAAGTACTTCGGTGGCCACAGTGATCTGTTATGTGGGGTGCTTGCGGTGAAGAGAAAGGATTGGCAGAAGAAGCTTATAGAGGACCGGTTGGCCCTAGGGAATGTCATGGGTAACATGGAGAGCTGGCTTGCTCTTCGTAGCTTACGAACCCTCGATGTCCGAGTGCAGCGAGCCAGCGAGAGCTCGGGGAAGTTGGTTGGGTGGCTACGCAAGGCTCTGACTGCGGCTACACCGAAGCCCAACAGTGAGGAACATCTTGTACAGACCGTTCTGCAGAAGATTCACCATGCCAGTCTTCAGGACGAGCCTTGGCTACGGGAGCAGATGCCCAATGGCTTTGGCCCAGTCTTCTCGATTGTCTTGCAGAGTGAAGATTTCGCTCGGGTTTTACCAAGTAAATTGGCTTTGTTTCAGCATGCGACAAGCCTGGGTGGTGTTGAATCCCTTATCGAGTGGCGCGCATTGTCGGATTCTCGGGTGGATAGAAAGTTGTTGAGGGTTAGTGTTGGATTGGAAAGCTGGGAAGACTTAAAGAACGATTTGCTTCAAGGATTCAAGTCGCTCGTGGAGAAGCGAGACCAATAATCTTAGGATAGTTGATATATATCTCGAAACCACAATCTATCCTAGTTTCAGGGCCGCCAGAGTGCAATATTGTCACCACTTCTTTTTGCTAGCACATGGGGGCTGCCTGGATGACTCGCTTCAAACCATCTGAGGTCGCTATGGCCAAGCTAAGCTGCAAGAGCTGCAACTTTGTTGAGTAAGTGGTGTTTCAGTGTATGCGGGGTCCCAGCCTGGAATCTTTAGCGGTGGAGATATTTCGCCCCAGCTAACAGTAGAGGAGTTGAGATCTATTGTTCACAGTGGCCCCATTCTTGTCCTCGGCTATCTTGCCCTGTAATCCCATTTTGCAAGTTTGCCTAGACACCTTCACCGTATCTCGTGCATACCTGTATGGTGCTTACCCCGCCTTCAAACCCCAGCACCAATCCGGGTTGAATCTTCAGGTAGAAAATTCCCAGCGGCTTCGTCGAAATGGCATTCTACATATGTAAGAAGGGTATAAATAAACATTTCCACGGGTGGCATAGATGCATTATGGACGGCGCATTTGAGATTCCCTGTGCTGTCCGCTACCACAGATGCGCATCAGCCTTGGGGAAAGGTCGCAGCGTAAGATTCTGCCATCTGCTCAAGGAGGGATGCAACACTGATCTCTCTGATCCACCCGTGGTTGTTGCTCACTCTGATGCGGCACCTGAGGAACAAGCCTTCAAAGGAGACGTGGTACATTGACCGCCTTCCTAGAAAGCAGCCCGTCTGGCAGAAACGGGTCGATCTCACGGGCAGCAGTGGAACTAAGCCCGAAGTAGTTGGTCACAAGCGTCGTGCAGTGGCGCGTGATTGTCGCTGGCTGAAGGAAGAGAACCTTCAAGGGCCCGCCGAGGAGTTCATTGAAAGCCAGGGAGCAATTCTTCGTCTCAAATATTCAACCTGAAGCTGGGCGCCTCTCGTTTCATTTCTGCTACTCGGCGCAATCTCCCTTGAGAATGAATGCAATCAACAGTGCTTAGCAACTGTCGCGGTCAAATCTCCACCACGAAAGCTGGGGTACTTCATCCGCTACCCACCTTTTCTCCTAGAACTCTGCGCATCAGCGGTGGAAGCCCCTGCTCTCCCGCGAGCACGCCATCATGGACCAGTCTGATCTCAATACACAACACACAAGGGAGGTCGGTGCTTACCCTCCCACGCAGCGATCTTCACCCCTCCATCCCCATTTCAACGCACCAACATATTCTGACTCACCGCATCAGGCGACCATGCCTCGCCAGGAACCCCCACAGCCTGTCGACGAAGTAACTCCGATAGTCAGCCACAACAGCTCGCAACGGCGACGGTATAACTCTACCGAGAATGTCCTGAGAGGCTCCGATGCGGGGCCTGGTAAATTCCCGACACGCCAGGGCTCCAGGGCTCAAAGCCGACAAAACTCTGGACTGGCGGGTTCCGATGAAGCCAAAGCGCCCTGGTACTCTCGGATTGCGGACAGATACGGTAGTTTAGAGCTGGAGAATAAAGGGAGCGTTGCTCGCGATCATCTTGCTTTAGGTGCGTCGAGCCCTTTTTTTTTTGACTGTTCATTCGACTTGCCTTCCCTGGCCATTCCCATGACACCTGGACGTGTTAACAATGAACTTATTTGTAGAACGAACATTCCTCGCGTGGTTGCGAACTTCGCTAGCATTTGCGTCCATTGGGATCGCAGTGACGCAACTCTTTCGCCTGAGTAATAGTTCAACACAAAGCCAAAACAGTGTAGAGATTACATCCGAGAGTGTATCCTCACTACTACCACCTGACTACAATGGTCACGCAATCATAAGGATATCAGACACCTCTGAGCGGCTTCGCAGTTTAGGAAAGCCATTAGGCACAACTTTCCTTGGGGTCGCGATACTTATTCTCTTAGTCGGCTTCCATCGCTACTTTGAGAGCCAGTACTGGATTATCAGAGGCAAGTTCCCGGCCAGTCGCGGCAGTATCGCCCTTATAGCTTTTGTAGCTGGCGCTTTGATTGTATCAGCGCTGGCTGTCATCATCGCTATTTCTCCTGGCGCTGTTGAGAATTAAACAGTGAGCCATGGGACACTGTCAGTGCTACTGCACAATTACTTGTGATACGTCTTTACTGTGCTAGAAGGTTTCGACTCTGAGCTCTATCATCTTTCGGAAGAATTAAGATTAGTTCAGGACTCGAGGTACGCCATTTCCTGTTTTCTTTTTCTGTTTTGTTTTCTTGCTTGCGTTTTGAGCCATTGTACGATTACCATCTCGGAATTTGTTGACGGGAAGGGATTGACTCCACTTTATGTGCATAGTTATAGGGAGCCTGGAGTGAAGGTAGGGGCTCTGATGTTATAGGCCATATATAGCATATACTACGTAGGTAGCTGGACTCCGTATCAGTACTTCTGAATAAACAATGTAACCTAGAAAACCCCAGCGGATATCGTAGATGACAGGCCCGAGTATCAGAAAATTCGAGCTGAAAGCCAACGGTTAATCTGAGTTAACGTCTCCAACACGTGCAACCTTGACCAAAGTCTCAGCTGAATCTGCTGAGGTATCAAACTCTACCACCACTCTTAATACGATACAAAGGGAGGCCTGAAAGAACGAGTGACTCGCCTCAGGAACCATTCCAACAGATACCCTTGTCAATATCATCGAACGAACGGGATTCATATTGGAACGAGCCAGTGTTTCACTCAGCTAAGTAAGCTGGTAGTCGGGCAACGAACTTCGATGGTGAGACAAATGCCTCCCAAACCATGGTTGAGATGTTGACGCCTGTGGTACTCGGTAGCGCCGAACCACAAACTGCTTAGCTCGATGAGATCTGACATCATGATCCATGATCTCAAGGAGAGAAGGAACGCGAATGGTTGACTCGAGACGTCCTGGTGGGGATCGATCTGAGCCCGTTCATCGAGTCTTCTGGAACTTGATTATTCCCGTTGGGAGCTGAACCATGGTTCGCGGGTTCCTCTCGGATTACAGTGTACGAAGTACGGTAAGTAAATATTTTCTCCGCAGACCGCGCGAGAGAAGCAAGGGCGTTGAATAAGATCTGGGTTTTACGGTTATTATTAGTATTACACTGCAGGGAGACTGTGACTATGTGCCGTTCTTGCGCAGGGGTAGGGGGTTCAGAGGACGGAGTTGACTTGCGGTGGCTGCTGAGGAGGGGGGGAAGGGGGTGAATGGCGCAAGATTTATTATGAATAAATCTTGTTCGATATGGGCCTGATTCAGTCTCCCCTTGCAGCGTGCGTTTGACGACGATGACGGATGTAAAGAATTTTCAGGCCGGCCTGATTCTCAATAGGGCAGAGAACGGTTAGGGTTGGGCAGGACAAGGAATGGGTGCTGAACTGTTGATAACTGAGCACTTGCAATTCAAACCAGGCCTCGCCCGAGCACAGCGGGCTCTTGCGTCGTTGCATCACGAGGAAATCGTTTAAACATGATTACCACAGTAACGGTGCCAGGTCAGCAAGATGTGCCACAAGATATTCAACCAATTGCACAGAGGGAAGGCTTTGCTGTCCCTGCAGCTGATCAAGTCGCGCAGCCAAGACCCTGGAGGATTCTGAAGTAAAGCGCAGATGCTCTGAGGTTGCAATTTAGTCAATCCGAAAAAGGCAATAGCTGGATCGCCCGACCAAGGTCGTTTCGGTATCTCGGATGGTTGCAGGAAGGAAGTGACACTAAGCTTGGCAGGGATGGGATGCAGCGCCTATCTCCATAACCCATGGGCGAGCAAGGCCGCAAGGGAGATTCAGCACTCTCCTGTCAGCGGTCAGCCTCCAGGAGACAAATAATCAAGCCCCAGGGGTTTGGTTGGTGCCATTATCGAGTCCAAGCTTTTTGGCCAACATGCTGTCGTTCGTGAGATAAGCCTGAGTCGAATCCTGCGGTATTCACTCCACCACGAACCGCTACCGGTAATCAATTGGATGGAGTTTTATCCGGAGGATTGCAGTCACTTGCGGCCGCAATCGCCACTGCATAATAACGTTGAAACGCACTGATATGGCCTGCATGATCAAGTGGCCAATAGATTTGTAGAAAGGCGATTCGTGATCTCGCAGGGTCAGTTTAGTTTGGCCCGGGCGCTTTCAAAACTGCAAGCCGGTGCCAACTGTCAGTTGCGAATGACAACGCCAAAGGAAAAGTCCGAAGATAAGTTCCACCCGTCCAGGTGCAGAGCCTTGGCCGGGACCTTGACCGGGAAAGGGTTCCATTTGCGATGGGTCAGACTCGAGAGTGAGAGACTGAACTCGGACTTCCACGAAGACTGCGAGGAGGTGGCTGAGATTTCCTCCAATTCCATCAATTGATTTCTCAAAGTCAAAACCACGTGGGCAGGTCGCACCGACCGGGTCCGAAGCCTTCAATCTGATTACTACAGTGAAGTTCATTGAGGACAGGTACCGTCAAGAATACACACCTGAGGATTGAGAACAAGGGGAGGCCCCATCGTCAGCCATGATACACCCTCGCCCGGTCACCCCACAGGCACAGGCACTCCTTGACACAAGTTACAACTATTAATATCTGTTTCAACGTGAGAATTGGTTGATCTCTACTGCTCCGGATTTAGCCCTCTCCTTTCTTCGTCTGCATCAACGTCAGCTTGGGCGCCCATCACGGAGTTGACTCCTGCCGATCAAGCAGATGAAGCCATGCTGGCTGTTGCTTTTGCCAGCGGGGCGTCATCAGAGAGACTGCCACTCTGAGAGTTCACCTCAGCGCTAAGAAATTAAAGGTGGAGCTGGCCCTTCTCCACCAGACCAAGCGAGATTTCGACTCCGCTGCCGGGCGGCGTGATTGGCCTGTGTCTCAGGTACGCCCGCTCAGTGTGCTGATGCCTGGCGTTTTTCTCCGGATTCAAAGACAATGGAAGTCAACCGAGAGCCAAAACAGCTAATCATCCGCAGTCACAATCTCAAATTGGTCGTCGTCGGAGCCACTGTGGACGAACCGTCATGCAATTCTTCACACCAGTCTGGCTTGGCTCGCTCGTCAAGTCTTGCTATCCCTGCGAGGTCCGGTTCTGTTATTTCGATAGACCGCCCCCATTGGACAGGTAACATCCATGTCTTGAATCTCCCATTGTTCAATATCCAAATACGGATTCGACGTCCTTCAAGTCCACGCTCCATATCACATTGTATTATTATCCTCTCCAACCTCAATGTGGTGGCGAGTCTCCATAGTCATGACGTCCATACTCCATACTGTTTCCAAACACCACAAGCAGGTCCAGGCCCAGAGAGGCGGGAAGTGTGGCTCAATAATATCGCCCAGTATACCCTCCATATCCTCGGGGTGGTGAAGGAAGTTCAGCTGTCCAATTCACTTTCCCCGTAAACAAATACAAACTAGTGCTTAGCAGCAGACTTTAAACATGAACGATGGCGATAACAAGGCCAAGCCAGGCGCCGTACAAGCCGGTACAAGGCGCATCCTGGATAGTTCATTTCTCGTCATTTCCCGGCGGCTCTGACTGGCGGAGCGCCGATCGAAATAGAGCTGATGATACCGCTTGTACTGGAGCGTAAGAATGAGGGCCAATCAGTCATGTTGCCCATACGATGGTTGCTCCCGCGCTGTAAACTTAGTGTAAACTTAGGGAAACGACCAGAGTCCACGGCCTCAGGCACTCCACCACCTCCATTCTTCTGTCTCCAACACCTCGATTGAGCCTTTCCTCTCCTTCCTTCAACCTCATCCTCCATCCTCTATCCTCCCCTCTTCCTCCCCTCCCTTTCTCTCCCTTCCTTTACTTCGATTGTGCTTCGCTTTTGTCGCTTTCTTTATTAGCCTCCGTTTTCAACGACGCCGCCCAGTCTATATTCTTCGCCGTCGTGGCCCGTTTCCGTGGCCGTCCACTCCTTAATACCGTCCCTGCTTGTCAAATTTCAATACATTCTCTCTCGCCCTCGCTCTATTCGCCGTATGACTCGATAGGTTTACTCGAATTATCGAGATAGCTGGCGCCTTTTTTTTTACTGCTTTTCACTTCTCCCCTCGGATCTAGAGAATTTTGCCGTCGTTGCGGTCGGTGTTTACCCTAGAGCACCCGTACTTGGTTCAAGGGAAACCGATGTTATTTCTGCGAATTTAAAGACCTCCAGACGAACTTGGGCTTTCCAGTCACTGGAGGGGAAGTCACGTTGGTCTGGAGGTCCTACGTTTGGATCACTACCAACCACCAGGGATCGCTACCCGCCAGCAGATACCGATTGATCTAGAAATCAGCACCTCGAGGTCGGCGCTGTTTGGGTGTTTTGGTACGAAACTACCTTGAATAATGGCGTCTATTTCTCTACCTCTGCAACCCCAGCCCGCCTCATCGCTACCCCATTACTTCGATTCGGCTGATCGAACCCCTAACCTACACCGGCGCAATCAAACTATGTCTACACCTCTCCCTAATCCACCATTCGTTTTTCCGGCACGAGAACCAGATGACACGCACAACCAAGATTCAGTGACCATGAGAAGCGACCGACCTGCCCTTCCCGCATTCTCGTTCAACCCGGGATCGATGGGATCGAACCAGGCGCCGGCGCCGGCGCCAGCCCCTTCCTCGAATCGAATGAGTGGACACCGTCGGCAATACAGTGAGTTTGTTGGTGGTGAACAGATGGTTACTCCTGGAGATTCCGCTGCTGGCCAGGTGAGCGAGGAGGCTTCAACGGCACCGGCAAAGTTACCCCCGCCTGGACCTGGTTTCAGTGGAGGGAACCGCCGTCGACACGCTCACAGGCGCTCGGCGGCTATCTCAAGCGTTGATCTAACGGCTATTTCCAATGCTCTTGATCTGAAACCTTCTACCGAAAGCGCACCCTCTACTCCGGCAGATTTAATACGAGAGCGTAGGCCTTCTCATGACCCGACTCGACCCATGTCACATTCAGCGACAACCCTTTCCCGACTTACTCCCCCAGCCTCGCCCCAAATAGTGGTAGACGGGATGTGCTCAAGTTCTCCAAAGCCAACTGAGCGACGACCTTCGAATCCGCTCCTTTCCACCGAAGTCCTGCCCGATGTTCCCGAAACCGAAGATGCGGTACAGCCTGCCGTCTCTGCTGAGGAGAGCGAAACTGTGATGCCTTTTCCTAAAGCTGATTCTCCGTCTGGTCCCCAAAAGTCCAGACCTAGGCCAAGAACCGCAGACGCGTCTTTGATGCTCGAACTGACTGGAAACGGCATTACAGATAGCTCGCCGTCTACAAAACGACCAAACTCTGCGGCAGGGCATTCCCGTTCTCACAAGAGCATGTCCTCTGGCTTCCTCACTACAGCCTTGAGGAAGAGTCACATTGAGGATGATGGGGATGGACCTAGGCAGTTTTCTGATGATGATTCCGATGTCAATGGAGACGACGTTGATGAGCTATCGGGTTCTCCATCTTCCGTTTCGAAAAGAAATACCAAGGCCAAGAAGAGGCAAAAGAAGGTTCGGTCTTGGGCTGGTTCTCTTTTGATTAGGAATAAAGGAAAGCATCAGGACACGGGGAAGGACAACACGGAGAAGTCGTCGAAGCCTGTACGCCCTCCTGCGCTCACTAGGACAAACTCAGATTTCGGTTCCGGCTTGGATGTGGAATTTGACGACGATAATATCGTCGTTCTTCGGACACCCACCAACCCCACGCATCCAGAAACCCAACACGATCCTGACGAGATTGAGTCATGGGCATCTTTGGAGGATGCATGGAAACCAAGGAGCTTTTACGAGCAAACTACCGCCCCCAATACTACTGCAAGTCCTGTGATTGACTTGGACGCAGCTTTGGGACCGTTTAATACGCCCGATATGCGTACCAGTAATGCTCCGGAAAGTGGCTTTTCAGCAGCAACCAAGCGAATGTACAGCGGTGGGCGAAGGGGAGAGTTTATTGGCCCAGAGATGCGGTACCATCGACGAGCTGAAAGTGCTCCAGAAATGCCTCCGTTTGATCGCGCATTCCTTGGAGGCCACCGATTCCCGACCACCTCATCCCTGGAGAATCCAGACGTCTTCTATGAAGAGGAAGAAGATGCTTTCCTTGCAGCCACTAGTGAATCCGGTAAAGACAACGATGAACCCCCACAAGATCCAGCCACTCGTACAGAACCCAAGGACAACAAGTCAGAAGACAGCGTGGGGAGCTCCGATACTTTGACCCGACAACCCACGGATGTGTCTGTTGGCGAAGACAGTACCGGTCTTGGGATCCAGAAAGCTGCTGCTGCAAATGATGCAACACCCACTCCTGGTGCATCTCCGTCTTCCCAGGAACTCTCCAAGCCCGTCGAGCAACGTTTCTACACTGGCCAAAACCAGAAGTTATCGACGCCATTTTCCCTGCGCCCGAAAACCCCGATCGAAACATTCCGGCCTGAGGAATGGCAAAGCAGGATACGGGCCCCTCCCAGTCCTGAGATTTCTCCTCGATTCTTACCTGCCGACCATCGGCCCGTGACCTCGCCCACTGAACTTTCCGCAATTCCTCCTTTCTCCCTTCATGGGGGTTGCTCTCTGCCAAATTCATCCTTTCCATCGCCTGACTTTACTGTCTCGTCGGAGCCTCCGCGCTCAATCACCACATCGTCGACAACCGACCCATTTCCCCATGCGTCTGTGGAGGATGTGCCTTCACTGACTAGTAGCGCATCTACGATGACGAATACGTTCAATCGTTTTTCTGCATCATTTTTCCCTCGCCCTCGCATGTCGACAGACCGCGCAGCATCATTTTCTGCTGCCGTTCACCGTCGCTCCAGTCAACCTAGCTCCAAGAGATCGAGCCTTGCGAGTCTCTCTAAACTTGTCGTCGGCCCGCACGCCGAGAGGAGTAAACTGAGTCACGAGGAGAAGCCACCAGGCGACGAGCCTGAGAAGGCTAAGAAAAAAGGCCGTCGAATCAGCCGCCTGATGCATTTCTGGAGAATGAAGGACAAAGAAAAGCAGAATGAACGAACTGTTCAAAATTAGCTGCGGTCACGATGAAATGCTGTTTCGGAAAACAATCGACACCTGTGTACATAGTATCCCGATTATGATTTCTTTTCGACATGGCCCTGATGGTGCCATACCTCGAACCCTACTACTTTCTCCCTGTTACTTGTTTCCCTTCTCTTCTCTACTTTCCCTCTCGCTCCCTTCTTTTCTTTCTTATTTTCTCTTCCAATCGGTCCACCTTCTGTTGTTGGGATACCTGACGAATCTCTTTTTCTTGGTATGTTATTTCAAGCGTAAGGGTATGATACTTCTTTATTGTTCTTGTCTCTCACTATGGCCGGTTGCACTATGTGATAAACCATCTGCTACAATTGTTGTTTCTCTCTGTCTTTTGAGCTCATTTCTCTTCCTACAATCCTTTTGTTTAATCGTCTTTCTCTACTCTCATTTGCAAACTTCTTGAGCCGGTTTTCATCGGCAGTGACTGCATCGGAACCTGGTGTCTTCCTAGGTCCGCTTGGAGGTGAATTAGTTAGCTTGAAGTTAGGATTGGCCATGGGCCATTTACAAGACAATAAACTCCACATTCTATGTCTTGAATGAAGTGCATAAGTCGTAATTACAACGAACCCAAGTCAATGTAGTCGATAAGCATGGTGGAAGCTGAAGATATTGAACACATCGCACTCGCCGGCTCGGTTTATCCGCACTCACTGAACCCAATGCACACAGCCCTCTGTCCTCAATAGCAAAGCAAACAGGGGTATAAAAGACCTGGGAAAATCGAGTGCAATGGAGGAATGACACTGTCTTCCAACTTCATAATAAAAGAACAAAAAAAAAATCGACGACTATGTCGATAGGAGTATTCCAAAGATTAAAGAGTAGGGTATTTTGCGTGGCCCACGGCCATCTCTGGTAAAAGGCAAGAAATGGATTCTGAGCTAGGCCCACACACCCGTCACCAGGACAATTCCTTTTTACCCTTTATATACCAGTGCAGACGGCTTTGGTTCGATTCTCGCCCAACGCACTCGCTGCTTTCTTCTTTTCCATCGCCCCTCCACCATTGAAATAATTCATTGGGGTTTTCTGCATGATTTAATCTATACGGTATCGGTTTGATCTCGGTCCATTTTATTTTTTATCTTTTTCTCTCCTGATCTGTACAGACGAGGATCATTTCCAATAAGTTGTCTGTTATATTTCGCCATATATATATAAAGGATCAACCGAGAAGATCCAACACCTTGCTCGGAGACGGACAGATAATAAATAGCCTAGTCAAACTTTTCATGACATATATGGCCAAGATCCAACAATATATATAAACAAGCACAAGAAATGGCACCACCAAAGTCAAACAGCAGCCGAAAACACGCCAAGGACGATGGCAAGAGATCAGAGAAGAAACCTCTTCCTCGCCGCCAAGTTCAAGGCCAAAATCGACCACAGAGACAGCAAAATGACACCGGTGCTGAAAGTCAAACGGAAAATCAGATTGACATATCTGATTCAATTCCGATAGCTCTTCAACAGCTTCTCTTGAATGTATTCAAGTCTGCTTTGCTCTCATCGCCAAATTTATCCTCAGAATCCCAAGATCCAGCTACAGAGGAGCCCCTAGATATTAAAGCCTTGATCCAGACCATCAAGGGGCACCTGTATAATCGGGACTTTGATTCTGCCTTTGCGGATGCTGATGAAGGGTTGCTCAGGGCCTATGCCTTGAGATGGAGTGCAGCGAGGGCGTTGGGCTACGCGGGGTTGTTTAAGTCCATGTTCAGGGTATTGATGGAGAAAGAAGCTAGGAATTCTGGTAAGGGCTCTGCGCTTCAACCAACGCACGTGGTTTGTATCGGTGGTGGTGCAGGTGCCGAGCTTGTTGCGCTTTCAGCTGCGTGGAGGGATTTGATGGACGAGGGTACTATACCTGGGTCCCAGAAGGGACTATCAGATGCACTTGAAGCCGTGTCTCTAAGTGACGGGCAGGACGACCAAGGGGATGAGTCCACAGGAAAGCCTGAACAATCACAAACACCCTCTCCCTCGTCTTCCAGTCTCTCAATAACAGCCGTCGACATCGCCGACTGGTCTGCCGTCGTGAGACGCCTATCCTCCACCATCCTATCACCCTCGGTTCCAAGCTCAAAGTCATATCCGTCCCCTCTTTTTGCAAACGTCCAACAACAGGATACGACTACCGACGCTAAACTCAATGTCGACTTCAAACGCCTCGACGTATTATCATTATCGGACGCAGAGTTAGCCTCGCTATTCCACACCACTCAACAATTTTCATCGACCCGCACCAACATGGTCACCCTAATGTTCACGCTAAACGAACTCTTTTCTACATCCATGCCCAAGGCAACAGCATTCCTGCTCAAAATCACTGACCTCCTGCAGCCGGGAACGCTCCTGTTAGTTGTCGATAGCCCTGGCAGTTACTCGACTCTGAAGCTCAGTAAGGGAGGCAGCGCAGGAGCGCAGGAGCGGCAATATCCAATGAAGTTCTTGCTTGATCATGCGCTGCTTTCGGTTGCGAAGGGGAGCTGGGAAAGGGTTTACTCGCAGGATTCAAGATGGTGGAGGAGGGATGCGGCTAGGTTGTGGTATGATGTTGGAGAGGGTGCTGGGTTGGAGGATATGAGGTTCCAGGTCCATGTTTATCGGAGGCTGTGATGGTATATACATATATATATGATAAAAAACGAGGCCTGGGTCTATTTACTATGAAAGTGATATCTACCGGCCCACAATCTTTTCCAAGTACAGTATATCCCCAGCTCCCACGCTGCTATTCTCAACCTCCTCATCCCAAGGCAAAACATGTACCCATACCTCCTCCGCGGTCGGCTTGTCGTCAGCCCTTTGCAACACGTCCCATCCCCCCTTGCCCTTCAACCCTGCAATTCTCTCCCCCGAAGTAACAACCGCAAGCCTCTCCTGATCCAGCGGAAACTCCTTCACATCCACCTCAACCTGTTTCATCGAGCGATGCTCAACGAGCTCAAACATGCGGGCGAAAAATTTCTCGACAAATACTTCGTGGGCCTCGTCATTGAGCTCCTGTGACGGAAAACCCGTTATTAGGAGGATGTCGGATGGGGCGTTGGATGCTTTGTAGAAGGCATGCATTTGCGGCGATCCGGGACCCGGGTTCGTATATGATGCGCAGAACTCGACAATTTCAGCGAGGAGCTGCGTGAAGGGCTGCGAGGTAGAGGTTACTCCGTCCTTGAGTGCGAAAAGCCAGAATTTTGTGAATGGGGCCATGGTTGTATTAGCTCTATCAAGGATGCCAGGAACTAGATTGGTCGTTGACGGGATGGAGGTGGTTGTACTCGGTATGGACGGAAGAGGAGGAAGTCTACCTAATATCCAGTCTGCAGGAGGGTACTTGCCTAACATAATACTCTTGTAGACCGCGAGCTCCGTGGGCTGACGTGAGGATCCATATTCCTTGGCTTCTTCCTTGATCCCCTATAGCGTTTAGTGGTTACCCGTGGGATGCGGATGCTGACAATTGCTTAGTGTGTATACACTGGTGTACGTACGCTCCGGCTATTAGTAGTGAACAGAAGCGAGTGATAATGTGGGCTCAAAATTAGCCCATTCTGTAGTTTGGATGTCGAGTCATGGAATTGCCGGCTACTCGGGGCTTGTAGAGCGAGCAGGGAATTAGTTTGCAAATTTCGCTGTAGAGAGGAAAGGTGGTATGCTATTGCTACAGTTCATAGAGGGTAAGGACACCAGCCAGCTTCAACAATTCACCATGGTGCCATGTGCGCCCAGTTCCAACCAAGATAGGGTAAAAATCACAATTAGTCGCATAAAAAAAAATACATGAGATCGGTTTTATTCAAACTCGCGCACCCCCTTAACTCCTAAGCCCAAGGAGAAGGCTTGTGCTCTTTCCACCATCCTTGCTATCACCTCCCGGCAAATATGTGACATTCGGATTGCTGGCGAGGGTGTTCGCAATCTCCCTGCTGGCTTCGATACGACGGATTTCGATCAGACCATTTCCGGCCTTGGCGACGGCCTTGCTGATAATGTCGGCACTACCAGCTTCACCCTCAGCGCGGATGACGTTAGCCTGGCGCTCCTGCTCGGCCTTCTCGACGATGAAGCGGGCTCGTTCGGCATCCTGCTGTGCGATCTGTTTCTGTTCGACGGCGCGTGTGAACTCCTTTCCGAAGGTCATGTGGGTGATGGAAACATCCTCGAGGGCGATGTTGAATTGCGAAGCTCGCTTCAACAGGTCTGTACGGATGCGGTTTGAGACAGCCTCACGCTGGGTGATGAGTTCGGCTGCGTCGAACTGGGCGACGATGGCTTTGAGGACTTCGTTTCCGATAGAAGGCAGGACACGTTCATCGTAGTCGGTACCATAAGACTAAAATAGACAAGGAATAGAGGGGTTAGTCAAGAAACAGGACGGTCGCGATGGGTATGGACGAACCTGGTAGATGGCTGGCAGCTTCGGGACCTCCGGACGATGTAGGACTCGCAGAGTCAAGCTGACCATCTGCAAATCCTTACTTCCGGTGGTAGTAGAGATGTTGCGAGGCTTGGTGCGAACATCGTAGATAATAGCTCTCTGCAGCCAGGGAACCAAGAAATGCGTGCCTTCGTTGACGACCTTCTCCTGCACACCAGACAACCTGTCGAAGATGACGGCTCGAGTTCCACCCTTGACATCGTACAGGGAAGCGTTGACGGCCATGGCCCCCACCGCTAATGGGACAGCCAGGCGCTGAATGTTGTAGAGACCGTTAGCCGCCATGATTATAAGTTGTGGTGGGCCGGCGTGGAGTTGCTTGACTTGAAGAGCTGGATGAGAGCTTTCTGATGATGTTGCGGGCGGGCTTTTTGAGCCTGTCCAAATATGGACTAGCGCGACCTCCCTCAACTTCCGCCGTTTTGGCCCGAGACCGAAACGAACGTCGATTCTTCCTCCTCGCCGTCATAACTCGTCCTTTTCTCTACGTCGCGTCTCCGGAAATCCTTCGTTTCGCTTCATACATTCACAATGGGTGGTCATCTGGATCCTAAGAATGGCGTGTGAGTTTTTCCTCATCTGTTTCGGTGCCTGCTCGAGGGATACCCCGGGTGTTCGGGTGATTACCACGACATCGTCCCACTGAGATACTACACTCATTACTATCTCGGATGGCTTTGTTGCTCCTAAATTGCGCATTTATATTACGGAAGTACTGACTGTGGTGTGATATAGCTACATGGGCAACTGGGGTGACATGGGTATGTCTCTTCTATCATCGACCCCTACACCACGAATGCGACCACCTCGCTATAGGGATGAGTGCAGGAAATTCCTGCCAATGGCCCTATTATAGCGTTTCCGTCGACCCAACTTACTTTTGGATCACATCTGAGTGACCAGAGCAATTGAAAGCGTGTATACTGATTCAGACTGTTCTAGGTTGCTCAACCCCCCAGCGCATCACAACTTACTCCGTCTCTCCCAACCGTCAACGTCCCCTTGCCGGCGCTGGCCATGCCGCCATCTTCAACACCTTCCGCCGTTTCAGACACCAGGCTCTCTACGTTATTCCCCCCTTCGTTGCTGCCTACGCTGCCATGAACTGGGCTGTTGAGCGGTACGCATTACCTCGAGATTCCACGCACCCTGGATATTATTTTGGTGTACGCTATAATATAAGAGTCAATTGGCTAACTTCCGCGTCTACGATGTAGCAACGAGTACCTGAACTCCAAGCCCGGCCGTCTCCTCGAGGGTGGTGACGAGTAAATGCGTCCCTTGGTTGAAAAGAATGGCTGATGGCGATATACCGTTGTTTATTTAGGAGGTATGCAGGGCAAGATGTTGGGATTGTGATTGCACTGTACAGTAACTAGAAGCAATCGAACGAATTGCAATTTCATTTGTCTGAATCTACTGTGCGAAGGTGTATTGAGCGACGACTTTGAATTGGAGTTTCGTAGTGGTTCGATTCCTCTGCCAACTTTAGAATAGCCGTCCAATGGAGTACCCAAATATAACTCAAAACTAGGACTGATTCAAGCCTGGAAATATAGAGGAATTCTCGGCGCGAGTCCTTCCTTTTTCGGACGGGATAAGAACGGGATTTGGTATTTACGCTCAACCATGAGTGCAAGGCGAGGAAAACGAGAGATTGGTATTGACGGAATGGCAATTCTGCTACTAATAGAGGATGCTGATTGCTAACTGCCAATTGATGTCCTCTTCCTCCAAATCGTAGAAGGTAAGCCTGAATTGATATGGTCTCATTGGGTAGACAGTAGAAACCCAAAGCTGCTCTGGGAAAACTCTGTAACTTAAATACCCAACTGTGACGCTCGATAAAATACACATCCATTTTCTCGTTCCCCCCACTCGAAATCTGCATGCGCTCAACTCTTCCAGTCTCGCTCTTCTCTCGCTTTTCCTTTTCATCTTCAACTTCCCTTCTGTCTCCCCGTTCTATTTCTTCGCGGCATCCTGTAATTCTCTCCTCCCACTTTCGCTCCCTCCGACCTTTAACCTCCACCACAATGAGCGAGATCACTCACCCCACTATCAAGGGTATGTAGATTCCCACCTCTACCCAACCCTACCCCGCCGTCAATCTCGAAGACCCCGGCTATCTTGGATTGTCCAATTCCCACTCAATGTCTTGCTCGAGTGTCCAGCATAATCACCAATCGCATATTGATTACATCTACGTCCTTGAGCTAACCTCATCTTCGATACAGATGGCTGGTTCTCCGAGCAGTCCGAGATGTGGCCCGGCCAGGCCATGAACCTCAAGGTGAACCAGATCCTCCACCACGAGAAGTCCAAATACCAGGATGTCCTCGTCTTCGAGAGCAGCGACTATGGTACCGTTCTTGTCCTCGACAACGTCATTCAATGCACCGAGCGTGACGAGTTCTCGTATGACCTCTTCCCCACGCAAACAATATCCACACGGAGAGACTGATGGTGTCGCATCTAGCTACCAGGAGATGATCACCCACCTTGCTATGAATGCCCACCCCAACCCTAAGAAGGTCCTCGTCATTGGAGGTGGTGACGGTGGTGTCCTCCGTGAGGTTGTCAAGCACGAGACCGTCGAGGAAGCTATCCTGTGTGACATTGATGAGGTAATGAAAACCGACTTGCCGGATCTCTGGCCCTCATTTATGTTTGCAATTGGTCACCACGCTTACATGCAGCTCATTATTTAGGCTGTCATCCGAGTCTCCAAGAAGTACCTGCCCGGAATGAGCATCGGCTTTCAGCACCCCAACGTTGGGGTCCACATTGGCGATGGATTCGAGTTCCTGAAGCAGCGCCAGAACGAGTTCGACGTTATCATCACCGACAGCTCCGACCCCGAGGGTCCCGCTGAGAGCCTCTTCCAAAAGCCCTACTTTGAGCTTCTCAGAGACGCTCTGCGTGATGGAGGTGTCATCACCACCCAAGGTTGTTCGTCGCCTTTCTTTTTGCTCTGCCTTCTCTACCTCTTCAATAACTCCTTGATTTCTCGTCTCTTTTGAGTTATACTCACTTTCTAGCCCATATTTACTCCCTGCCCACCCTCTTTATTCACTCTCCTATACCTTTATCTTTTATATAGTCCTTTTGGTATAAGGTACCCAGGCTAACCGAATCACGTCTCAAACCACCCGCCTTACGGGATCGGTTTGGGTTCGTTTTTTCTCCATTATAGCCGAGAACCAATGGCTTCACCTTCCTTTGATCGCAAACCTCAAGAAGGCCTGCAAGGAGGTCTTCCCCGCCGCCGAATACGCCTACACCACCATCCCCACCTACCCCTCCGGCCAGATCGGCTTCATGGTCTGCTGCAAGGACGGCTCTCGCAACCTCAAGGAGCCCATCCGATCCTGGTCCCGCGAGGAGGAGGAGCGTCTGTGCCGCTACTACAACCAGGATATCCACCGCGCCAGCTTCGTGCTTCCCAACTTCGCTCGCAAGGCTTTGGACGCTTAGATTCAGCTGAAGATAAGAACCTTTTTTCTTTTCTTCTGTTTTGTTTAAAAAGAATACCAATTGAATTTTCTCCCTGTGAATGTTTATCTCTATATCCATATGTGAAGATTTTTGTGGGCATGGGGTCGATAATGATCTATGATGAATATAATAGCCAAAGGAACCTCTCGAAGCTATGTCACGACATTTTGTGCAACGGCTTACTTGTATTTGATGCAGACGTACATATACATCTATTCTGAATACTGGAGTGGACAAGATGTTTTGTACTGAGCGAGATAGCTACAAAAACATAATAATTTGAACGGATTGAAATAGTAATCATTTTATGCAGATCCTTCTAAATCTACCAGAAATTGCCCAACCATGAATAAATTTCAATGGCGGCTTTTTACTCTTCTCAAAAGGAAATTCGTAGGACATTAAACCAAGGGTGTCACCACGCGGAGTTTCTCCGTATGGCCGTTTTCCCATCCCATAACCCATGTGCAAACTCGTAGCCGGAAAAAGAAATAACGACAAAAGAAAAGTGTGATTCATGACGCTAGAAACAAGACGTCTACAGAATCTGCTGGAAGGCACGGTTGACGGGCGACCGGACGGGGACACCCTTGTAGAAGTCAATGGTGGCAAGGGCACGCTTGCTGATGCCCTCAGGAGTGAACTCGAATTTCTAAGGAGAAGAAAAAGTCAGTATATGTAAAAATTCAGAAAGGCATTATCCCTATTAGGTTGGACTTACAGCGTAGACCTCCTTGTAAGGTCCAGAGGCACCGAAGCGGTTCAGACCGAACTGCTCGTGAGAGTAGCGCTCCCAGCCCATAGTAGAGCAAACCTCGACGGAGAGGACGGGGATTCCGTCGGGAAGAACCTTGAGCTTGTACTCCTTGTCCTGAGCATCGAAGACCTCGAAGCAGGGTACGGAGACAACGCGAGCAACAACGCCGTGGTTCTTCTGGAGGTAAGTAGCAGCATCGAGACAGATGCTGACTTCGGAACCAGTGGAGATGATGGTTACGGTGGCATTAGGAGCCTCAAGGACAGGGTAAGCACCCTTAAGAGCAGCCTCAATGCTGGAGTGCTCGAGCTGGGGCAGGTTCTGGCGAGTGAGAGCCAAGATGGAGGGGGTGTGCTTAGCAGTCAGGGCAGAGTAGTAAGCAGCGCTGGTCTCGTTGCCATCTGCAGGGCGCCAGACCATGCAGTTGGGGAGAGCACGGAAGTGAGCCAGAGTCTCAATAGGCTGGTGGGTAGGGCCGTCCTCACCCAGACCGATGGAGTCGTGGGTAGCGACGTGAATGACACGAACGCGAGAGAGGGCAGAGAGACGGACGGCACCGGCGGCATAGGAGACAAAGTTCAAGAAGGTACCAGCAGCAGGGATGACGGTACCGTAGGCAGCGAGACCGTTCATGATAGCAGCCATGGCGTGCTCACGGACACCGTAGCGGAGGTAACGGCCAGACCACTCGCCAATGCCGTACTCAGGAGGCTGGAAGTCAACAGCAGCCTTCCAGCGGGTGTTGTTGGAGCCAGTCAGATCGGCAGAGCCAGACAGAAGCTCGGGGATGACCGAGTAGATCTTCTCGAGAACAGCCTCAGAGAGCTTACGGGAGGCAATGGCGGGGTCGGAAGGCTTGTAGACAGGAAGCGACTTCTCCCAGCCCTCGGGGAGCTTGCCGGAGAGACGGCGGGTGAGGTCAGCGTGCTCCTGAGGGAATTCACTGGCATACTTTTGGAGGAGCTGGTTCCACTCCTGCTCCTTGGCAGCACCCTCATCAGCGTGCTTGTGGTAGAGGTCATAGACCTGCTGGGGAACAACAAAGCTCTGGGCAGGGTCGAATCCGAAGCGCTGCTTAACACCCTCAATGTCGTCGGCCTTGAGGGGGTTACCGTGCACACCGCCAGTGCCCTGAAGCTTGGAGCCGAAACCGATGGTGGTGGTCAGGCGGATCATAGTGGGCTTGTCCTTGACGGACTGAGCCTCCTTGATGGCAGCCTCGATGCCCTCAAGGTCGTTGTCACCGTCCTTGACCCAAACAACGTGCCAGCCGTAGGCCTCGAAGCGCTTGCTGACATCCTCAGTGAAAGCGCACTTGGTGTCACCATCTAAAAAAACCTCAAATTAGCAAAAGAACCTCTTTGTCAACGATTACCAGGGCAGTTGCCAACTCACCAATGGAAATGTGGTTGTCATCGTAGATACCAATCAGGTTACCGAGCTTCAAGTGACCGGCCGTGGAGGCGGCCTCGCTGGCAATACCCTCCATAGCACAGCCATCACCGAAGAAGACATATGTGTAGTTGTCGAAGAGGTTGTAGCCGGGCTTGTTGAACACACCACCGCTGTGAGCCTGGGCAATGGCCAGACCAACAGCGTTGGCGAAACCCTGACCGAGGGGACCAGTGGTCACCTCAATACCGGGGGTGTCGTGAGCCTCGGGGTGACCGGGGGTGATGCTGTCGAGTTGCTAGAACAGCTTGGATTAGCCAATATTTAAGCCGTGATAGGCAAGATAAAGCTTACGCGGAAAGCCTTGATGTCATCCATGGACACAGCGTATCCAAAAAGGTGGAGGAGAGCATATTGAAGCATGCAGCCGTGGCCGTTACTGCAGCAAATCGATTAGCAGAGATCTTGCTGGCTCGGACATGCGGGCTTCTTACGAGAGGACAAAGCGATCACGGTTGGCCCAGTCGGGGTTCTTAGGGTTGAACTTCATGAACTTGTTGAAGAGGACGTGGGACACGGGGGCCATGCCCATAGGGGCACCGGGGTGACCGGAGTTCGCCTTAGCGGTGGCATCAACCTGGAAACTTATTAGTAAAAAACCGCAACAATTGTACTAACGAAGCAGTAAAAACGTATCCCTCTCTGGCTCCAGGTCGGGCCACAAAAATGAGATAGTAGCCCCAAATGTCCTTCCAGAGCTGGCGCGAAGCTCACTGGATGGGGATTATCGGCTGTTGGACAAATCGGAGTCTCATTTCCCCGACCTCGAGCTCCGCAAACATCGAAGGCGCATTAGGGGACAAGGAGCGGGGCAGACAGTGAACGAGATGAGAAGCAATGGGAAAGGAGAGCAACAAAAGACATACCGCGAGAAGACGGATGGTGTTGATGGCCAATTGGTCTAGATCGGAGTAACCCATGATGGCGGTTATCTGTTGAGGGCGAAAGAACGCGGTTAGAGAGCTCTGTTAAGATGTTGAGATGAGGGAGAGCGGTACTTTTTTGCGAGAATCAAACAAACCTGCCTTGTCTAGATCTCTGGATAGGGTGTCAATGAAGCAAGAGCAGGGTGAGAAAAAAGAAGAAAGGGATGGGAAAAGAAAGAATGGGAAGGGAGGAGGAGATGGGGGGGATTCATACAGGAAAAGGCGGATGGCGATGGAGGGGTTGAACTTGGGAGGATCAAAATGGCAGGTGGGGACGGTGATGTCGCGGTGGGTCAAGCCTGTAACTGTGGTGTTCACCGGGCACCAACAGAGCAGCAGAGGCCTCACTTACTCAACTAGGGATCCCGATGGGTAAATGTTCCTGGTCCAGCTGGTCTTGGGACTTTGTCAGCCTGAGTAAGGCTGCGACTGTGATTCTGCTCTCAATGACACGCCGGAATGGTGGATGAGAGGCCGTTGAAGCTCTCAACCCCTCCTCCTGCCTGAGGCATAGTTGCCCCGCCGGAAGAAGGCAGATATAGTTGAGCAGCAGCTGTTCAACCATCCTCTAGCTCTGGGATACATATTATAGATGATAGTCAAAGCCCGACACTATAATCTACTAAAATTAACGAATCCAAGTCTCCCCGCGACAGCCCGAGAGTAATATCGAGCAGTGTTCCGGCGGACAATGACCATGCCGTCCGGCTTCTACTATAGCTGTCCAATGTCAATAGCCGCAGCCAGAACATGAACGATATGCAATTCGTTTGTTTTGCTCCCAGTCCCATCCACTCTCTGCGGCATTACTAACAAAAAGCAACGAATACACCAAACTCTTCACCGTCACGAGGGGCCACAATGACCCGTACGGCGTAGAGAGATCCGACTCTGTGGCGGAGCAGCGTCCTCCGGGTTCCCCAATATGACAAACGGCGAACATCCGGGCCCTTCCACCGGACCACGGAGTGCCTGGACTTGGAATTGCTGGTGAATATCATTTGATATCATTTGCCGATTTCCAGTTTAAGCGTTGGCACTGCAGTCCTGCATACCTTATTTCAAGGGCCGAGATCCATGATATCAAAATATACATCTCTTTTCAGCCTCTGTCGCAAACAACCCATAGAGCTCACTTGCAACAGAACGGCACCCGCGAATATTGATCTGACATCATTCAGTCACTAGAGTTAAAACTAGATAACTAATCCCTGTCTAATCGATCCCGATAGTCAAAATACACCCTCGGTCTCGAGTTCCTGGCCTGACGATCAAACAGCCACTGACACCACTGCCAATTGTCACGGACATCCATATCTCCTACCCGAAGGACGATCCAAAATGATACTCGTCCCAAGGATGGATACAGAATCAGATGCCAACAGCTGTCAATAGCTGCCAACAACGTTAACACCCCGCACGATTCTGGGGATCTCGGATCAACCCGGTACCTTACCCCGTAGTCTACCGTTCGACCCCGTACTCAGTGCGAAGATCTTCTCTGCCTATGGGAATCGCTACGAGAATAGACCTCTCGAGGTACGACCTTGATGTGAATCCTAGTCTGGGGGATGACGACATTGTGCAGATAGGGATTCGGCTCGAGAGAGATATGGTGTCTGTTCTCCCGGATGTACCCGGTGTAGCATCATACCGAGTATGCCTCTACGATGGTTGGCAGTGTGAGGGGTAGTTGTGGGTTTATGCATGGCATGGCGTGAGTGGCTTAGTGTTCGTGGTTATTTATAGAGAGTGATTCAGATAGGTAAGTATATGAGGTACAGTCGTCATAAATTATATATACTAGCTCACATATTCACTATACACCAATAAATACAGTGTTG